CCAAAACTTGGGAATTGATAATCTAATCGCTGGGTAAGACTAATACAAGCAAACGGTGACCTTGCTGTTTCTTACTGTTCTGAGTGTTGTAGGTTCTATCCCCACCCAAACTCAGAGCAACAAATTGTTGTTCTGAGTTTTTTCTTTCTTTCTTTAAAAAAAGACAACTCCAGAATTGGAAATATATCCTGTATCGCAGGGGACACAAGACACACGGACACAAAGAACACCCAGACACAGAACAATAATTTGTGGATCACACAAAGTGTCGTGGGATCAGACCCACAAAACTTTAGTTTAGGTGTTCTTTTCATGTTCGTTTCATGTAATACCACGAATATATCCCAGGATATATTCGTGGTGCCGGGATTGTCTTTTTTTTTAAAGAAAAAGAAAGAAACGATGAGTTGTATAGATGTTGTCTTCAACACAAATAGATAGTCAAAAGGGAAGTAACTTAAGAACTATATTTTTATTCACCTGTGAGTCTCGTTTCAAAACATATTCTGAAACAGCTGAGCATGATTTCACAAACACTCTCGTCCGTTAACATGGCGCCCTCTGGACTTAACATCAATGTGCGAAGCACCTGGAAATATACTAATTATAGTCAAGTATGCAATGTCTTAGCACTAACTAGAGCCTTGTACATTTACCTATTCTCACAAGGCGATTTTTGAAGGAACTTACTCGATTCTTTACGAGTGCTGGTTGCATGTGTTTTAAGCATTTACATTCTCATTTCTCATTCAGTTCAGTGCTTTGACGACGACGAAAAACTGACTTTAAGATATCTACCAGTCTGTTAGTATTTTATCCCTTTCGGAATGTTCTGATTTAAAATGACAAAATTGACATTATAGATACATTTAAAAAAAAGGCATTTTTGACATATTTTTAAGTTTCTTTATACAAAAATACATTAAAATTATTAGCTTTAGCTGAGCGTTTTTGAGACGAAATTCTATGCCTTATCGCATAATACTTTATCTTAAGCACGCAAATTAGATATATATTTTTTAAATAAGCTTTTTTAAGTTTCTTCATACAAAAATACATTAAAATTATTAGCCTTAGCCGAGTGTTTTCAAGGCGAAATTTGATGCCTTATCGCATTATACTTCATCTTAAGCATGCATATCATTGCAATTATTACATCCATGTTACATTACATTATGAGTACATGACAGGATTACATCCAAAAGATTGTATCCATACAATCTTATATACTTTCAGACCGGCTTTTGTACAACATGCACAATCCATACTTCTATGCTACATGGTGCAAGTAGCTAAAGCGCGAGTGGCCTACGCGTAGTGCGCTCGCACTGGTACATGCTCGACTCACTGGATTCGAATATACCTTTTCGCGAAGCTAATAACCTGCCCAAGTGCCTAAACATGCGCAAGCTATTTATCATATTTTATTATAAATGTGAAAGTTAGTTTCTTTCTTCTTTCAAGCCTAAACCACTAAACCGATTTTAAAAATTCTTTCACACGTAGAATGCTATATTATCAGCTACTTTTTTCTGCGATAACCGACATACACGAGGGCGGAATTGCGGGCAAAACCTAGTATTATTATATATTCACACATCATCATCATCATCATCAGCCTATCGCAGTCCACTGCTGGACATACCTCCCTCTCATTGCACGCCACTTAGATTGATTTTATATTCACACAATTCTTTTTATTTATGGATCTTCAACAAGAATATCACATAGCATTCACAAAGAATTATAAATTATTGATCTGGTGTATCCTTAATTACAGAAGATCAAGGCCTGCATTAAAAGTCAAACATAACATTAGAGGAATCAAAAATTATTATTACACAAATTAGAAGTAAATAAATCAAACTAAATTCAATTAAAATCACTATTAAGTCAATTTAAACAATAATAACATTCCAAAAGTTAAATACTAATAATATATTCAATAATTAATAGTCAACAATATAAGATCATTACATTAATAATTTATACATAATTTAAATAAATTTATATTAAATTGATGTCAGCTGTTTATTGATAAGGAATTTAAAATGTCCCATAGTATTAACAAAGATGTCTATTTCATTAGATTTATTTGAAACTTCATTAAAGTGGTTGGTCAACCTAATTATTTGAGGTATTCTAATAGTAAGATCAATCAATTAAACATATATATATCTGCTCAGAAATATTTCAGTTTGAATGCTATGTGTATATGTTATTCTCTATACCATAGACTAATATTTTCTTTTATTTTCCCTTTCAAATATATTTTGATACCAATAATTTAATAACTGGTAAGTTTTATTGTGTTCAAGAAACTGTTATGTTTTTGCTATAACACTCTATAGTTGTTCTTCACGAACCTGTAATATTTTCATAAGAACTACCCCGTCTGACGAATGGTCTGTACCGACAAATCTTGCATGTGTAACAGCATCAGCAATGTCTTCTACCGTCGCCGGCACGCTAGGATGTGTTGGATCTGTAATAAATTAATAATGTTGAAGCTTACATTTGCTTTATATGTTCATTTTATTGTATTTACTTACACTTAATGTATGTCTATTGAAGTTTTGAGATTACTGTATATAGTCAGGGGGTCAATTAAATATCTACTATAATATGGCCGAATTTTGTTTATTTTAGCAGAGTGACTGCTGGAAGCCTCACCTCCACAACCCTAGAAGACAATATCGAAAGACTGTTGTAGGACTCCAACTATTCATAACAATTGCCATAGATGTTTATATGACCAACAGTTAAATATGCCGTCCGAGTCAGAGATGGGTCTGAATGTGTTAAGAAATCGTCACTCATCCATAAACCTACTCGGATACCATTTAGCCACTAGCCCCACCCCACCCAGCTTCATATAAAATATTATCTTTGTCTGTCTGGTGTTACTGATAGCAATTACAGTGACTGTGGTAGTAGTCTAAATACCAGTGCTATTACAGGAACTAGTTATGGTTTTGACTTTTTCTTGTAAAGATATCAACCCAGAACACCTTTACAAAACCAAATTGAATGCTCTGAAAGTAACCTGAAGTATAAACCATTACTGCATGTGCTGACTATTTATTAGAAGATGACATAAAAAAATGGGCAACAACGTTATAGTTCAATCTAAAACCAACGGTAGCAATTTAACTAAGAAAATTAAGGTCTAAAAGATACTATAAAAAGCTTTTTGACAAGAAGAAAATCTGTATTTTATATTTCACACATCAACAGCCTATACTAGTCCACTGCTGGACATAGGCCTCTCCTTAGAAAGGAGATTTTGGCCTACTATGCCACTATATATATCTATATATATATATACTATATATATCTATATATTTTATATTTATAATGTATTAATTTAAAATAATAATAACCCAAGTATGTCTTAATTATTTTATTGCAATAATAGATTTTATGATAGTGATGTAGGTATTCAGTTATGATAACCTGTTCCATTTAAATTTATGTCTACAACCACTAATAATAGACCATCAACAAACTCAGGTCTTTAAACCCAAAGGGCACAGAGGCATATTAAATGCCTACATTTTGCCCACTATAATCTATACAAATAAATAAAATTGGAGTGTCTGTTTGTAATATTAAAATAACCGCTTTTTACTAAATGCATATGTATGTTTAAACGGTACATATATGCCAAAATAACATTTTTTTCAATTTTTGTCTGTCTGTCTGTTTGTTCTGGGTAATCTCTGGAACGGCTGGACCGATTTCGACGGGACTTTCACTGGCAGATAGCTGATGACATAAAGAGTAACTTAGGCTACTTTTTTAGACTAGCTTCACCCCACGGCGTTGCCCGCGGGTAACACCGCGGGTCTCAGCTAGTCTATATTTATAAAAGAATGTAAAGTTAGTTTATGTATGGTTCAAAAATTAAAAGTTTTTACTGGTTGGGCTCAAATTATGACACAATATACAAAATGTTTCAAAGATGGTTTTATCAATTTTTTTGCAACCACAATGTGTCATAGCGAAGCATGGCAGGGTATTATAAAAGTAGACTTTGTAAGGAAATTAACCAAAATCTAAGAATAGTGTATAATAATTGTGTATAACAAATATTGAATTAAAATGCTATCAAAGTGAATTCCTTAGTAAATGATAGTAAGGAGGTATGGGCATTTGATCATCAAAGAAATCATCAAATAAGATGGCAGAAGAAAGGTTTTAGGCATATAAGTTTAGACACACAACACTATGTATTTAAAAGTGGAAGAGTCTCCCCATAGTCTCATTTATTTTTATACATAGGAACCACATTGGGTTTAAATCATACATCCAATTTATAACATGAAAATAACCATGATGTTAACAAAATAACCATGGTATTAGAGTTCTTACTTGTACACTAAGATCAAAACTAATCTGAAAGATTTAAAAAACTATCCCAAGATGTAAAACTATTCAGACTTGACAGACAAAATAGAAAATGAACTTCTGTGTGAGAACATATTTTTAACATTTAATGTATTTACATGTTTATTATTAGTTAGGTCACTATAAAGACACAAGTGAAGTAATGTATGTATGTTAAATGCACAAATTAAATCATAAATTTAATAAACAAACATACAGCATCTATTGGAGTCTAAATACATTTCTAATTAGATATAGTTTTACTCACCAATTAACCCATAAGACAAAAACTTATGAATGGCAGAAAGGGCAAGACTTGTGACTGGACCAGTGGTCTCCTTGCTCCTAATCACCTCTAGGAAAGGGCTCAAATATGTAGCAGGGTCCAATAGCCGTAGATCATCGACTTGATTTAGGATTGTCTTCAGATCTTGGAATGTGCGCATAAGTACATCATATTCTTCGTTTGGGAAAGAGTGTGAGCCCCACCGGGTGCTTCGACGCATGGCTGTGACGAGCATAGCCATTTCGCCCTGCACCACGAAAATTCCATTTCCTGGTAACGACATCTTCAAAAACTTATCTCAATTAAACTGGTCAACATCAACAACTTCTTGATAATTATTTGATTAAACAATTAATTGTAAACTACATATTTTAAACATATTTCGCACTCGCTCACACTTCACAATATAAATTTTAATATAATAATTATAAATCTTTGCGTAAAAATAACGAAAATCAATGAAAATTCACAATTTGATTAACAGATTCCATCACAATCATGTTGACGTTTCAGAATTTTAGTTCAGATAGTTGGCGCTAGATGATGAACAAAAAACATGGTTGTCTCGTGTACAATTCAGACAAACAGCTGTTTCAAATAATTAGTCGATTCTCATAGTTTTATTTCGACATCGATTTGTGTAGTGGCACATAATTTTGTTTAATTCTTTGTTGCTTAAAGTTGGTAACACTGTTACCAAAGATGGTTGACGGTCGTATACTTTTCTGACAAAATTTTCGGAAAGGCAATTTGTTTGTTATTTTCATCTTTATAAACTTAGTGAATCATCGTCGTATGTAATTGTAGTTGTTAATATATTTCATTAAGTATTTTTGCTATAGCTATTAAATTTATGGAAAGTATAACGCGATGAATGTGCGTTGTCACGCGTGCAATGGCTATCGACACAGATTTGACATGACATTTATTCTTTTTGTGTTAGTGCGGTTATTCTTACCACATGTATCTTGTTACGTATTGCAGGCAGTTACGTTAAGACGTGAAAATGGTAAAGAAAAAGAGACAAAGCGATCCTGGTGAGAATGGCGATGAGTCTACGGAATCTTGCGACGAGAACGTCAAGTCCGCATGTCCTCACGTCGCTAAAGCTGTTGACCTCACCCGACTGAAGAAATCACTCAAAACTGGAGGTTTCGAAAAGGAATGCTCGGAGTGCAAGAAATCGTCGAAAAACGAGGTGTCCGACCCCGACTTTGAAGAAGATTTGACGTTATGGATGTGTTTGCGCTGTGGGTCTCAACTGTGCGGACGTTCGCGCAACAAGCACGCTCTGAACCACTTCAACACTCCTCATTCTGACTGTCATGCGCTTACAGCTAACACCACTACATGGGAAATCTTCTGTTACAACTGCAACAATGAAGTAACAGCCTCAAGTGCTAAAAAACTTCATGAATGTATAGAGTGGCTTAAAAAGCAAGCAGTGAGTGGGGGAAATGCAAAATCTCTCCCTCCAATAGAACTGCCGTTTAATACAGATCCTAAAATTGATGTAACTGTTGAAACTATAATCAAAATTGACCCTTTATCAAAACCCATAACAAAAGATAAAGCCATGTTGAACTTGCCAAGAGTAAGGGGTCTCACAAACTTAGGGAACACCTGTTTCTTTAACTCTGTTATGCAATGTTTGGTGCAAACCCCTTATTTGTTGCAAGTTCTTCAGGAGATGGCTAATCCGGGGGAAAGATTTACTCTACCTGGTGGAAAATTAAAGTTAAATGGTGAGGAAGATAAAGAAGTAGAATTACCTCCTATAACAGGACAGTTGGCAGAATGGGGTCCTCTTACTCGCACACTGGCTGAAACTTTAAGTGAGCTTCAAGCAGGTATGTCATTTTTATTCTTTGTCTCTATTTTATTAGCCTACCAGAAAACAACGTAACTTCTATATACTAAGTATAGAAATATGTTTTTACTCATATACATCTTTTGAGGATGCTTACATAGTTGCAGATCTGATAGATATGGCAACACTCCTGGTAGGATGATTCACTCTCCCCTATTGGGTGTGTAACTAGTTGGCTGTAATACAAGTGTGATTAGAATCACATTGTGATTTCTATCCTAACTCCTTCATTTTATGCTGATTATATGACCTTGAAATGGGTCCCCAATTTCAATGTTATCAACAAAACAAAATACCTACTAATGTTAAATAATAGATACCACACTGTGTCATATTTCAGTGATAATGAATGATAATGTGTGAATATAGTTATAAAACATATATATATAGAACTATCAACTTTGCCTCAATAATTCATTAATTTATATGATAAGTGTAATTATGTGTTGTCATATGCCTCTTTGTCTAGGAAACTGTCTTTGTCAGGTTTCTTTGTTTTATCAGTTGAAGATAAATCTATTTTCAAATTAATGCTTTGAACTCAAAGGGATATGGATACTTTATTAGACCATTTTTTTATAAATATGGTGAATGGATCATATCATTTTACTGCACAGATGGTGTTTAAGCGGTCGCCACACCACTTTCTACTGCGCTGAGTGTTGTGGGTTAGATCCCCACATGGGACGACACTATGTGATCCAAATTCTTGTTCTAAGTCTGGGTGTTCTTTGTGTCCGTTTTATGTACGTTTGTAGAGCCCCTTCGACACAGGATATAAATTCATAATGCGGGAGTTGTATTTAAAAAAAAAATAGTTTATTTTTATATGTACAAGAATTGCACAAAGATACAGTTTTGAAATAAAACATGGTATATAGTTATGTTTTCTACCTACAGCTACATAAAACTATAGGGGTCCAGTATAATGACCTGTTATGGTGCAAAAGTCAATACAATGACAGGTCAAGTTATACTGATAATGAAATAAAACGTCAGATTTAACACATTTAAAACGGTTGAAATTATGTGAGCAAGGTGATGCATAACAATCTTTAGTTAATATAATTAAATTGATAATTAGTTCATGAAATCTGTCAATCGCAATTTAATGAGAAGGATATGGTTTCTCTTTCTCTGTCTGTTTGTTTACCTGTCGTAAATTCAGGGCTTTAAAATAATATAGCTATGTAGAATACAAGAACAATTGTATTTTAATTAACATAATTGCTACTTGAAATGAGTATGAAACCGTGCATGGACTGCACGGATGGCGCAGTGGTTTATGCAGTCGCCACGCCGCTTACTACTACGCTGAGTGTTGTGGGTCCGATCCCCACATGGGACGACACTGTGTGATCTATTAATTGTTGAACTGAGTCTGGGTGTACTTTGTGTCTGTTCCATGTATGTTTGTAAAGTCCCCGCGACACGGGATATATTATTAACGCAGGACTTGTCTAAAAATAAAACTACGACTTTAAGTAATACTCTATAACTCACTAACTACATAACAATAAAACCAGTTGTGATTTATCCAAAATAAAAACACAAAGAGAAAAAAGTTTCTCGTATAACAGTACAAAATGAAACAGTTTTGCTATAAGAAATGATATCAAGGTCACCAGCTTTGTGTCTAACTGTAATTGTAAACAATGTTTTTCAGTCGTTTGCTGCTTTGTTCGTGCATACAATATTGCTGTATATATATTGTGATATAGTAAAGAAGTCAATGCCACTATTGTAAGGGCTTTATCTCTGTATGATTAATCTATGCATGTATAATTATTTGAACTGACTGACTCATTAATCAATGCAGAGCTTAAACTATAGGGGCTACAAGCTTGAAATTTTGACAGCTGTGTGCAGCATGTGTTGGAAATTGCCCATTAAGGGGTAAAATCACATCACATCAACAGCCTTTAGTAGTCTACTGCTGGATATAGGCCTCTCCTTAGAATGGAGGTTTTGGTCCATGGTTTGTGTGGTGATGGATTAAGAATACGAAATGTCACCACCCCTATTTATCTCGTGGGTGTCGTAAGAGCCAACTAAGGGCGAAAACTACGCAGGACAACAGCACTGTAAAGAGAAGGAAAACTTAAAAAACAAAACCTATACCAACCCGTCTCCCGAGCGTGGTATAGTAGGCCAAAACCTCCAAGGGGTCAAATAAGTGTAATAAATTCTATTCTATAACACGAAATAAGTAATTATCTCGCGACTGAAGCCGCGGCAATAACTAGTTTATACTAGGCTTTACTCACGGATTACAAACACACATACCTTCACGCCTCACAAACTTACGTGTTTTAAATATTCATGAGACAAACAAATTTTCCTGTCAAAATAATATAAAGTGCAATTCCCGCACCCAATTTTTTTTTTACGTGTGGAAACCCCCTCGGGCCTTCCCCTTAACCTCTTCTAGTTAACCTTTACAGTGACTATATTCAGAACATAATATCTAGAGCATTAATTGCATTTTTCAAATCTGGCCTTTCAACTATATTATATTAGTTCACAGAATTATCATAATGACTTGTCTATTAACTAATTTGATGTCATTATTGTTGAACTGTATTGTATTGAACACGTCCACAAATTGATCAAATTACTACCCACATTTTACCTACATACACACATACATATTGGGAAAAAGTCACATACCTAATCGTGAGGAGAAATAATTTTTACCTTTATAAAATATGAAAAAAAAAAGAGGTTACATATAGAGATTATAACACATCAACAGCCTGCAACAGTCTACCTACAGAACTTCGATATCGCTTTGTACTTGGGTTTTGTCTGATGACAGGCGCTCCGAAAAATCGAAGTTTAGCCGTGTCGTAGTGGACTGAATGCTGACCCCAATCTAGTTTGGGCAAAGGCTCGGAGGATGATGATATAGAGATCTTTTTTGAAAGTGTGAAAATAGTCCAATAAGTAGATTAATGTAAATTTTACCATCCCTAATATGAATCATGTTTTTGGTAAATAATGTGTGTTATGGTGCCATCTCCATGTAACTTGTTGCCAACCAGCTTTAGCTTGCCTATATTTAGATGTGACCTGATTTCACACTTGTACAACTCCACTCGAAGTCTGGAGATTTAAAATTAATATGAAACCTTTCTAGACAAAATTACAGACTAGACAGTGATTGAGAGAATGCTGTTTCCGGTCTATTTAAACAAAGCATAGATAATAATATAGATTTCTACTTTAGAAACATGTTAACAATAGAATAAAATGTTGATTTAAATGAGGCTGGGATTGAGTACACGGCCTATTTTTTACAACTTAGCGCGTATTTTGCGTTGTACCTATATGTCAATCCTCTAATTGTACGTACAGGCCACTAGAATTTTAAAAAGATATATCGAAGGATTTTAACTAAAAAAAGTCGAAAGTAACACAACCCAGTTATATTATAGTTTTTTTAAGCTACAATGGTTTTGTAAGCCTTAATAATAACGGAAATGATATTCTAAGTTATTCGAACGGTTGTTCTGTTAGGCGAAATTATTCGTTAAGAAGCACATAAATACCTTGAATTCTGGTAAGTATAAAATCCTAAAAGTTTTAGAAGCAGTAGTAACGATAGCTCTTTTGCTTCTAACTGACCACCTCCTTGTTCTAAGAATTGCTATGATTTCGTGCGACCTTTAAAAGGCGACATACACAACGTCGATCGACATTAATGCTGACCAATGACATGTTGTTGCTGATTTAATGAAAAAGTGGTTAAAGATAACTTCTTTTAAAAATTAGTAATCGACTGCTATAAAACTATATTATTTGGACGATATTCGCCAGAATTACTGACGGATCCTATGATAAAACGATAGGTCTCTTGAATAGACTCGTTTATCGTTAAAGGAACGAAAGCTTTAGAAAAGAAAGCGGTGTAATCTGCTTGATTGTATGGATGGCGTAGTGGTTTAAGCGGTCACCAGACGCTGCTTACTGCACTGAGTGTTGAATTCGATCCCCACATGGATAACACATTGTGTAATCCACAAATTGTCTCGTTGTTTTTTTTTTGTGTCCCTTTCATGTACGTTTGTAAAGTCTCCCACATTCCTATTGCAGTAGTTGTAAGATTTCCTTAGTGGTTTCTAGACTCTAATTCCTTTCAATACTGTAAGGCGCGCGTATACCATGAAAGAGAATCCCCACTGTTGGGTAAAGACCTTCCTGGAATCCTTCTAAACAAGTCGTTTCGGGTCTTCCTAGTATATTTCTTACTAAATTCGTTGCTATAAGCTGAGAGTTATGCACATCCGAGTTAGTAAATCGAATGAAAAGAATTCGAGCGATACGAAATGGGGCTGATTTTAGTAATATATGTCGATAAGTCACTTATATAATAATTGCAGGAAACGGTTGATTAGGTATTTTTATCCTAAACAATAATAAAAATAACTGTCTAGAAAGCCTGTGTTTCTTGTATTTATTAGAAGTCTTAGAGAAGGACATACGCGGCTTTAGTCGTGAAAATAAATAAATAATATACAATAATTTAAAGGTTGTGGAATAGAGGATAAATTTTTCATAGGACACTACAAAATTACTAAAGCTTGTTGATATAAAATATACACCATTTTATATATATACAGTGTAACTTCTATAGTTTTGTGTAAAAAATAGTGGCTACGCAGACAACGTCACCTTGCCGTTACAGTGACTTGCCTTAAAACTATCAATGCATCAATTCTCTATGAATGAAAAGGCGTATTGTAAATTTAAACCGCAGTGCCGAGTTTCACGTTTTCTTTTTCGTTACATAAATACATGCGATTATAACGCAAGTCAGGCAGTACAATAATTATACAACACGTTACATGAATACTGTAATTTTTTGTACGCATACAAAACTATAGTATATTCCTTTGAGTCCAGGTACTCAGTACGTAATTCTTTTGCTTGCCTTATATTATGCTGATCACACATACACATCTTTTATCCTCGAAGGGGTAGACAAAGGCGTATTAAAGGCGAACATTTTGTGGACTATAGTTTGGACACAGATCGAGCGTATCTAGAAGCGACATGAAAAATAGTGAACTAATGGTCGCTCAGATTAGATGTTAAATGGCATTTTAAGTGTTTTTTTAAAGTTAGCATTGATTTAAGTCCTACTTACCTAATAGGAGGCATCTCCTTAGAAAGGAAGTTTTGGCCTACCATTCCACGCTGGCTGGCTGGCTGGTTGGTATAGGTTTCGTGTCGAGTTGTCCTTCCCTTTGCAGTGCTGTTTTCCTGCGTAGTTTGCCGCGTTAGCCGACACTTACGACACCCACCTGACAAACAAGAGTGGAGACACTGTATTCTAAATCCGTCGCCACTCGGATTAACCGAATAGGAGACAAGCCATAGCAACCAATACCTTTTTTTTTTAATGACAACTGCGCTATCAATATATCCTATGTGTGTGTATGATTTTACATACGTACATAAAAGGGACATAAAGAATATCTAGACTCAGAACAACAATTTGTGGATCTCACAAACTATTGTGGGGATGTGTGTATCGAACCCACAATACTGAGCGCAGTAGGAAGCAGCGAGGTGCCTCCTAAAACCACTACGCCATCTGTGCGGTCACTTGAATATAAAATCAAATGTTACAACAAAATGTGTTATAAAGTCAAAAACTATCTAAAAACGGCTACTGTATAACTATAGGGATCCGTAAACAATGTGAGTTCAAGTTATACTCGTCAGTGAAAAAGAACAAGACATTCAAAACGATAGAAATTCGACCGCCAGGCGATCTTTAGTATCTATAAACTAGCTGGTACCCGCGACTTCGTTCGTATGTAATTTGAAAAAAAACGTTGCCCTAGCGATACGTGACTGCAGTCCATGAGGCCTCGGGTTGGGTTCCCGGACCGGGCAAAAATAGTCTAAGCTACTCCTTATATAGAAAGCTACCTGGTAGTACAATATTATCATAATCGGTGCAGCCACCCAAAACAAACAGACAGACAGACAAAACAATATTTAAACAGATTTTTAGGCATTGGTATCGTGCAAATAACCGTGTGAGCATGAAGAAACACATTTATTTGACATTACAAACAAACACTTCAATTTTATTTATTTGTACAGATACATAAGGGAAACCTTATATTTAAGTCCATGCCACCGCTTACATATAAACCTTATCGACCAGTCCATTAGCACAACAGAAATTGGATTTGTGTCTATTGTGACGGGAACATTATATAGTTTGGTTTGAACGTAAAATTGAACTAGGTAAAAATATTATCATTGGTTCATCATTTATAATATGTAACATTAGACATAGAAATTATTACTACTTGTAAATCATATTTGATGAAATGATTGGCTTTAGTCACAGCTATTTTACATGGGATTGTGATTTCGTCATAGACAAAGATAAAGCCATTAAAAACAATCGAAATTCTTTTTATCAAAGATTACGACTTTTTTTTAGATTTAGACCTTTTACGACTCTTGCGCAGGCGTATAATAATAATTAAGTAGTAGTTTTGTAAATCAGTCACATGATGTATAAACAATATGATTTATCACATGTAATCTTGATTTTATTCCAAGCATATGTAAAATATTTCCTCTCGCTTTCATGCGATTTGTGGAATTGATTTCAGTGTGTGAGTGAGTGAAGATTTCAGTGCGGGCGAATCGCAACGCTGTGTGATCAGCGAGTTGATGTAAAATAAACTCACACTTGGCCCACAAGAAGGTCGATTAGCTGCTAGAGTAGGCTGTGAGATTTCTAATATTACAACGACTACGTTTTTGTTTGGCCTTACAAATGTGTTATTAGTATTTTTCATTGAAACTAAAATCTGATCGCTTAACGTGACCTTTGAAATTACAGAAATAATTTACACAGCATAGTAATTATAGGTAATTATTCGAGAGATGAGTTACCGTCGAATGTTTATTGCTTTGGGTATAGGTTAATTGTGTAATATTGCTATCAGACTAGATGATTATCTTGTGCGCAAATGTATTTGCACACTTTTACAAATAACAATACTACTATAGTAATAAATAATGATTATAGTAGTAGTAAAGTCTAATATAAGAGGTACTATTGCATTGGGCTAAGCCTGTAAAAATAGTTGTTTTTAAAGAAAATAAATAAATAAATAAAAATAAATAAATATTTGACAGTTCTGACAGATTGAAGAATAGGGAGGGGGTCGAATACTTAAAATTTTGTATTTGCTAATCGATTACAGTTTTACATAAATATGTATGTTTCTGTAAAACCCCGTATATTATTATATCTTATACAAAACTATTAAATTTTACTATATAAATGTGTGTAGGTAAATGTCAGAATTTTAGAAGAGAGATCCATCCAACCCTAACCCAGCCAGATATAAAAAAAATGAGTGTTTTGTTCAGTCTTGCCATTGCTTCGTAAACCATAGTGGGTTTACGAAGCAATGGCAACTATAGGCAAAACAATGATTCCAATCTTCAACAAAAATAGATCGAAAAATGAAGCAAACGAGCAGACAGTTTACCTATGGTGACTACCTCCACTCATAGACAACTGCAACTTGAGAGACTTAACTGTGTTGCCACCCTTTAAATGTTTTAAACAAATAAATGCAGCTCCTTTTAAAGCTCTCAGGCCACTTACAGTACTACTAAGATTACTTTGTATTATATTATAGGAGATGGTGGTGTGTACACTCCCCGCAAGCTGCTCTCGGCGCTGGTGACCAAGCTGCCGCAATTCGGTGGCGGAGATCAACACGACGCTCACGAACTGCTCCGACATTTCCTCGAAGCCGTCAGGTATGGGCAATACTGGCGACATATTTTAAAATTAAAAGGATAATATATCAAATAAATACATAATTAGGACAACTAGAAGACAGGACACGTCATCCTATGTGTTTAAGCTTTTTGTTTACACATATATTTAATAGATAATAATAAAGCTTTCGTTCTAGCTATGAGGAAAAATTGCAAAATTTAACCATCCCCGGACTCACTTTAATCGACTCAAATTATTAACGACAAAAACATAATTCACAAATAATAAAACTAATTATTATCTGTAACCTAATTATTATCATCACCTCACCTCATCACCTCATTATTACCATTTTCCTGTCATTTCCCCTATTTAATAATCGGAAGTTATACAGGGTATAAGGGACATCGTAACGAATACTGAAAGAGAATCTTCTGCGTCGAAAATCATTGGAATTTTACACCGTGTATATGATTGCACGGATGGCGTAGTGGTTTAAGCGGTCGCCCGCGCCGCTCACACTACTACGACACAGTGATCCACAAATTGTTGCTCTGATTCTGTATGTTCATTGTGTTCGTTTCATGTATGTTTGTAAAGTCCCCCGCGACACAGGATATATTCCTAATGCGGGAACTAAGATCATGTGTGACACACAGTAATAAAGTCGATGTTGTTACAGGTCAGAAGATCTTCGGCGTTACCAGTCAGTGATATTGAATAGCCTCGGCATGAGTTCCAAGGTAGACCCTGCGAAGGTCGATGGTGAAGTCAAGCAAAAGGTGAAATTCTATGGACAACAGGCCTCCGACACTATGTTAAGGCCTGAACAGGTTAGACTCACATGCATTTCTCTCAAATTAAAACCGCCTTAATCGAGTGTAGTACTCGTAGTTTGAAATAAATTTGAAAAAGGAAACTGTGTCCTTAAAAAGTATGATTTTTTTTATGTGTAACATACTGTCACTGTCTCTCGCTTTCCTGTAATCATTGGTGAACGAGGAACGGAAGTGTGTAACAAGAAGAAGCTTGCGCTATTTGATTTGACTAAATTTGCAGTGCCAGAGTTGGCCATTAGATGGTAGGTGAGATGTCAGATGTTTACACATAATATGCGGTTACTGTAAGGTTTAATTTTCACCAGCCATAACGTTCTTCTTTAGCCTTTAAATATATAATAGGGCACATAGAAGATTCACTTCAATATATTTCCAAACTGATTGGAATATCGGGTTTGTTTCTTCTTTTTAAATATTTTTAGTTCAAGTTGTTTCCTAAAAGCTTTCTGTAACAATGCTTCAGGTGTTCCGCGGTTTCCTAGTCTCAACCCTGGAGTGCCAGGAGTGTCTTCACCAGTCAGACCGCGCGGAGTATTTCTTAGATCTTTCATTGCCTGTCGCAGCGAGCAGACCACAGCCGCCTGCAGTAGTGAGACGAAAAACGCCCAATGGTAAGTTAATAAGAGTGAGTAGAGCGCGTGTTTTGTTTTTAATATCCAACATAACATTTGAATCCCCTCAGAGGTTTAAAGTCATATATATATATTACATAAAATAATTTGTAGCACTGAAGTAATATTTTGATTTGTTTGTTTCTTTATGCACGAATGAAAATGTGCCTGCATGCATTTTCTCTCAGTGCAGAACAGAGTAACTATGCAATACATATAAAGGGGTAAAACAGTTATCAGTAATAATATAATAAATAATATTATGACATAAAAAAATTAGGTCAGTAATTTTAGTATGTGAAAAAAGTTTGTGGCCTATTTTTTTTTTGCCTAAGTAATTTTCTTCGTCTGTAATCTCTTATTTAATTTGTTTTATTAGATTGTATTCTATTCCAATTCTATCTTTCTTTCTGAAAGATATACAAAGGTGGATAAATTATTCCAATACCTTTTACAATACAAAATAACCTGTATTTCTCTTAGCATTAACTGTGGAATATAATTTTATTACAGAAACTGAAAAGTAAATTTTATTTTAGAGTCCACAAGATTATCGAGTATAAAATATTGATAATCTTTACTTTACACAAGAAAAGGCTATACAGTTAACTAAAATAATTTTAGTTTAACAATTTCGTAAATCTAACTTAATAAAATGTAATTACACAGTACAATACAACAGGTTAGTTAGACAAAATAAAAATGTCCCTTCTTCCACATGGTCAAACTGGGTAGTCAAACAAATTTGTCCAACAGGAATATTATTACAAATTATCTTTGATGACGGAAAATACAGTCAAGCACAAAATTATAAAACAGAACTTAATTTTATAATTGAAATTTGTTTAATGTAGTTTATCAAGAAAATGACCAATACTTATATTGTTATGGAATAGTTGTAACTGGCAGTTCATTATAAATTGTTCTGTGCTCATATATTCCTTTGGCGCTAAGAAGGTTCGTTGTCATTGTAATCCAATTTCAGTAATGTTGACAGCAAACGCGATACTGTAATCGAACGTTATCTTGTTCAACTATGCATACCAGTTTCAACCGTATTATTAGTACGATGACTTGATTGACGACATATGATTTGGATGATGGTTGGTATTTTAAAAATATTTATTAAACTGTTTTCCTTTCTGTCCCTCTATGGAGTTAACCGGTTTAATGTACTCCGGAGTCAATCTTACCTGCAATAGGTAATAAAGAGCCGAATATAGGCCCACGCTTCATACTTTCACTTTTTTGAATTTTTTTTAAGCGGCGGCATGTCCAAAATTTTGCCCATTTTTATGTTCTTAATTTGTAAAAAAAAAGTTGTACAACTTTTTTATTTTTGTACTTTATATATTATCCACGTTATAATATAATTGCAAGGGACGCAAAAAATATAATATATAAGAGACCATTCAATACAATTAAAACAAATAACTGGTAATATAATACAGATTACAAATAATTTTTATCATCACTGTACTCAATTGAATATGACAAATATAACAAGTCATTATCTGAGAAGTTTGACCATCTGGAAAAATTATTCCTATTGGACAAATTAGTTTGACTACCCAGTTTGACCATGTGGAGGAAGCGAAAAATGTTTAAAAAACGTTATAAACCCTGTCTCTTACACTAGCGTGACCTGTATGATAAGAAGCATAAATACCTAATATCATCATAATATTGAATATCATCCAAAAGTGCTGTAATTTTCAATACAGGGGACAAATGAAGGTTTGTTGGATGTTGAAAATAATGCCCTCAACACGCGCCTTACAAATATGTGTTGTTATGTGTGTCTATAGCAGAATTCCAATGTTACCTATAAAAAATAGTCTTCTTGTATCACCTATATGTTACATTATTTTGATGTGCTTCTAAGATTTATTAATATTTATTCCTATTAAAAGAAATCTCTGAAGGATTGACAGTGGACTATTAAAGGCGTCGATGTGATATGAAATGAGTGAAATGTGCTGTAAAGTTAAAAAATCTTAAAAACTGCTACACAACTATAGAGGTCTAGTATATATTTTGACCTGTCATGTTACAAGTCTATAATTACAATGACAGCTTAAGTTATATTGGTCAATGAAAGAAAACAAGACATTCAAAACAGTCGAAGTTCGACCGCCAGGCTATTTTTATATAGTTCATTCGCGTTAAGAAAATAGTGATCGATCAAGCCCCGTCCCCGACCAATCAGATTCCAAGTATTGGTACGAAACGATGATTTTTTACAACCTATACTATAGTTAATAATTAAAACCTCACAAACATAAAAATCATTGATTCCCTTTGTTGATGTTGCTCCTAGACAACAATTACCCTGCATGCTTTCCCCAGCTTGTGTCTGTAACGCCTCTTGATGTGTAGTAACTAAAGCATGTATTGATTGTAAGCATATTTTCAGAAGAGAATATGTACAATACCCAAGAGGAGAACAAACCATCCAAACATCAACTGAAGAAGGAGCGGATAGCTGCTCGCAAGGCAGCTAGGAAAAATAAAGGTGGTACTATTGTAGCATGTACATGTGTAGACTATGTTTTATATATATGTTCTGGTTCGTCGTAGACTATTAAGATATGTAGTGTCCTTCGTTAGGGAAATAAAGCCACAATTGCTAATGTATTTATTATATTTTGGATTTCAAGGACGCCGATCACACAAAACTTTTGTTTACTAATGATGTAAATAACAGTTTTGTGTGACCAGCCTCAACTATGTAAATAATAAATTTTAGCACAACCTCAAGTCTATAGTCCATCACCGTCGTGCGCGATCGTCCTGCGGGGTGACAGACGGTGGTGGGGACGAGGTACTCAAGATGTCAGCGGGTAGCGGGTGGTGTAGCGGGGAAGGGAAACGCTTCTCTTCGTGTGTAGCCGTGTGCTAGAATGACGCGCTACCTCGCCCCCGCCACTGTCTGTCACCCCGCGGGACGGTCGCACACGAGATTGCTGGGTTATAGCGCTTTACTTAAAGCAAAATCATGGCAAACGATTTTTTTTATTGATTAGCATTTATAAATCTACTAACAGATACAAACAATACTTGAAAGTTATAAGGTTGAACATAGTATTTATTATCTTCGATCTTGTTCTTAAACCGTTCTCTTTCTTTTAGGTAATTCAACTTCGAAAGAGGATGCTCCGCCTGGTGATACAAATGGCACGACCAAGGTTGACGGTAAGTCATCCTCAGAGCAGTCTGACGCTGACGTAGAAGACAACCTCGAGGATCAACCCCGTCCCGTCGACACTCACACCGTATCTGTAGGCACGCAGGCCGTTGCTCACACCGCGGCGAACTTTGCCGCTTACCACATGGAATCCGGGTACAACTCCGAGAAAGTCATCAGCTCGGACTCTATCCGAACTAGTCCCGTCGATATGCATAAAGAGAAAACAGACAACACCCCCGAACATATGAATAAGGATAAAGTTGAATTCGCGGATATGTCCACATCAACCACTGCTGTTCCACTTGATTATAAACCTTTAAAATCTTTAGAGAACCTCTCCAATCCGGATTCTGGAGTCGCGAGCCCAGAGGCTACTAAACATAATTCAACGGAAACTGTCGATAACGTCGACTCCCCGACTAATGGCAAAGAACTTGGTAGCCATAGTTCCCTCTCGAGCGAGATCAACCTAGATCTATCGAGTCCACAACATAATAAACTATCTCCTAAAACAGAGTTCGAGAGACCCGTATCGAGAATATCCTTCGTGCCCGAGTATACAAACGAGGTCGTATCTAGAGGTATCAGCGTCCAAGGATGTCGCAGTTTATTAGAACACAGCGGAGAAAGCAGTTACGAGTCTCTCCCCGAGAGCAAGACTCTCAACGACTTGAACAATCATTTGGATAAACTCAAACTTTACATGGACGATTCCAAGACTAAAAAACCAGCTTTACCTTCGCCAGTTGCAGCTGAGAGTCCAGCAGATCCTCCTCCACCTGCGCCGAAGCCTAAAATCAATAATATCGAGGCCGAAAAGAGTCAAAGAGACTTCCTACCTTATTCCCGCCAAAGTCCACTTTCACCGCGCTACGTATGCGATGAAGATGAATGCAGTATACAATCCTGCCTTAGCCAATTCACCGCTCTGGAACTGCTGACTGGTAACAACAAAGTTGGTTGTGAGACTTGCACTGAACATCACAATGGGAAAGAAGGGAAAACAGTATACACGAACGCCACTAAACGGTTCCTAGTTTCGAGTCCACCGGCGATCCTCATTTTACACCTGAAACGGTTCCAGATCGGGCCGAGGTGCATGTTCAGAAAGATGTCTAAACACGTCGACTTCCCTACCATACTGGACTTGGCTCCGTTCTGCGCTATGGACAAAGTTAGAAAACTTCCGAACGTGATGAAGGGGCAAAATGAACTTCTTTACTCACTATATGGAGTTGTGGAGCATTCGGGAGGCATGCACGGAGGTCATTACGTAGCCTATGTGAAAGTGAGAGGCCCTGTACGGGCTGGCGACCCGCGGTGGTGGTTCCTACCTAAAAGTGGAAACATAGTGGCGTCGCCGGCCGGCAGCGGGGATGTCGAAAACGACTCTGAATCTGAACTGTCAGGATACGAGTCCGGAGAAGGTCCGCTACCCACAGCGGAGCCGCCTTCCGGTAAATGGTACTACGTGTCCGACAGCATGGTCTCCGAAGTGAGTGAGGACAAGGTGCTCAGAGCGCAGGCCTACCTCTTGTTTTACGAGAGAGTTTTATAAGCGAATCGTCCGTGTACGTTGGCCTAAGATTTGGATTGGCATTTAAGTGGAAGACTGGTAGGATCAGTTATACATAGGTTTGAATGAAATACGTTTTTAAGAGTGCTGTAAATAGCTTCCGAATATCTACTGGCAGGTTTTCGTAACACGAGTCGGCTGCGCTCGGCGGCTTGTGCAATTAGTTTATTTAAATTAATTAATTGTTTATGTATATTATAACTTGTCATCGGTCATGGCTCTTGTTATAGTATATGTTCAACATGTAGTACGCACTGTGCTGTGTTACCATAGGTGCTAGACGAAGCGTTTGTACGAGCACATTGAACATTATTTTACAACAAATTAAAACGCGAATCGTCCCAAGCTTTTTAAAACATTAAATTATAACTCCTAGACATACCGTTAACAGCTTCAGCTTTATTCTAACTTCGTTTAAACAATCATAAGTTTCTAGTAGCATAATATGCATCACAGATTAAAATATTATATTAATCTGTGACGCGCAATTAATATATTGTAAGGATTTTTCAATGACATTGTGTTTTTTTAACTTCGTAGGCCCAAACCTTAGGAATTGAGACGAAACCAAGTTGATAAACGAAAGCTACGCCTGCCTTTTATTCGTTTTGTGATCAAAATTTTAAAAAAATAACAGAATAAGATTAAATGTTTGAACCTTATACACACCTATGTAATTTTTCGATATAATAAGCATAGTATTTATTATATAGATTGTTGACACGTTACACTGAAAGTGTCTAGGCGTGGTTAGTTGACCTGACTTGTACTCGGTACAGGTTCTTGTCCCGTTTCTGTCCCGGTGGCGTATAGTCTTCCATTGAGGTGTCAAGCGAAATGTAACTACATTACCGGCGTATATTTTAAATGTTTTAAATACTGATTTGATTGCATTCGATACCCGCTTTTAACGAACTAGATAAGTTATTTATTCAATGTGTTGTTGTCAATTTTTGGACTACGTCACCTAGTTGTAAAGTGTTTTGTTCATCAAAATGTATGTACTGATTATGAGATTTATATTATAACATTGGTTACCATTAACTGATGTATGTTAACTATTGTTCGATTCATTGTATTAGTTATCAATATCGACAAAAACATTACTTGAATGGTCAAATACTAGTATATCTCTTGCCGCTCCAACAATATCTCGATCTTATATCTATAATGGGACATAAACCAATAAATAAATAATATAATCTAATTGATCTCGCGTTGTTGGTATATTTTAACCTAATTTATGACATAAGATCGTGCCATTTTACGGAAAAAATGGAGTCCCAACATAAAACGCGTTTAATTACAAAAGACTTATGTCTAAACGTGACAGTTTTTTTTAAACGTCTAGAGAAAACTTTTGTAGCTATTCAGACTGCGGCCTCTCTCGCTTCTGAAGCATGGTGAACGACCTTATTAAATATATTAATACAATCATGAAATAAATCGGACACAAAATTAGGTAATTTTCATGTCGAGTCTTATGGAGTCGATTGTACATACACATTTTATAATATAGGCTACCTGCAACGTGCGATGGCGGTGCGGGCGCGCCCGCACTCGGTCGCCGCAGATCCCTTTAGTTTTTTTTTTATATCTCGTGTATAATAAGTTTTAATCGCATTATGTAACATTGAGTGCTCAATTTAGTTGATTTTACCGTGTGCAACTAATTATGTTTTGTTTTGGAACTTGTTACGATGGTAATTCGAGTTTGAGATGAAAACACTTGTTTGATTTCGGAATTTGGTATGTAACTGAATATTAACTACATTCATATTATTGTGTTAGTCGACAGTAAGAATAGACTCCAACCAAGGTGCTATGATTTAATTCACGGCCTCCCTAAGCCGATTATTAGGGAGAAAAATGAACGTGGGTCTGAAAAAAAATATTGCTGCTGTACCTAACAATATATGTACATATATAATGATCACTGAACCGCTCCTAAAGCCCATCGCGTGATGTTACATAGCATATATAACTTCCCTCAATAAATGTCCTATCTAATAAAATAGGAACTATATTCATATCTGACATTCCGTGCCGGAGATTGCACATTTAAACAAAGCAAACAAAAAAAATTTGCTGAAATTGCAGTATAAATTAAACTTTATTTGTTTTGAAATGAATTCATTTAAATTAAGTCTTAAAAAGTTAACAAGTGTAACTCCAGTTTGTCTTTGGAAATTCGATTTAAATGTTATTTTTAGCTTACTTTAAAAAGGGGGAGGTTCTCAAAAGTAAATGATCTAGGCACAGGTCGCAAGTATTCCATCTCAATGTCCCGAAAAGTATCCATGTTCAAGTTTCACGTTGAGATAGACTATTTTTATGATTGCATTTGACAACATTATGTTAGTCTTGTACCGTTAGTTATTAGCTTGTGTTAATTATTTGATATTTTTTTGTATAATATTGAATTCACATAATTGAGTTACAAAAAAGTGTATTAAAATATAGTTGTAAAATGTATATTGGTTTTAATTACATCTACCCCTACCCTACATCTATTAGGAAATTAACCATTAGAGCAGAAAAGTACATGGAACCACACCGAAAAGAAATTCCACCTTTTTTAGAAATTTCTATTTGAGCGGAAACCTACCATACCAACGAGGAAATCAACATCTTGTGGCATTGCATTTCTAATCTAACTCAGCTATGTTTCACAAATAATCTATAGCTCACTACATATTTTGTATACTATACATAATTTGTGAAACTTTTTGGCGGAGCAGAAAAATATTAGGAATCGGACTAAGTGCATACAGACGAGCTGCACTTTGTTGACAGCAGATACCAATGCAAACGGCGACAGCGATGGCGGTTGTGCTCGTTTACAGATTACTTAAACACAGGACGAGGACCCACAATGAACGTGTCTTTCTTTGTCGGCGACGACGAAGTGAAAGCAGTTTCCTCATCGGAATCCAAACTCGTCCTCAAAAAAAAAAAAAAAAAACGTCGTCACCAGTCGACGTTGGGGACCAATAAAAACAAATGCCATAAACAATAATCATTTATTTAAAAAAAAAAAATTGTATAGTTACGTAACCCGCCTTTTCAGCTGCTCTACGTCTGTGCAGTCGAAAGGCTTGTAACCCGTTATTTTTGGCACTTCTAACATTGTTATTTCTATTATACAATATAATACTTGAAGTTTGTCTCTGGCTTTTTTTATTGCCTGAAATATGAAAATAAAGATGATGTTATAGCTACGGGTATTACTTGTCACAAACATAAAAAAATATTACTTCCACATTTTTTCCTGTTGGTCTAGTGGATAATGATCCTGATTGTAAAATTTCAAATTGTGGGTTCGATTCCCATCGAAGACAAATAATAATAACTTTACACGTCTCACACACGGCCGTCTGGTCCCAAACTAGGCAGAGCCAGTACCATGGTGACCGGACTGCTAATAAAGATACTTAATACATATTATAGATCAACAACGATCGTGCTCATCGGCACAATCATTTGTCCTGGGTGGGAACCGAACCCACGACCGTAGCAGTCAAGGTCACTATCCACTAAACCAGGCCCATCAATTGTGTGATGGTCTTCTTTATCTAGTTAATAAGTATGTAAATACGAATATGTTTATCAGCAGTCTGGTTACCGTAGCACAAGTAGGCACGAAGGAAGTATGGAAAATACATATACCATAACTCACCGAAACAACTCTCTCCTTTAATTCAGGTTTGGCCGCCATCTGTTTTTTCATCACGTTCATTTCTTGTGGGGTGACCCCAACTAACTTAGATAGTACATCACTAGTGAATTCCACATCCAATCTACCAGTTCCGTCTACAATAGTACACTTCAAACTCCATTCATCTTTGCTTACCGATAACTTAGATAAGAGAGCCATCACCTGCCCCTTCACTTTAAACACTTGCCCATTTCTATCTCTTTCACTCATCTCTTGCAACTGTTTTATGTACACAAAAGGTTCTGCAGACACGCGAGTAACACCTGTTTTTTCTACAGTTTGAAGTTTATTTTCCTTTGCATCGATTTCTGCTTCGATCTCCCTCAAGTATTCTTCGTCTTCTTCGAATATTATGTCATTATCGTCTGGATAGTCCTCAGGTTTGTTCACGGTATCAGTTTTTAATTTCTTTTCTGGGTTTGTAAGATCGCTGCTTATTGGTCTTTTGCCCGAGTTGTCTGTGAACTGAGCTTCTATGGCGGCAAGTTGTTCTATATCTATGTCATCGTCCGCAAAATTATTTGCCGGCTGTGTGACAGTGGACAAGGTGGGTTCAGGTATGTAGTTTGCCGCTGGTGGGACAGTCACATGTGGTGTTGGTATATTTAAGTTTCTTGGTTGGTTTATCGTCGATTCGGTATCTGGTCCTGTCGATGAGTAATGTACTTTTAGAAAATAGCTATGAAGTGCTATATGAATGCTTGTAGTTAACTGCTTTGCTTATTTGTTTGTCCAAGTTGAAGTACAAATGAATAAAATATGCAAGTCATATTTTATTATATTATAAACTAGCTGGTACCCGCGGCTTCGTTCGCGTGGAATATAACAAGCGCTGCCTAAGTGGTGTAGTACGGTGCGCGATTGCAGTCCATGAGGCCTCGGGTTCGATGCCCGGACCGGGCAAAATTTTATAGTGATTCTCTAAGAGGAAAAATAGCCTAAATTACTCCTTATATAGACAGCTGCCTGGTAGTAAAATATTATCAAAATCTATCCACCCGTTTTAAAGAGTACCCAGAACAAACAGAAAGACAGACAAAAAATTCTGGTTTTTAGGTACAGGTATCGTGCAAATAACCGTGTGAGCATGAAAAAACCTATTATTTTGACATATGAACTATTGTATAGATGTGAAAGTGAGTTTGTTTGTTACGCTTTCACGCCTAAACCACTAAACCGATTTTAAAAATTCTTTCGCCAATGGAAAACTATATTATACGCGTAGGCTAGATTTTACCGCGGTAAGGACGACTTACATGCGCGTCAAAGCTAGTCTTAAATAAAAAAGAAGATATGTCTACACTTACTCTGTGTGCCTGATGTTACAGTAACACCTAATTTAGTCGATAACAATCCAGCAAGAGAGTTGGATACTCCTATCTCTTGCACCTCCCCTCCTAACAATTCTACTGCACTCTCTGTCAGCATGAGCGTTCCTCTCCGACATTCTACTGGTCCTGGGAATTATAATAATACAATAACATTTAATTTAACAAATTCAAGTTATTTTGTGTTTTTAGAACCTTATAGGACATCATATAGGTTCAAGTTAGTTCATACCGATGCCGATTTTACATTTTAGACAGGTTACAAACTGCGTACCACGAAACGGCATTATCTGCATCTATTTTTACAGTAGAGTAGTTACAGTAGAGTTGATACAAGGCGTTAATAGCTCTGTAGTTATATAGTGGTTTCATTTATATTATTAGATGTTTACAGGTTCCAGTATTTCTTGAAAAACGAAGAATATTAGCCATACAGTCGGTAACTGTCCTTACAAATTTCATACAGAAAGTAAACTAATTTAAATTAAAAATTAGGTATCTGTGGAAGCGACCTTTTTTTTAATGAATCTAATTCAATCGCAGATCTATGCTTAAACTCTAATATGTAGAAGACATTTAAAAATACACATGTATGTGTATTCTATTTATTTAGTAATGTTTGAAGATCAAAGTAAAGTTCAATTCTGTACACATAACACACTCTCTTAATACATACATTTAAAATTACTTGCCCTAACTGATTCATCAATGTAAAACTGCTAGAGCTTCAAACTTGAAATTAGGCCTGCTGAAAGGAATTTTGGAACTTTCACATTTTTTTTTTTCCGTGCGGAAATCCCCTCGGATACCACCTATCGGTGGCATGTCGGACTCGAACCGCTCGAATAGCTATAATAAAATGAGATGATATATGCTATTGTAAATAAAGAGTAAAAGTTTCATCATACCCTTGATGAGGACTTTACATCCAGGTGTAATATCACAAGATATATTCCTCATTGGCTTGTATTCAATACCGGAAACCTCTTGAACGCCATCTGTCAGATAAAGCTTTATCATCCTGAAAATATTTAACTTAATCAGCCCTTCTACTGCATGGATGATGATGTATGAAGCTACAAGTAATGTGGTGTCGACTGTGGCTACAAGTAAGTTGGGGTCTACGTGTTAGGCCGAATTGAGAGGCTGCCACGCGTCAGCAGGGTTGCACGTACGGCAGATGTTAGTACGATACTGATGTATGTGTTGCGTCGCGTCGTTCGTGTCTAGGCTATTAAGTTAGGTAATTCCTAGACTAGACATAACTTACTAGTAATAAAATATTCAGTTTTTTTTTTAAAGTAGGCAACCTTAAAGTCCTTAGAAAAGATAAGTTATGATATGTTAAGATAAGTTATGAGGCAACTTCTAAGTAAACTGAATAGCACTTTTTATAATGATTTTGCCGAGTGAGTGTTGGTAATATAGTTATATTTTTGTTTTATTCCTTAGCACATTTTCTGATCTTCCTTGTATTTGTCGTAATCTACAATAATAAAGAAGTAAAGATCTCCCACCTAATATTAAAATTTGCCATGTATATCTTAATTTTTTAACTGACTGAGCCTTAACCGACTTAGACTTGGCCTTAACATGCTAAGCCTCAATGCTAACAAAATACCTAAACCAATCTGGACTAAATTTGACACATAGGTAAATTATAGTCTGGAATAGCACATTTTAATGCAGTAAAAGGCATTCTTTAGTGAATATGAAATTCACCAAAAGTTTATATTCCAATAATCGTTTATTACAATTTACCTGTGACTAGATATTTTTTCTTCAAAAGTAGTAGTAGCTTCAACATTTTCCATGTTAACTTTCTGCAATTTCAAGTACTGTTGATAACCTGGTGTACCTGTTATGAGATAAATATTGAAGGAATGGAAGAAGAATATTATAAATAGTCAACTGAGTAGAGTATAAGTTGTCTACCATCTAAGTATTTCCAATCCAATAAGGCATAGTGGAATAAATTAGTTAAGAATTACCATATGTATTTTCCTGCGTAGTTTGCTCCCTTAGTCGGCAACAATAACTACGCAGGAAAACAGCACTGCAAAGAGAAGGAAAACTTGAAACATACCCTATACCAAGCCGTCTGGCCAGCGTAATATAGTGGGCCAGAACCTCCTTTCTAAGAAGAGGCCTATGTCCAGTAACGGACTGTTGCAGGCTGTTGATGATGATATGTATTTTCAAATCTGTAAAATTATAACAAAATTGCACACATTAAGAGACATTCTGGGGGCACTTTGGTCTCTTGAATTGCAGTGGGTTGAGTGCAAGTTTATTTCACATGGACTCACTCTCAACAGTGACCACATTTAGCATTGCGATTGGTGGAGATTTTAGTGTGGTATTGGTTGTGGCCTTCGGTTTCCACATTTAGACTCAAGAGTGGTCCTTTATGCATCGAGGACTGGTTAGCTAGGTAAGCCAACCAAGCTCCTTCCAGAAGCACAGAAGCCTCCTGAGGCGTTCACAGCCTTCTAGCCTTTACAGATTTCAGTGTGGGCCAATCATAGCGCTGAACAAAGTCACAGTGTCGATCGAGTAGATGTGAAATAAACTCACACTGGGCCCTCAAGTGCCTATGGGCAGCGGTGGTGACTAACCATCAGGTGACCTATCTGTTCGTTTTCTGCCCAATGCGTTGTGCATAATAAAATATAAGTTACATATGGCTTGAGGAGCCCTCTTGTGCATTATAAAAATAGAATGGATACTGTTGGCATTCCCTCATGGCGAATAACAGTACCTCAGCAGCTGCATAGCTGAGTCTATTTTATGTAACTATCTATACTTATAATATAAATGTGAAGGTGGGTTTGTTTGTTTATTACTTTCACACCTAAAACACTAAACCGATTTTAAACATTTTTTCACCTATGGAATGCTACATTATCAGTGAATAACGAATAAATATTTTTTTTACGAGGACATACACGAGATCGAAGCCACGGGCAAAAGCTAGTATAAAAATATCCAGACCTTGCTTAAGCATATTATAAGCGTAAGGACTAAGAATTTATTTCTTTATGACTAGTAAAATAGATCTCACCTATATCAATCGTAGCATTGATCTGCAACACAAAGTTACCCGTCAGCAGCGTCTTCTGTTGGCTCTTGAGGTTCGCCGGTAATGACCCAGGACAAATTGTTTTTAAGTCATTAAGTAACCATTGCTCCTTAGCCAAACTTTTTATTTCCGTTTCAGTGTAATTGTTATCTTCAGACAAATATTCGACGCATCTGCAATTATTTATTTATTTATTAACTACACTACGTACTTATATTTAATAGAACAACTTAAAAAATTACTAACCCAACTAGCCACTCTTCATCAACAAACATGTAATGCGATGCTAAATACATCCGAACTGCGTTAATAATGGACTGTGAAGACATATTGATCATTAATGTAATAAATAATATGATTCTTCATCTACACTAATATAAGTAAGACTATACTCTTTGACATTTCTCATATTTACAAACAAATGTCAAAGACTCAAAGTTGAATACAATGACATAATATGTATGATCTAGCCACGCCATATTTGAGAAGCTAACTGGCAACCCTCATATCTTGCACTAAAAGTCTATGGAGATTCTAGGCGGAGTTAGAACTGAAAGGACGAAAGATTTTAGGCAGTTCAAATTCCCGCCTAGAATCTCAAAAATTAAGACTTGGCTTAAAGGTCTTGTTACCAGGCCATAAAAATACAAATAATAATAAACTAAAAGTCTATGAACATTTTTAATATTAAATACTCTCTTAACCGTCCATGACTAGAAAAAAATTTGTCATGATTTACTCATCATACTTTGTTTAATCAAAGATGAGGGTCAGAATTAATTGCAACCGGTCGATTCAAACATCATCATCGTCATCACCATCAAAAGCCTGTAACAGTCAACTGCTAAACATAATACTGCTGGCCTCGACCAATCAAACAAATCTCTCTCAATTTAAACTCCTGGTCTCAATCTATGGGCAAATTGTAAACTTATAACTCCGTGAATTGTGAGGGTTGGAAAGTTGATAATCACTATCGTTCACTCTTTCCTAAGTCTAGACATAGTTCTACTAAAGATGTCACTCTATGCAAAATATTTGATCACTATGACTACTCGTTAACTTGCTTTGATTACAAAGTGGATGATGCGGCGACATCTAAATTTCGTTTCACGCTTAGTGCCATAATATGTGTATGTTAACATTAATTTAATTATTTACTTTTATCTGGAAAAATTCTATATCTAGATTTCAGGATGTGAATAGTTTATTTATAGTAATCGTTTATTTCTCCTAACAACAAATTATTATTACGCTTAGGAACCGTAGTTCGGACTATTGAATGTACATAGTGGGTTTCGATACACCTTGCTAAAGGCAAAGGTACAGTATTGGCCTGCAATAGGCTAATGGACGCTTTAATGAATTTTAACGTATCCAGGTACATATTCTATCAGTTAGTACTGTTACTACTATACAAGTCTTAATTGTGAAAAGACACATTTGCGGAAATAACAATAAAACGTCGGTACCAAAGGTTCTGCAAAGAACTTCTTAATTTAAAGTGATATAATATTTGCAAATAATAAAATAACAAATCGTTATAATTGCTATAGAACAAGTAAAAAACGAATCATTCTCTAGGGTTCCGAAAAAAATTATTTGAAAACAAAATGAAAGCAACAAGAGATCTTGTCATAAAATATGTTAATGATTTTCATAGGGCAACATAAATTGTGTGAGTGAACGCAAAAAGAGCTTGCTGATATTTCATCCGTCTCCCTCGTAAATTTTAGGACTGGGCTGATTGACAACAAAAGGCACTATTTAGGAGATCATCATTGTTTTAGATGTTTCCTAATTAATAAGTGTTGAGGAAAGAGCGCCTATATTTGAGATTTACATTGTGGATGTAAAAATATGAAGCGGCGAAATGCCGAAACTGGGAAGATGCGGCGCCCCCTGAAGCGCACAAAAATCACCGAAGGAATGTACGGAAAGTAAGTGTATATCGTCTAACTTGTGCATGTTTCGACTGGAAGTAATTCTATGTCCCGGTCAGTATATAATTCTGTGATAAAGTTAAATAAATAATGTGATTAGTATCACCAGTGGGGGTAGAAAGCACCATCTGGCTAACAGAGCTCACTTTTAAAGTTGAGACAACAAATAAAGAATTTAAATAAAGAACTCTTATTAGACTTGAGTTCAAAAAAGCACATGAGTTGACTGCAGTTTACAATTGTTTTATGGTTGCATTTCATGTTTTGCATGTACAAATTGTCTACTTAATATATACAATCATGGTATTAACCCGGATTGTATATATTTATTATTTTATTTCTATATATAATTTATTAATTTATATACATAAGAACTCTTATCAGGATAGTTGTGGTAAAAATAAATGAAAGTAACACAAAGCATTTAAAATGTAAAAGCTTTGGGTGCTTTTCTAAACTAATTGTAATTCATTCGAAGAATGTCTAAACTGACTGCATACAAAGGCATTTACTTGGCAGTCCAGTACGTACAGCAAACATATCTTAGGTTCAAGCTATTCTCTCAAATTTTAAGTATATATTATAAATGTAAAATTTATAGTATTTTATAAAAATGTTTTTTTTCCAGTTCAATGCTGTACCTGAAATTTGTAATGATTTGGGCAACAGTTGTGATGGCTGACTACATGTTGGAGTTCAGATTTGAGTTCCTCTGGCCCTTTTGGATGATGCTGAGATCAGTATATGATTCATTTAAATATCAAGGACTTGTGAGTTATTTTTAAAAATCCTGATTTTAATAATCAAATTTAACTATATATATTTGTTATTTCATTTCTATACAAATAACATACAGGATATAAGTTATATATTGTTCAATTAAATATGGTTTAAAACTTAAACAGAATAAAAATTACAATTTGAAATAGTTATGAGTGAAGTCCTTAGGTAACTCAGAGATAAACTTGAACTAGACTAACCAATTCTAGTTAGAGCCTACTGCATTAATAGCGATAAAGTCCTCATTTCGTGTATATAAATATTTGATTTATTATATTTTTCAGCTAATAACTGATATTAGAATAAGTTGATTATGTCTGAACAGAAAACTATTAAAAAAGTCTTTACTTTTAGTTATCAAAGAAAAATCCCTTCAAAATAATATCATACATGATAACATTAATAATTATGCAAAAAGAACGAAACAAATAATAAAGAGGCCAAAACATGTTCTATATTGAAATACTAGAAACTGCTGTACCTAAGAATATTATTCGAACATGTGTTCATTGATTGCACTTCCTTCTTTATTACGGATATGGACTGTTATACGGTATGGTAGTGGTTTAGCTCTGAGTGTTGTGGGTCTGATCCCCGCATCTGAGGCATCCCCGCCCGAGTCTGGGTGTTCTGTGTCCGTTTCATGTGTGTTTGTAAGGTCCCCTGCAACACAGGATATATTCCTAATGCGGAAGCTGTCTTTTAAAAAAAAAAAATTAACTCAAGTATTTTTTCTTTCCATATACAAGTATTTTGGAACTATTTGTTCTAAAAGACTTGTAAATGAAAAAAAAAAAAAAGATAGACTGGATAATGGCAAATTTTAGAAAGATCCAAGTTTGCCTAGTCATAAACAAAATTATTGAAATATAAACCTGAAAATCATAAACCAACTTCTTCTCTAAGTAGAATGTTAAATTCTTACTCACCACAAGCAACAAAAGTGGTGGCACTGGGCTCATGTATGAATTTGTAATATTAAACCTATTGTGTAAATGTTTTACTTTTTAAGAAGATTTTAAATCAGGAATCAACTATATAGCATAGGATATAGGAAGAAGGTAAATAAGCGTAAAAAAAAACAGATAGGGAGACTCCCAAGGGCAAGTCATACAACAAGTTTTGGTTGGGGAAAGTCAAATATATCTGCAAAAGTGTTAACCTATCCGTTGTCTCTCAGAGTTCTTTCTTTCTTCTCTTTTCTTTTCCACATAAACAAAACGCTATCTAGTCCCAAAGTAAGCAGAGCTTGTACTATGGGTACTAGACAACTTATAAATACAAATATACTTTTTTTGAAATACATACATTGAATGTTCATGCACATAAATGTTTGACTTGAGCAGGAATCGAACCTCCGACCTCAGGAATAGCAGTCCGTTACACAAACCACTACACCATCTGGTCGTATAAGTTTTAGATTGAGTAGGTAATTATACACAGACCGTGGTAGACAATGTTCACTGGATGCAATAAATCAGAGATTGCAAGTCCAGCCAGAAAATGCTATAGAATAGAATAGAAAAATTGTATGAAATAAATATTATTCTATTCTATATGACAATGGTTTAAGAGTTTTTCTTTCCAAACACTTAATTTTAATACACTGTACATAGTGTACGTACATAGTACAATTTTATTTATAATATTTGGTTACTGTCTGTAGTAATTGTCTCTGTAGTTTAAATACTTTGTGCAAATATAATGTCTGTAAAGTAATTTTTCAGTGTAATAAATGTAGAGGAATGTGTACAGTCAGGAACAGAAATGTTGACTAAAGACTAACTTTACTTTGAATTTTTAGTTCAAAATTTGAACTTTGGTTAAACTTACTTATTCTCTGTTTATTTTCAGGCATTCTCAGTGTTCTTCATTTGCATAGCACTCACATCTGACATGATATGTTTCTTCTTTATACCACTGCAGTATATATTTTTCGCTGCAAGTACCTATGTATGGGTACAGTACGTGTGGTACACATGTAAGTATTATTCTTTGCTCTCTTTTTGAACATATCTTTAATTTAAAATAATTTCCGAAACCTAGAGCATAAAAGTGCCAATTCCGTTGTTCTAAAACCCACTAAACTAAACTATAAATCACTAAAAATTAGTTTAGTTATGTCAAGTACTACGTTTTCAGAATACGAAACGAATTTTCAGTGATTTTTAGTTTAGTTTAGAGAGTTTTCGAACAACAGAATTAGCACCAATATGTTTTCTGAAATACTAATGTAGTAAAGGTCAAAGTTGAGTGCGTCGTCTCGTCACAAGTAAGAGTCTTAGTTACCTAGATACACTGTTTACCGCCTTGTCAATACTGTTTTCCTTAAATAGAAGCTTTTATAGGACAAGTTTCCTGTACAATGTTCGATATTAAAATTCGTGTTCCACATTAAAATTCATGACTGTACTTTATAAAGGTTGTTTCGTACGACAAACAGTGAATGTATGACAAAAATCGGGGCAACTCGATCGAACTCAGATATTTTTTACTGAATCAAAATAATAAATAATGTTTATTCTTATTATTTATCATTTACTAAAAATAATGTTAAAAATAGGTTATTTTTAGCAATTGTCAGATTATCTTTATGTTATATCCTCTCTATTATTTAAATTATTAATATAAAATACATAATTATAAAAACGTTGTATATATGTTTGATATACCTACAAGCGCATCTACGTGAATAAACTAATTTAACAAGAATACATGTGAACTGAGTCGCAATTGAGGTTATTCTAAAAGAAATACTAAAAAAAGCTGCATTGTTCAAAACTTTCGAATGTAATTCAATATCCGTGGGAATTAGTTTCATCTGTTTGTTACTAAAATAGTGATACGTTTTACAGAGTCCATTTCACTTACCATTCGCATTGTTTTACGATAGTTCCCGAAATAAACACTCGGTACGTAATGCACAATAATGTAAACCTACATTATTCGTTGTACGAACAGGAAACCTCCCATTCGTACGAGAAATCTTAAAGTCGTTTAGTTATTGTAGCAGTGTTCGTAATCTCTCTTAATCGTAATATTTCGAAATATTCTGATTAAGTGTCCCTGTCGGGATCTACACTATTAATTTAAGATAAATGGATAGCCGGACTGAGGTTGCCAGTTATCCGGATAACCATCTTGCCATATATCCGGACAACCATCTTGCGAGATATACATCAATTAGGTATCTTGCCTAACATTGCCGGTGGCTGGTCCCTCGTGTCAGAAGTAATGAAATATATTTCTGCCTTAAAAATAAATAATTATAACAATAGATGGTTTCCCTGAACAAAAACTCCTGGTTTACCACGTAGCAGGGTCTCGTTAAAAGCTGTATTAGAAAGTCATTTAGACTCCTATAGTCTGACTCCTTACTCGACGCAAGATTTAAAAGAAATAATCCCCAAGAGACTGTCCTCCAGTACCACCACCGTCTTTAATACAGCCGTTAAAATCTATGTTGGGACGTTTCTACCAAATAACACTTTAAATTAGGCTCCCTTTAAGAGAAATATGTAAACTGTGTGTTAGGAAATAAATGCGTTATTTATACAGTGCCCTCGAATTTGATGAATTCAGAAACGTTTAGATTGACACGTCGTATATTTCTCCAGAGAAATACGGTGAAAAACAACCATCATCGTGATCATGAACCGTCGCACAGACTAAACAGATTATTTTATTCTTAAAATATGTAGGTATTCATAGTATTAATATGTTAGTTAATTGATTGGTGTTGATTGTGTCAATCATTTCTTTCGGAATACATAGCCTATGTCCTATTCCTGACTATAATCTATCTCTGTACCAAGTTTCATCCCATTCTGTTCAGACGTTCTAGCGTACATTGCGTGTAAACAAATATTCGTATCTCTATCCCTTTATCCAAACTTTCACATTTATATTATTAGTCTAGATTAAAATTCCGTCCGTGTGGTGACGGATTAAGAATACACCCCGTATTCACCACCCCAATTCCTCCCGTGGGTGTCGTAAGAGCCGACTAAGGAAACAAACTATGCAGGACAATAGCACTGCAAAGAGAAGGAAAACTTGACACAAACCCTATACCAACCTGTCTGGCCAGCGTGGTATAGTAAAGCCAAAACCTCATTTCTAAGGAGAGACCTATGTTCAGCAGTGAACTATTAAAGGCTGTTGATGATGATGTGGCATTAAAATTTTAATTAATATCTTGTAACACTACATCTACCATTAAAAGGAGAATGGCAGGTATGTATGGGACTTTTGTACCGCCTTGCGTATCGTTGCATTTATTTGGCTAGTAATATCATCAATAATATCAACATTATGAATGAACTCACTAGTAGGTATATTTATGCCTACTAGTGAGTTCAAACATAAACATTTATGTAAACATATCCTTTTTTATGTAAGTAATTTATATTTTATGAGTGACAATTATTAAACCTAAGGAATGCGTTTTGTTAACAATACTTGAACGTTTAGTTGTTGCATTTTTAAAAATTCTTTAAGACGAATTTATTTACTATTAGCAATGTTCTAAAAATATGATAAATACATGAAAATAGTTAGGATGACTCACTTTATAAAGGGTACAAATCTCATAACCATCCATCATTATATGGGGTACAGGATGTGCCGTTGTCCTTTATGATTATGATATGAATTTTTTTTAATTATATCGATGAAGAAGCGATAAAGAAAAAATGCGTGCCTTCTTTAATTTACATAAAAAGACGTTTGAATTTCATTATATTCTTAATGTTATTCATAATGTATATTGTTTTTTTTTTCAGTTGCAGACAAAGGTGTCTGCGTACCGACTGTAGCGATGTGCTGCCTCTTAGTTTACGTAGAGGGGTTATGGCGGGGGTCTCGGGGGGGCGGGGAGTTATGTAGGCCGCTGGCCGCACACTGCGTCGGCTACCCCGTAGTTACCCTAGGTTTTGGAGCGAAAGCCTTAATAGCACACCGTCTTAGACAAAGGCGGCAAAGGCATGTCAGAGCCATGAATGAGTTTTATTTCCAGCTCATGAGGGATGCTCTGCCAGAATCTGCGCTTGACCAGGTTCGTATGGATTTTTTACATTTTCCTTAATAGTATAAAAGGTGTAAATATTATACATAAAAATTAAGGCTAACCTGTCCCCGCTATAAATATAAATAAATAAATAATCTTTCTCATCTGATATCTGATTTCTCAGTTGTAAGAACGAAATTTGATCGGAACTGAATTGAAACCGAACTTTTATTACGAGAATTGGCATTCGGAACTCTTTTATGGTATTAAGATGGCATATCTGTAACGCTCGCCGTTTAGTCGCAGAGCCAGCAGCAGCCGGCCACGAAAGACGCGAGCACCGTCGCCAACGGCAGCGCAGAGGGGGGAGGTGCACAGTCGCCCAGCGGGGACACGAAGCATATGAACGGCTCGTTGCGGCGGCGGTGCTTCAAAACCGTGGACCAAAATGGCCACTGTGTACAAGAGCACGCACAGCTACAAGCTAAGGTATTTAATATATGTCGAAGTTTTACTGCGATAATGATGGTACATACGAGGTACATCGGTCGCGGGTTCGATTTCTTCTTAACTTAATTTTGTATTATCATAATGACAGTCTTTAATAATTCACTGCTAGACAATTGCCTCTTTAGGTAGGTACACAAAAATGTATTCAATGCGCCTAAATTATGATTATTTATAATAAGCTGAACCTTGTGGACAACCAAATCAATAAAAAAAACAAAGGCAGTTGTAAGGACTACCGACAGAAGTGAAAACTCAAAACAATGGAAAACTGCGTTCTTTTTTTAATTTTTTAATCTATTATAGTCTGAATGTCATGAACACAGGCCGCTATACTACGCGCCGCTAGTCTGGCGCAATACGTCACGACCATGTCGAGGTCATCGTTGACGCGAATCCATTGCTTTTTCCCCTGCCAAAAATCGCTCAACGTGGATAAAGATTTTTTTACTTTAAAAAATAATAATAGGGATTGTTTATAATATAGAAGTTATTACTCGTATACATAGTTCGAGGGGGGACACTTTTTTTAAATATTTATTTATTTCTTAAACAATATTACATTGTGTTAAAATACAATTATCTTAATCTAAATTTAATAGTAAAAACTAAAAGAACATTCATGAAATAATAAATTTTAATAACAATACTAATGATAAAATAATTTGAATTTTAGACATGCAAAAATATTAACTTATTACAATGTCATAGGTACAAATTAATTATATTTTAAGGTCAAGAGGTAAATATAAATATTAAGTAGAATAAATTATTGCAATCGTCAATGCAAGTTATTTTATCATGTTATTTCATAAAATCATAAATCAAAATAGAAGCATCCTCAACAAGAACGGGCTGCCGTCCCCACACACTAAATTTGAGTGCCATGAGTCTCCTCGTTTGCCCCCTTTATCAAAACAAAGTATCGCTTAACATCACCCAAACAAATAAAGCCAGCTTTTTGAAGTCGGTTAAAACAAAAATATAACAAATTCTTCCTCATCTTTTTATTCCAGTTAGAGAAATTAGAGAAGCATTTAGCTGCACAAACAGCAGCACGTGAGCGTGAGAAGACACAAGCGCAAACAAACAGTGCGCACGTGAACTCCAATAGTGGGGCCCCCCACCACGGGCTCAGTAATGGCTCCGCGTGCCACGCGCCGCCTGACGAAGACGACAAGCCTGAACACAGTAGTAGAGGTAATGTTACACTTAATAAGCTTTATACAACAAGAGTAAAATGTTACAGTGAAATTTTAAACGTCAGTAGTATACAAATAAAAATCATATTTAAAAAATAATAGTTTTAAAAAACTAAAAAAAACACGCTCTTTATAGAAAATCAAACTAAAAAATAGAAAATAAATTTTAATAAATTTGACTTTGATTTACTTTTTTTTTTTAATTAGTGTGTTATCATCGGTCCTCTATATATCTACCATTAAAATTTCTATTTCCAGGTGGTGCTAAAAACCCAAAGTCAGAAAAGAAAGAGGCTAACACATTAAAAGAAGAAAAAAGAAAGCATAAAAATAGAGATAAAGATAAGGAGAATATTGATAGTCATAAGAGTACAGAACACAGTGAGTATCTGGTATACCTTTGTAAAATCATCACATTTATTTCCTCATCATATTTACTATCATCAGATATATTATTCATATGTATTTCTTATCTTTTAACTAGCTGACCCGCGCAACTTCGTCTGCGTCACTCAATAGTAATAAATTTTCTCCGTTTTCAAAACATTCTTCATTGGTGCTCCCCTCCTATTGGTCTTAGCGTGATGATATATAGCCTATAGCCTTCCTCGATAAATGGGCTATCTAACACTGAAAGAATTTTTCAAATCGACCAGTAGTTCCTGAGATTAGCGCGTTCAAACAAACAAACAAACAAACTCTTCAGCTTTATAATATTAGTATAGATTAAATTTCTAGTTAAAAGTTGTATTTAAAAAAAAAACTGGCACTCCGGGAGTGCCGTCAGAAGGGATAACTTGAAAAGTTAAAAAATTTTGATTATAATAGGTTTTTTTGGTTTGTCTATTCGAAAAGTTCGACATGAATATATATCTATGTTGTACGTATATAGACATTATATGTTTATATTATATATAGTTATATTATCATGTATTTCACCCAAACTCAACTCTCGTGTAAACGGGGCCAATATACGTATATAGATACTTAAAATACAGAGGTGTCGGTAACGGTAACAGTGTCGCGATGTTATTTTCCCATCTAAAAAAATACATTATTTTGTTCTACATGTTCAAAAATTCCACGAACGCGCCAAGTTTTCAATTCAAAATATTCAGTTTTAATACATTATACACAGTCGTTATTTTTTAAATTTACATATTTAATCAAAAGAATTTAATATAACTAAATGATGTTTTAATTGTTCCAGCAAAAGAACAATTAGTTAAAGATAAAGAAATGGGAAAGTACAAAAGATGTTATAAAAATTAAGGAGTGTAAATACTAATAAAGATAAAGAAAAAGAACAGAAAGATAGAGAAACGAGAAATAAAGGGAGAAAGAAAAGGAGCGGGAAAGAGAACGGGAGCGTGTGAACAGGTTAGAGTTCGTTGTATCACTGACATTACTCGTATTGTTGTTTACTTGTCAGTTAAAGAAAAGTGTGGATATATTTAAGTGTCTATAGTAGACCTTGTAAATAACGTAAGGCGTTAATAATTTTAAGGAAAAATTGAGATTTAAAAACACACAAATATGTGTATTTAAATCGCAATTTTCTTCAAATTGAAATGTACCGATATCGCTCATACATCCTGTGGTGTGGTGTTCTACTTTCACGAAAGCAAATTTAGGAACTAAAAAAATAAAGTTTCTTTTTATTACTGTTCTTTTCTACAATTAAGATGACATCTTTTTTAAACACTTTGTATGAAAATATAAGATTTTTTTTATGGAAGAAGGGGCAAACGAGCAGACCTGATGGAAAGTGACTAACACCGCCCATGCACGCCTACAACTCAGGAGTTACAAGCGAGATATGAGATGGTTTTCGTATACCGTAAAGAAAAAAGTTGTAGCTTGTTTCGTCAAGACAACAATATAGGACAATTTGAAGTAATATTTAGGCTTGTCTAATGTATGGTAGAGAGTAACTTTTGAGTGCTGACTAGTTTGTGATGCGGCCCTTCGCTTATGTCCACCTCTCTCCAACACACACTCGGGGCGGTCCTTTTTCTTCGACTCCGGCTCTACAAGGTCTGTCTCGCTTGCTATTAGTTGAATCACGATCGAAGGCCCTGCTCCGAGTCTAACTTTGTTTTCTTGTATTCACCAATGTTAAGCTGTACCAATATTTTTTTTAATATAACATTCGTAAACTGTATGTATTCATTAGCGTCAATTAGCTCCTCGGTCCCCGGTGACGGTCAATATTTAACGTGACTAGTGGTCAATCTAAGTGGTCGGGTCGTACGTTTCGCAGTGCGTGGAGCAGCTGCGGCAGGCGCGGGCGGAGCTGGCGACGGCGCGAGCGGGCGAGGCGGAGGCGCGCCGTGCGCTGGCCGCCGCCGCAGCCGCCGAGCGCCAGCGCCGCGCTGATCATGCTCAGCTCAAGCAGGGCGCACGCCGCTCTGCAGCAGAGGTCCAACTCTTTCTCTCCTTTCTCTTTCTGCCACTGCTTATATTTATGTCTAATTAGCTTCGAGTGGTTAGGGCATTGTATTAATATATTTAAATGGTATATTTTACCAAATTTCATGCAAATATTCAAAGTAATATTAATTATTATTAACAAAATAGTATGTAGTACATTAGTTAAATGAAAATCCGTTATGATCTGGCGAAGGTCAATCGAATCACTTATTAAACAAAAAGACATGAATATTGATCTATCTATTAAATATTTTTAACAAAGCCATTTTAAAACGAATAATTTTTGAAACTGTAAAATGTGGTCCTCAGAGTGAGTACGTGGCGCAGCGGCGAGCGCGCGACGCTGGAGGCGGCGCCTGGGCGAGGAGCGGCGCGCGCGCACGCAGGCCGAGCACCAGCTGCTGCGGGCGCGACACCCAGGCACGGACGCCCAGGTACAACACGACCACCACCAACCAACTCTACGCTTGGACCATAAGGAGTTGACTCGATCCACAGACTTGCCGAAATTTCTAAATTGATGTTACTATCAAAAATAGTCTGTATTTAATTGTGTATTATATACACATACGGGAATGAATGCTATCAATCCTACCTTTAATTTCCAGAGGATCCAACTAGATTGCACTGGCGTCGAAGATCACGGTCACTAAGTCTGTGACGGCGGGTATAAACAAAAATTTGTATATCTTAAGCACTTAAGTGCTTAGTTAAGTAAATGTTTTTATTTATAAATGTTGCACCATAGAATTAAACGGTTCGATTGTATAAATGTAGAGAACAGCGCCGTCTAGTATCGACTAAAGTACATCTGTTAAGATTGTGGTCAATACGAGTAGTTCTGATCGTTACAGCGCTGCAAGTAACGCGCGTAAATGATTCTGGAATATTCTTGTGTCTGGAACGGACTATCGAATACTATGGAACTTTCTAGTAAAATTCAAAAGCGCTATAAAAGCGGAGCATGTTGACCGTTTACAGTCTCGTTTTACGACGCAGCGAATTAACATCGGAGTGAATTTCTAGTGCGACTAACATATATAGTGATTTCTAGTTTATTATAGTGAGTGTTTGTAAATACAGTGAAATAAAGTAATTAACTTAAAATGCTATTTATTATATACCCCGCTCGTAACAATAATGATGACTGTCGACAGCGGCGAGGTGCGAAAAGCGAAGCGTGTCGGTCGCGGCGGTCTGCAGGCGAGGCGGAGGCGGCGGCTCTACGCCGGGACCTACAACGCGCTCGTGACGCACAGCTGCAGGCTGCAGAGGGAACTCACGCACGGCCACGGAAGCAGGTACGCGTTCTCATGTTCTCAGCACCATTTATTTAAATGAAATTGTACTCAATTTTATGTCAAGAAGTCCATACTGCATATATGCATAATACTAGTACTTTGCTCGTTTAGTAGTAAGCCAGTGTTATAGACTCGATAGGGTATCGAGAGTCACATCCGATTTCACCGTAGTCTTCTAAGAATTTTATCCTAATAACAGCGATTCAATTATTTTTAATGTACAATCACATGATCATCATCACACAACAACCTTTAACAGTCCACTGCTAGACATAAGCCTCTCCTTAGAAAGGAGGTTTTGGCCTACTACACCATGCTGGCCAGACCGGTTGGTATAGGGTTCGTGTCAAGTTTTCCTTCTCTCTGCGGTGCTGTTGTTCTGCGTAGTTTTTCTCTTAGTCGACTCTTACGATGGGATGAATAGGGGTGGTGACACTCTGTATTCTTAATCCGTCACATATACATATTATAAACAGGTATCGGTAGTCATTTATCGCTTTACCCTCGACAGTATTGTCCGAACTCTATAAAAAAGATTAGTTTTTAACAGATGTCTCAAATCCTGTAATCTCTTATCCAAAATTTCTGTTTGCCCTTTACTTACCGACACTATGTTAGATGAGAGATATGTTTGATATACAGGTGCGATCATTGGAAGCACGACACGAGCGGCAAGAGCAGCAGCAACAACAACAGCAGCAGCAGCACCACCATCAGCACCTCCAGCAGCAGCAGCAGTGCGCGGTGGAGGCGCCTCGCCTGGCGCTGGCGCCGGGCGGCTGGCAGGCGCTGCACGAGCGCGCCTCGCACCTGGAGCGGGCGCTGTCGGCCCGAGACGCGCGTCAAGCTCGACCTGCTCTCCGCGCTCGGAGACGCCAAGCGCAACATGCAAATACAGGAGGGTGTGTATCCTGGTCTACAGGTTTAAACCTATCTAAATTTAGTAAAATGCGACACGTTGGTTAGCGCATTAAAAACAACTCGACCGATGAGGGTATTTTTTGGTTTAAAATGCTAAATATTTAAAAACTTGGGGTTACTAATAAGCATTCATGTAGAATATGAGTTGTAGTTGTCGGTAAGCCAAAGAATATTCAATACATCATAAAAGAGCAAAGCACAAGTTATAAAAATGTGAAAATAAGTATTGAAGATATTACACAATACTATCTATGACAATATTATTACTAAATCAGGTTCCATAATAAGTGGTAACACGCTAACTTACTGGTTCTGTACGTCTTCGTTGGATGGCATTAAAATACATTTTGTTGCATGTTACGTTAATTTCGAACTCTTATTTGACTTTTTATGCGCAGGTGTAATAACGAGACAAGAGAAAGAAATAGAGGAACTGAAAGCTCAAATGCTGGCGGTGATGCCCACGGAGTTCGTGACTCCGGTGAGCGGCGGCGTGTCCAAGCTGCGCCTGTCGGACGGGTCGCCGCTGGACCCCAACGCGTCCGTGTACACGCCCAAGCAGCTGACGCAGTGCTCCGACGCCTGAGCGCTGCGCCCGCGCCTCCCTCGCGTCGGCAAGTGCCTTAGTTCATTTCGGTGAGTGCTCTCCGAGGAAAATACGAGTGGTACCGTCTCCGTAAATTAACTGAGGTACAAAATATCCGCTGGCGCGTACGACTCGGTGGATCATAACCCTTATACTAGATCTGCGCCTTACTTTTAAGGACCGTGCTGTCGAGCCCTACCCGGTATGTAATGGAACTCGAATTAGTTAATGAGGACAGGGCGCGAGGTCTGCATTATGTCCCGCGTGATCGCGTTGATAATATTATTGTCTAAATTGTTTCACTAAAGCAATCGGATTATAATTTTAAACTTAGAGTACTTACTTTAAACGTATAACTTTCTTTAACCACTTGTCAGTTAGGCCCACAGATTATATAATAACTACGTGTATAAACCTAAGCGCGCTAGGTACTTATATATACAAATACGGTAATTATGTGACGTATACTCGTGAATTATTATCGTGTTCAGATTACTCAGAGCTCTTCCAACAAAATCGATAATGATTTTATTCAATTACTGTTTTCCTTAATATATAATCTGTAGTGCTTTTTTTGTTACAATAACGTTATAAATGTGTTACAAATTGTAACAGGAACAGATATAAATACTCACTACATTAATCATATCTCTAGTTGTCTAGTCGTGTTCCAAATTTAAAATAAGGAACCAATTGTCGCTGTGAGCCGTTGGGAATAGACAACGTTACTATAGACTCACAAGTGGTTCTAGAAATTAATATTGACAGTCGTATTTTTGTTGCTATCTTTTTGTCGTGGCACAGTTCATTACGAAATTGTTGTTTTAGTGTGTAATAATTAAATTTTTATTACTTTATGTATTTTTGCTAGACAATGATGATATGATATGACAAAGTTCTTTAGGCGAGTATTACAATACATAACTACCAGTGTTGCCATAAATATAATGTTCTTTACACTTTTACTAAACATTTTTTATTATATCATGTCATGAAAATAGCATATGGAGCTGTTCGCATGTAAACTACAAAGGTTGTTCTAACTGGTAACAATAAATTGGTAACACATCTTAGTCAACCAATCGCCAAAAGACCCTTGTTGCATTATAGCCGAAATTTCCTATTACACCATGTGATTGTAGTCAAGTAATAATAATTATAAACTGTAAACATTATTTTACAAGTAACGTTTGAACAAATTAACAGTACAAAATGGTTCATTCTCAGTACTGATTTAATGGAATAATTTAGACAATACAACAAAATCTGTGGAATGTATCCATAGGGTACCGTTATCCAAGGAGTGACTACCACCGTGACTGTTGTGTCAATAATGAGCTTTGTATATTCCTCTGGAGCATACTGGTCTTTGTATGGCGTTTCTTATCTCAATTTAGTTTTTTTTTATATGTTAATGTTTTCTAAATTCATACAGCGAGCTGTCAATATGTTTTCGTTTATTTAATATTAGTAGTTACATTTTAAAGTGACTTGCAAGTCACAGCGGTTGGCACCTTGGCCTTGCTGATACCATATTGAGTGGTGATTCCTGTATTCGAGATTATTTTCTTTTTCGTTCGCAACTTTAATAGTATTAAGTTTGATACTGTTGACTGAACACGTCTAGTATTATTTTGCCAATTTTCTTAATTTTTTTTTTAAGTATTAGCGTCGCCACAAGTAACCGCGTATGTCCATACAAATATCGGTACTTATTAAAACATAAACTTAAAATACAAGTGTGTTAGTTTTGTAACATTGTACGTACATAATGTCGAGACAGAGTGTTTATTTTTTCATATGAAATGTAACATTTTTTCCATTACACGCAGTCTTCGATAATGTATCCTAACTTGAGGTGGATTTATTGACGATTGTATCACAAATACGAGATTAAAACATTCGCTGTTTTGCCAGACTTTAGTACTTCTACAAAACAGTGAATGAAAATCATTACAAAAAAAAAAAACTACTGCAGTTCATCCTAAAGTGTGTCTTACTACGTTCACATACGATATATTTCAGTAAACGTTATATACAAAAATTCAAAAGTATTACAATGATCTCGCGATGCATAATCTGGAACGACAGTCGTACATGATCGCAGCAGCAGTCTAATAAATACGTGTTCTTTTAAATTTATGTGATAAATTGTACAAATTATGATCTGATATGAAGATTTCTTCCTTGTATATTAGTAGTTTTATTCGACGTTTTAGTCCAAATTTGTCTGTATTTACGTGTCACGTTTAAAATGGTGATTGATAACAGATCGTCATTGGGACGTTGACATATTCTTGTTGACTATTTCGAATATTGTTTGACACGTGTGTGTATTTATTGACAGTATAAACCATGACATTGACCGATGTTCCGGTTAGACGGTAAAAATAATCTTATAAATGTTTGTCTTTTAGTTATACACATGGGCTTATATAAACAGCTGTGATTGTGTGGACTTCCTTCTCTATATAGATTGATGTATACAGCGTGTTGTAGAAATGTGTGGTCGTATTTAGGATAGTTCTTTAAAAGCTTTTTATTTTTCGGTATAACTTATTAAGGACTTTGATTAATTATCAGTTTTTATGCACATATTTTCTGATAATTCTGACAATCTAGTGAATATCCTTGTAGTAAACGTTTCGGCTACCGTCTAAATTTACCATACAACTCTCAAATAAAACTACACGTTTCTAGAACCCCCTGTATTACAAAATAAGAACGCGATATTGATGTTTGTTATCCAAAACTAGTCTCAACTCGAAATAATAAGCAGCGAAAACGACAAACATGTCCAAATGATCATAAATGCATCTTAAAATGTCTGTACCTGATTTATTCAGAATGCATAATCTATTTAAGTTGGGAGTCACACAATAGTTATGTATTTGAAGATACTTATACGTATAAGTTCAGTTAATAGTTAAGATAGTTGACAGATAATATCTCATTATATTACTGCACATCATACACATTATATACATATACGCCTTATCCCCGTCTAGGGTAGGAGTCTGGCCTATGTGAAACATCAAAATTATTTTGTAGAAATAATGAATATAAAAGCTTATACATATAACATGTAATGCGTTACGTTTACTATCACATAACGTGGCGACGCATCACCAGACGGTCAGACCGTCTGGTGATGCGACGCCACGTTATGTCGCACCCTCCGCACTAGATGTTTTACATCTAATGTATTCAGTTGATGATGGTCATCGCACTATTTCGATCACGGAGACCGGCTTCCGTTTGTATCTTCGCATGTGGCTTATATCCAATTTAATTACTAAAGATTCAGACCCTTTGCCGTCGGGATTTTAACTCGTATCTGGCAACAATGATCTGCTTACATTAATGACAGTAGGTATTATAATGAGATATTACCCAGCCAACTTGAGTATGTACGTCTAAGTACCTTGATTCCATCCATTGTATAATACATCCTAACTAATAGACTTTATGTTCTTCCGCCACTAATGTCCTAATAATTTGTTGCATTTGTATAGTACAATTAGTTTTTATGATGAATCGGAATTGTAACATTAATTAAATGAAGGTTATTTGTCTCTGTACTGTAAAACTGCAGTTACGTTTGGTACTATATTCGTAAGTGCCAATTACTCTTCAGTTAATACTATTGTGACAGACTGAAATATATAAAGCTGTGTTTACTTAGAGAATCAACAACAAAAATCATTTAGAAATCAATAAAAACGTTGTAGTATAAACTAGTAGACAATTTGAGTTGCCATAAATATTATTAAACCTTGATATTTGACTGTCAAGTAATCAGTATCTTTTTATAAAACGTCAAAAAAAAATGTATTCAATACTATGACGTGACGTTATGTCGAGCTATTGTCAAATCATTAATATTTAATGGTGGACTAATTTGATAAAGGAGGAGAATTCATTCATACTTTAAAAATTACATTTAATGATTAGGGCGAAATAATTTATTTAAAATCTAGGAATCTACTCTATTTTTATGTGTGATAAAGCCTGGGTATAAACATGAGAGTGGGTCTTTTGATACGCTTTTATTAACTTCACTTGTTACTAACTTCAGTGGAGTAAACCCGTCAAGTTTGTGTTCATTTGATTCGTTTTGACAAATCTAACACATTGCAATTTTGTAACGATGATCTGATGATGAAGCCAGAAGGTGGATAATGGAAACTATTTGTTAATTTTTAATTAGTTTTACAATTAAAGCGTGTTTCTTTTAGGTTTATTAAACTAGAATTAGTTTTTCATAAATTCATGATAAGTACAAGGAAAATTATACTTAACTTTGTGTTGTGTATAATTTTTTAAGAGATCTGAATACGCTTCTCTTTTTATTATTTATTAATTTGCAAAAGGCAAGCGTACTTAAATATTTTCAATGAATATGATTTCTGAATAATATAATTATGACTTCGTGAGATGATAAAAGGCGTTACCTAAGAATCGACAATCGCGGCATCTTAAATAATAATTTATCTTCAGAAAAACACTAAAACAGTAGAAATCTAATGTTAAATAAAATCTTAAACGTATCATTGGCTTCATTGAATGCATTTTAAAACATAGTTCAAATATATTTCATCTGTCACATTGGTATTGTACAACCGAACACCTAGCATTAAACGACAATAAGACGGACCAAAATTTAAATCCACTATCTTACTTTTGGTCCCAAGTACCAAAGCTTTATATATCTTTACTATGTTTACACATGACGTTAGTGAGTACCTTACTTACTTGCCAAGTTTAAAGATCGCGTAAACATTATTTGATTTGACTTGGGAGATTTCAATTAAAATTGTTGTTTTAAAAATGTTGAATGTTAAAAAAAACGCTCCAGCAAATGAGTTGGATCTCTAACTATGTCGCCCCGCAGATAGTACGTGTAAACATAGTGATATAAACTGCTATAAATGACAAACTGTAGGTATTCAGAAATTCTTTGCTCTCCGTCTACGTTTTATACTACGTGTTTGGAAACCACCACCACAGTGGTTTTTTCACCACAGATTTGCGATAATAAAAAGTGAATATTTCTGTATTATTCTGAGATTGTTGACTTAAAACATTCAGTCTAGTCGTAACCAAGGTCGATTTAACTATGTCTTGCTACAAACAAATACTAGTCACTTGTCTGCCGCGGAGTGTGACCAAGCAGTCAGCTTGGCCGAGATGTGATATATTTTGTAAGAAAAACCAACAATTATTGTAAGTGTCTTATAACACCGCACCGTTATTTTTCTAGGAGTAAATTCAGACAAGTTATAAATCGACCTTTAAAATAATGTCGTATTCTTAAGTTTCAAGATTATTAGTTTTTTTTGTTAATTACAGACTGCGCACTGCCCTCGAAGTAAAACTTCCGTTCCATATTTGGAGACTATGTAAAATGATTGTAAAAGAGTACTTAATTTTAGCTTTAAACTTGATGATTATTTTCGGAACGATCTGTTTTTGGAACTCGGACACCGATGTATATTTTTTCATATAGGATTCAACATGGGAGCGTTATCGTAAGAACGAACGTACAATCGTAACGACCTGAATTTTCACTAGTGAAATATAAGTGATAATGTTTGTTTGTATTATAAACAGATGCTGTTACAGCAATAAAAAATCAGACTTGCAGTATTACGTTTTTTATTTCATCCCGAACCCATGCAGTCATGATATGAATAATCGTGGTACACCTACGAGCTCTTTCAATATCAAGTGACATTACTTGTGTATTGCGAACCCTATTCTCCACTTCCTAGACAGTTGGCGTGACCCTATTCACCATAGCTATATTTATCTGTGTGGTCCAAATGGTAAGTAATGCAAATATGACGGAGGTCTCGAGATTGAATCTCACGCATTGTAGTAGCTACGTAGAGAGGATTCTCCTTTTATCAGTCTTAATAGCTTCAATTATTTTTAAAAAGATTCAAAATCTTTTAAACAGCTCAATAATATTATAGGGGTGGTCTTCTATTTGAGGAAGGCGTTGACAGGAGTAACATTTATCACTTCAAACTCATCATCAACATCAACAGCCTTTAACAGTCCACTGTTGGATATAAACCTCTCCTTAGAAAGGAAGGTTTTGGCCTTGGGGTTTGTGTCAAGTTTTCCTTCTCTCTGCAGTGATGTTGTTCTGCGTAGTTTTTTCCCTTAGTCGGCTCTTACGACACCCACGGGGTGAATAGGGGTGGTGACACTCTGTATTCTTAAGCCGTCACCACACGGACTTTAAACTGCCTAATATCAAACCACCATTCTCACTGTTTCTAAATTACAGTAGGTTTGAACTAGCTAGTAGTTGTTAGAATTATAGACATAACTATTTTTGCATTTCATATAAATGTAACATTGTAAATAAAAATGAGAACTAAATAAGATTAATCTACATTATAAATGTTATAAAAGTAATTAAATTGGTAAAATAAAATGACTATAAAAATTGATTGTTTTTTTTTAATAGACAGTGTTATTTATGTATTGGTAAGTTTCTTATAAATTGCTTGATCATGGCAAATTCTACCAATGTCTCTCTACAATAACAACAAATCTTTTAACCTAGTTGACAACACTTTAACATTACAGAAAACACATTTATTTAATATTTAAATCTGATATCCTAGCCTCACTGACCAAGCTCTGTATCTCTAACTGCAGTCTCAAAGCTCTTTGTAAGTCCATCTTCCTCAACTGAGAAGCAATGTATTTGCCGTAGATATCAAACTCATCATCCTTTTCTCCACAATCTGTATTGGAATCCGTGATTTCTTTAAAGTTTAAGCAGTCAGTACTTGGACTTCTAAGTTTGATTTTTTTCCGTTTATTTTCATATCTACTGTCTAAATTAGCTGTGTGTACGAAACTTCTGTCAATATTAATATTTGGAACCTCTCGAGGTTCTGGTTTTAAAATTAAATTGTATTCTTCTTCAGCGTCAGGAAAGGGGTCCAAAGTTTCATCTTGTAGATGTTCTTCATTTTGTGAAAGCCAAATTTTAGGGGATGTGTCCTCTGATATGTCTTGTTGCTGTAATACATAATTATACTTCTTAACTGTATAGCAATATTTGACTAGTAATATGAGAGAGTTAATAATTTAATAAAATATTGGGTTCTAGCTACATAACAATGGTTAAGGCCACTGTAAACATTGGGCCAAGGTACTGGAACAACCAATATATTGGGCCATCATTTAGAGATCCACTTGGCAGTATCCATGGTAGTTGACGGAAACTGATTAGTATCAGTTTTTCATGCACACATTAAAGGATCTCAGTAATAACAGTATTCACTTTGGTATACATTTATAAAATTAATGTACATACTATTTAAATTATGTCAGCTGCAAGAGATTCCATGCTGCAATGCAGAATAATGAGTACACCAATGTCACCTTAGCTGTATGTGTACATTTAAATAAGTTTTTAATAAATTGTATTCCAGGGTAAAATAGGATAAGTTTAATTTCATAGTTTATGGTGTTACAGTCTGCTGATTTTAAAATCTCTAGGTTTATTTTGATTGCAATTTTTATATTTAATAGATTGTAGATACAATTCTTAGAACACTCTTTTGTGAGGAAACAAATAAAACAAACAAGGTGTTGTTTTAAGTATCTACTTACACTATCAAATGATGAATCTTCCGTAGGTTTTTTTAAAATGCTAAAGCATTTATGCCATTCACCAAACCATTTCATATTTGGTGTGTAAGTCCAATTGGGTCCTGAGCGTTGTTTTATTTTTGAAACCTCTTGCGAATATGTAGATCGAAGGTTCTTTATTTTAATCTTTAACTCAGTTTCATTAAGTAATATACCTGTTGTATCGTTAAGTGCAGCAATGATATCTCTGTAGGCTTTTAATCTTTTACCTTTCGATCTGTAATTAGTGTGCACCGGATTCCACAAGCATTCGTGACTGAGATAAATTTTGACGAACTGATGTGTCTCGTTCTCACTCCACCTCATTTTGATAGTAACTGTTTAGATATGCACCGCCAACCAGGTACAAACAAAACTGCAAAATAAATATCCAGTTATCCACAGAAAATAGGACCACAGATTACAAAGCCATCACAGAGTACATTGTAATATACTGAAAGCCATACCTCGATCGTAAATAAGGAGTAAAACCATAACTGACAGCTGGAACTGACAAGATAACAAACATTTATTTATTTATTATTGTATTTTTATGGCCTGGTAACAAGACCTTTATGGCTTAAAAGTCTTAATTTTTGATAGATAACTTCACTATTTTCACTTCACTTCAATGTTCAAATGGGGATTCTAGGCGGGAATCTGTCTAAAATCCTCCGCCCTTTCAGTTCAAATTCCCGCCTAGAATTCCCAAGATAACAAACAAAAAGCTATCGAGAGTGACCAGTTTAGACATGAGACAAAATCACAGTGAACGGTGATTTATTTTTCGAACGTAGGTTACTACTTATACGCATTGTTGCCAATAAGCTGTTTTCAGACGATGCACAAAGACCCTATTCCGACGATTTAAGAGAAAATCTAGTAAATATTTTATTATATATAGCTACCATTACGTACATAATAATTAAAAAAATAAAATAGATTTCCTGTTAAATAGCATCTGAAAACAGCTTATTGTTGACAACGCGTGAGTAAGTAGTAACCCTAACCTATGGATATTTACAATATTTGCATTTAATACATTTATAATAGATGATGGAATTCGCAAAATATAAATGTCTAATAGTAATTTTACAGCCAACAGCCTTTAATAGTCCACGGCTGGACATGGGCCTCTCTTTAGAAAGGTTTTGACATACTGGCCAGCCGGGTTGGTATGTGGTTTGTTTCAAGTTTTCCTTTTCTTTGCAGGTTTTGCAGTGCTGTTGTCGTGAGTAGTTAGTTCCCTTAGTCAGCTCTTACAACACCCACGGGATGAAAAGGGATAGTGATTCTGTGTGGTGACGGATGAATATCCATATCGGCAAAATAAAAAACGATTGTGCGAAGTACGCTTAAATCAACCTACCCTATGGTTGGTTTCTGAGCAATGAACAAGAACCACATCCTTCTGTGTTTTTCTAATTTCTGGATGGCTAAGATTTTAGGAACCTTTAAATCGATTGAAGAAGGAAAGCGAAGTGCGATTTAACAAACACAATTTATAAAACGAGAGATAGACGTCGAGCTCTGGTAGAGTGTTAGGACATTTTCCTCATAATTCCTACTCTCAACAATACAAAATTTCCATACCATTCAAGTTACTTTAAAATATCTGTTATCGATTTTGAAAATAGGATTGTAACCCCTAATTTTGAAAAATGATTAGTTTAAAATAGGTTTAGCTACACAATGAAGCCTTGTTTAAAAAAGAGGACTGCGCCGATATCGTTAGAAAAATCCTTTTTAACAATATGGCATTAGCCATATTTTAAATTAGATGTACAATATATAGATTTATAGAACTCCATATCGTAAATCATCAAATTTTACATATAGAGAACAATACCTCTACATGCCAAATCAGTTCAAAGTAGCGCTAACATTCTGCTAACACCTATTAAGGTACAATACACGAAATTGATTATATAGTCATGTATAAGCTGGAACTACCAATGCGCGAAAAATTTCAGCAGTTAATATGGATTTTGACTTGTCTTCGCTAGATGGCGCTGTAAAGTACAAATATTAAAAAGGATCGGTCATCCCAGAGTACTTTCTTAGGCAGGGTGTTTATGAAAGTACCAAAAGGCCCCCCAAGGATTTGAGGTGGTAGAAAAGGATTAAAATAAATGAATATTTTCATAATAACTATATTTATCATCTTTGGTATATTGTTTTGAACTTGAACATATTCATGAATAAACATACACCACACCTCGCACTGAATAGTTAGTGATCTGGTATTTATATTTGAAAAAGATTTTCTTATTTTCATAGAAAGTCAAGAAGTAATAACTAGTGAAAAACAAGACTCTAACAAAGTTATGAACAGTAATTTAAAAAAGTCATTCTAGGTTGGAATAATTGTAAAGATACCAATTTTAATAAAGTTCATTTTCCAACAACTTGCTTTGTATGTAAAATATGTTACTTAAGTGTTGTGTTAAACCAGTATAAAAATGCTTTTAAAATCACAGTCTAAAGTTGTAATGCCATAATAATAGCTCATATTTAAATTGTTCTAAATTTTGGATTTTCTTCTATGGTAACACTTTCACTTACAAGAATAAAGGAAAAATGAATGTTTTAAGAAAAATTCAGAAACTTCACCAAATAATTAAACAAAACTATTCCAATTTCAGTGGAGGGTGCCATATGTATTTTACAAGGACTATTAAAAACGATTATATTTTTTTTTATTCACTAGATGCAATATCCGAGATCCTTGCTTCACTAACAAGGTTTTGTATTTCTAATTGAAGCCTTAAAGCTTTGTGTAAGTCCATTTTTCTCAACTGTGAAGCAATATATTTGCCATAGATATCAAATTCATCTTCTTTTGCATACTCCGATACTGGATCTGAATAGCTTTTAGTTGGACTCCTTCGTTTGATTTTTTTCTTTTTTAATTTCTTGTAATATATCGGTGAAGAATGTCGTTCAAATTTAACTTTAGTGATTTGTTCATCAGCTCTATTAGAATCATACTCATCATCGGTTTGAGGTACAAGTGGATCAGGATTTGTTTCATCAGTGTTTATGTTCTGCAGTTCTTGGTCTACCCATATTTGGCACGAAGAGTCTACTTCGGGAATCTCTTGGGACTAAAAAAACATTTTTTTAATTATAATAGCAAATACAATACAATTTTTTTTTAAGATGCTTTGTTTTACAGTTCAACAGAGCCCCTGTCGGGTCCAATATGGTTCAAGAAGCCCCGAAATACAGTTTATAGGGGGCAAACAAGCGGACGGGTCACCTAATAGTAAGTGATTACCACCGCCCATAGACACCTACAGCTCAAGAATCATGAGTGCGTCGATAACAATAAAAACTTGTTTGACACTGTGTTTTTTTGAGGCGTTGGTGTCACTGCAGTCGAGCTGGCCCATGAGTGTGAGTAAAATCATACATCTTTAATACATAAGATTATGAATACTACTCATAATTCTATTATGTTTATAGGGCAAAACTAGGTACAAGCCGTTTAGTCTATAGTATAGGCCTACCTTATACCATTGTCTAGATAAAAATTGCTAATCTATTTTATGTTTTGTTAATTGAATAAACATGCAAATTCAGAATAGTAATGATTCTGAAATAACATTTTAAATTTTGTCTTGAAAATTTAAATTTTCTTAACTACAAAAATTGGTTTTAGTAAATGGTGTTAGGTGTAAAAGTGCTACTTACATACTTTTAATATAATAAGGAAGGTATTTATAAAGGGACTACATGAAAAACAGGAGTAAGTAGTAGTAAGTAAACACAGGACGTTGTTTACTAAACAAGTGTCAATACTTACAATGTTGTTATTCGAGTGACGATTATTTGGTATGTGTTTTAAGCATCGATCCATTTCATGGAACCATACAAGTGATGGTTCATATATCGAGTCAGGACTAGATTTAAGCAGAATTTTGTGAACTTGTTGTACATATGTTGTTCTCAAATTCTTAATTTTCATTTTCACTTCAGGAACTGAAAGAGACTTCATTGTGGCCCCTTTAAATTCTGCACAAATGTCAGTATAGGCCTTTTCCCTCTGATATCTAAGTTTATATCCGGAATGAGCTGGATTCCAAAGACACTCATGTTTAAGATATATTTTAACAAATTCGAGAGTCACCGCTTCGCTCCACCGCATAGTTATTACGATAGAGATTATTAGTTAGACAATACTAGAAGATATTACTTTTCACGACATTTTAACTTTGCTATTTTCTTACTGCCTCTTCTTCGGAAAGAAGACATGAATAAATATATTGCAGATGTTATTTGACGTATTTTAATACACTTTAGCGATGCGCTTATGCGCGATAGCGAGTCGAGCGACAGACGCGACAGTCATGTTTAAGTCGATGAATTCGATTGTGTGAACAACTCGAGCTATGGAAGTCATCATCGATTGTTTTGAGTCGACTAAAGTGATTGTTCATCAGACGTTCACTTTTTTCATTTGATTATGACACGTTAGTCGTCCCGGATGGAGGCTTGTTGAAAGCAATACTTTAAGTACTCCTTCTTCAAATTATTTATAGAACTATAAAGTTGGTCTGTTGGTTCCTGGATCCTGACTGCTAAGTCAGAGGTGAGTTTGATGCCCGCCCAGAACAAATATTGTGTGCTAAGCATGATCATTTAGTCTATCATAAGTTATCCATAGCATAGATTTTGGGATCAGACGTTTGGAATATGCTCGTTTATATTTATAGCCAGGTGAGACAGATATGTGTTTGTAGACTTTAATACAACTTTCAAACGTGAAAATAAAAGTTTATAGAATATTTTCTCTCATTCCGAGGTAATCCCTCGTTTTTGACTTAAAGAACTGGACTAATACTAATTGCATATTAAAAATAGTCAATAATCTTTTGATTGGATTGCTTGTATTATTTGGTGATTATTACGTCGCACAAGATAAATAGTCATATAAACTTAAATGATATTCATTTATCAGATCACATTTCAGATCATCAAATCTAAGGCCAAAAAAACAAATATCTATTAATCGACCACTATAATAGGAACGTTTAAATCAGGTATTCCCAAACTATTTTGGACAAGACCCCAAAATGAACTGATACCTTAGAACGCTATAGCCAAATTAATTTAAAATTCTATCACTATTTTTTTTCCTATGCATGCAAAATCATAGGTTTACCTTTTTGAAGTTGGAGATGTTTAAAACCATCATTTTCAGATTTAATTATCTGTGGATTGACGCCCAATTCAAAATTAATGTTAATAATTTTATTTAAAAGCTATTTTGTTTTAATTTAAAATTCAGTCATTTGTTTCGTATTTGTGAAATTGTGGTGGTTTTTGGTGCCATGGATAAACTGAATATTTGTACAGTTTTTGAATATGAGTTCCTACGTGGAAATGGAAGCTCTTCGTCACCCACCACACTCACCGGATCTTGCCCCAACATATTTCTATTTTTTTTCAAAATTTAGATAATTTTTTAAGTGGGAAAAAAATAAACACCCTAGAGGCAGTACAAAATGCTTTCACTGACTTCATCGCTTAGCACCCAGCAGACTTCTACAGTAAAGGGTTAACCAAATTGCCATCAAAATGGCAAAATAAAAAAATAACCAACATTTTCATATTTTCATACAAATCTCCAACTTCAGAGGCGAAGACCTAATACTTAGCAATTGAAAAATTTGACATAATTTTCTCATCAAAATTTAAAAAATAAATAGACATGTCCGTTCAATGCAGTAAGTACGAGTATGTACAATTCAGTAAATATCAAGTGAAATTAATAATTATTACTTCAAATTAGGTAAATCGCAAAGTAAAGATAAAAAAAAATTGTGTGATGGATGAACCCGGTGACTTTACCAATCTAGATAAATCTGGTTCAATATTGATGAGTTTAAATAAATAAATTTCTGCCTTCAGTGATTTTGAAACGGTTTCTTTGTTTTTTCAAAATATTGTTAACTGCACTGAAGCTTTTTACGAATAGGCATGATGATGGAACAGCAATAATGTTTTATTGTTGCGCTGCAACCAGAACTTCTGATAGCCTTGGTTAAACTGTTGCTTAAGCCCCTCGTCTGTGCTGATTGTTATCAACTCTTCTTGCATTATCACATTGGCTTGTTCAATGCCTGTGATATTGTACGAATTTATTATCCATTGAGGAACTTGTAAATTTAAGAGATCCTGAAATCTCTTAGTAAAATCCGACTAAAATATTAGTCATTCATTTAACAAGTTGGTACACGTAACGCAACTTAGCTTCTTAAAAGTTTCGAATGAGATCTTGTTTTATTTAATAGGGGTTGATTTTTAGATCTCGTTGACTCCCAAAACCAGTTTTCATTTATGTCAACCCCTGGGAAACCGATTTCGACCCCAGGGGGTCGATATCGACCACTTTGGGAATAACTGGTCCAAAAAAATCGAATGTTAAAAGAGGCAGACGAGCAGGCGGGTCACCTGATGGAAAGTGGCCATCGCCGCCCATGAACGTGAACTTTGAACTCAGGAGTCAAGAACGCGTTGCCGGTCTTTTAGGAAGGAGTACGCTCTTTTCTTGAAGGTTTTAAAAGTCGTATCGGTCCGGAAATACCGCAGACGATAACCCCTTCCACAAATTGGTTGTGCGGAGCAAAAAGTGTCTCGAAAAGAGCACAGTAGTGGAGCGCCAAATATCCGGGTGATGAGGATGAAAATTTGGCCGTGTTTAACGATGATGGAAAGTTGCAGCTGGTATTAGTCCGAACAATTCCACGGAACACTCTCCAAAATACTTCTCCGTCAAGAAAGTACCAGGAAAAGATCAATAATACACAAAATGTTTGTTATGCATCCAAATTTATGTTATCACCTTCAAAGTATGCTCCTTCAGAAAATATACACTTACGCCAACGAATAATCCAATCATCAAAACATTTTTAAAGGCTGTTTCCGGAATTGAGTTCACTTCTCACCGCGACTTCTCCTTTATGTTTTCTAACGATTGAAAACGGGTACCACGAAGTGGTAATTTGAGTTTAAGAAAAAGAAAGAAGTCGGCTGGAGCCATATCTGGTGAATATGGTGGTTGCTTAATGTTATTTGTTGAGTGTTTGGTCGTTCGTCGTATCTCGGTCGTCGGTCGTAATTCGTTCACAGTGATGGCCTTGTGTGAAGGCGCATTATCTTGGTGCAAAATCCAAGAATTTTCTTTCCACAAATTAAATGCAAGATAACGCTCAAATAACATTTTTTTTACCCTTTGACCTTCCGGCAAGAATTCCGAGTGCACAACACCGCGATAGTCAAAGAAAACATGACTTTGACTTTTGATCGACTTTGGCGTGGTTTTTTCCGTTTCGGTTAAGTCTGAAGTCGCCACTACGAGGCTTGTTAGTCAATACGTGTCTTACGAATTTGAAACTCGTAAACCAACCACCAGTAACAATGCGTTTCATGAATGTTCTGTCGGAATTGACTCATTCTAGTATATCCTCAGCGACTCTCATGCGTTTGAGTTTTTGGAGAAAGTTCAGGTCTTTTGGGACTAGCCGAGCGGTAACATGTTTCACATCCAAATGTTAGTTTATTAGTTAAAATGGTACGGATCGACTCGTGAGATACAGAAAGATGAAGAAGGATTTTCAGTCACTATTTCCTTCACTTTTGCGATGCTAACTTCAGTTGCAGACGTTGATGGCCTACCAGAGCGAGGCAAATCTTCCATCACATCTCGACCACTTTTGAACGCTTTGTACCACTCATAAGCACGAGTTTTTGATAAAGCCGATTCACTGTAAGCCTTCTGTAACATTTTCAGTGACTCCGAACACGAAATTCCATTGGTGATGCAAAATTTAAGACAAACTCTTTGTTCGATGTTTTTGACCATTATGAAATTCGCAATATACACTAGATATGATATAACTATAATAAACATATATACATAATATATTATCTCCCTTATTATTCTCAATATTAATTAATCTCATAACCCACGTATCACCTGTTCGTATCACTTTCAAGAGTTCACACAGACAAGGGTTAAGGACATAACATACGCTATCGACAAAGTCAACAAAGACTTGGACTTTATAAAGAGCTGGTCAACGACGTTTGGTTTGTCGGTAAATCCAACCAAATGTCAAGTGATCGTCGTGGGGAGCAAACAAATGATAAGTAGGTTGGATATGGCGGTCATCCCACCAGTTGTCTACAACAATGTGATTATACCTTATAGTGCAGTGGTAAAGAACCTGGGGCTATATATCGACTTGATACTTGACTGGTAGGCACAGGTTACACACGTCAGCCAGAAAGTCACCACATGTCTCCGTGCTTTATATCGTGTGAAGAGCTTCCTTCCCGCTAAAACTAAGGCTACGCTTATGTAGTCCTTAATTATTCCCTTAATCGACTATGGTGATGTGAGTTATTTCGACCTGAATGCAGACCTTCTCAATAAACTAGATCGCCTTCTCAATAACTGCACTCGATTCGTTTTCACTCTTCGCAATATGTCTGTAATGTACGTTCCCAGCTGCAATGGCTCCCAATTGGTCAGCGCCGAAGTTTACGAGCACTGACTTCTCTCTTTTCTTTCCTCAACTCTCTATCGTTACCTGAATACCTCGTACCCCGTTTCCTATACTCCAATCACAATCGAAATCTTCGATCAACCAACAATATGCTTCTTCTATGCCCCCCTCACACCTTCAACTTCATCAACTCCTCCTTCTACGTCCAGTCAGTTCTTCTCTGGAATGCCCTTCCTGCCGAAATCAGAATGTCCACAAACCGCCTTGCATTCAAGAGAAAAGTGCTCGATGTTCTTCGGAGTGAATTGGCAGAACAGTCACAACGCTAGTACCCGACTGAGTATTTATAAATTTTATTAAATTTATGTAGGTTTATGTATGTGTGTTTATATATTTTATATGTTTCTGGACCCAAATTCTGTTAAATTTAATATTTTATTATGTACCTACCGCACCATCAAATTCATATTATATCACATTTTATCATATTTCTACATCACGGAAGGTTGAGTGGGAGAGAATGCCTAATGGCATTAAGTCCGCCTTTGTACAACATGTGCATTAAGTTTGAAATAAATAAAGAATATAAATAACAGAGGCAACTCAAACTCCGCGCCAAAATAGAGAACAGTTGTGCCAAACTAAGAACAACAAAAAAAAAACAAGCAATTTAATTTGAAACCATAAACAAAAATCATCCATTCCCGATACTTTTTTGACTGAATGATGTATATGCGATAGAGAATGCAGAGTGAAGCCACATCTCTCCGTAACGTTAGGGGATCGAGCCGATCGGAGATGTTTGGGCTATGGACGATTCGAGTCGCTCTTCGTTGGATGCGGACAGAGGGAGAAGCTGGTACTGAGGTGCCCCTGTATAGAGATGAGAACAGTATTCGCGGGTGTGGGGAGGAGTGAAATACTGCCTCGATCTGTTCAGCACACCGAGCTTCATTACTTCAGCTTCAACTTCGATGATTGAGCTAATTTAACATTCACACGGTAATCCATACTTATAGAAATTACATGTCCTAACGGACTGATTTATCAACGCAAGGCCTAAACCTTTGGAACTACAAATTTGAAATTTTGCGTCTTTTTATATTGAAAGCACCCACTAATATAAGGTTTTTTTTGGTAATTGCACCCTTAAGAGAGAATAAAATAAGAGATGAACGGTTGTAGGACGTAGACAGTTAGAAGCACGAAATAAGAAATTATTACGCGAGCGTAGTCGCGGGCAATAGCTAGTGTAGTCCAAATAATATAGGAATTAAACACAATACTGCCCTAAAAAGATAGGAATCAAACAATAGACACTCATCTCATTTCCCGTACAATGAAATAAAATAATAAAATGTTGTGATAAAATATAAACTCGCTGATTATTCTGATACAATATCGTACATCAAAATCTCATAATATACCTTGATAGTTTCTAGTAAATAGATGTAGGTTTTGACTGAGTATGTTTATTTAACTTGGTTTTTCTAAAGAAACAACGCTAAATATAACAACCCTAACTGGTTGGACTGTATTTAGTATTTACCTACCTTTTCATGCAACACAATAATATCTTTCGTTATTAATTTTAAGCTGTCTGTCTGCGTTTTAAGTAAAACCAATGAATAGAATAGATTAATGACAATGCAAAAACATGTGAACATGGAGCTTTATCTGCGACTGTCGCATAGTCAATGTATTACGAGTTGTATTCCTCGTAAAAATATAGGTATATTACCATATATCATTACTGTAGATATTTCTATCTTGTAAGATTAAGATACAATAAGAAAAAAGATATCTACTATATATGCGGGATCACACTAAATTGTTTAAAGGTCTATATCGTAGTCTCTCAGGAAAAACTAAACCAAGAACTGCTTCCTCGGCCTCAACTTCCACAGACGGAAATTCCCTGAAACACATTACCGTTCCAAGGTGTGAGGATAAACGTTAACCGACGGTAAGCGTTGTCTTTTTGCATGAACACGCTAATCTTTGGAACTGAAAAGTATTTTTTCAAACAAATTGGCAAGTTTTTATGTCGAATAAGTCAGTGTTAGAGGAGAAGACCAAATAAGCATCAATTACGTTAAAAAGTCACTGCCTGGAACGTTTTAATCATAATAATTATCTAATCATCATAATGTAATAAATGATCTGGCTTGAGCTTATTTAAAAAAAAAACGATTTAATACACGTTCATTATTTATAATTTATACGCTAGTGAATGTCACTATGGAAACGGGTACCTCAATAGAATAGACATGCCTATGAAATTAATAATATTTTTGACTGTGTTATGGTATTTGCTTAATAACGTTGATCGGTGCAGTACCGTGAGTTTTTTTTATTAGATTCACACGAGATAAATATTATATTATTGTCTGTACTTTGGTTTTTGACTCAACTTATTTAAGCATTGCTTTATAAATCGTGAAAACGGCAGGATTCATTAAAACATGTGTGAAATAACAACTTGTGTCTTCATACTTTTTTTTTTTAAATAATTTACTTTTATATATTGAAAATGGTTCGCAATGGAAAATTAATAATTTTGAAAACATTGAAAACTTGAGAATTGTAAAATCATTTATTGTCATTAACATATTGTACCTATTTCATGATTTCAGTCTTTTTGATCCTTAAGTTGTCTCTTATAAACATAATCTTCTACTGGAGACAACCTGAACTAAATAATAACTAATCCTGTATCGTGCATTAAAATTTCCGAACCACGGTTCACCAGGTATGATCTTGCTCCTCCTAACCTTAACTCGCGTGGCCAAACGATCCTCAACTTGTGTTAGAATTGAGTTCGTTTGTTTCTTCCGACTCTCACTCCCTGACAAAGTAAATCTTACATATATTTTGGGATTTTAATTTTTTTTTCTTTTTGTTTCTAGATATCGTATATGATTACCGAGCGACCTGTAGTCAGTTACGTAAATGAGACGTTTGCGAAATATTTCATATTAAATAGTCGCCGAATAAATCACAAGGATCCCCGGTATTATGCCAATATTTATACTGAAACGCTGATGCCTTTAGATAATACAATAAGGGTATTTTTTATTTTACTTTTAAGATTTAGGCACCACATAAAATATCTACATTGCCATGAAATTAAAGTCGATCATTATACAATCTAAATCAATATAATAAGTGTCTAAATAATAAATCTGTAGATCTTATTTAGGAACTAACAGTTGAATTATATCAATTCTTACTGTTTTGATAGAATAATTCTTTCAAAATCTACTATAAGTAGTCTCACGACGTTAAGACACAACTCTTTTTTGCTCGTGGCTTCCTACCTTTAGTGTATGTAGGTCAGTGAGTCATGGTAATACATACATGAAGGTTTCATACCCGTCTCGAGCACACATCGAGAAGTCGAGAGCTTCTCGGTCGAGAAGCGGGCAAAGTATTGAGAAGCGTGCGTGTGTGTGGGCGAGTAAGGGTGTAGGAATAAAAGAAAAAGACATAACCAGACTGCTGATAAACATACATACTTATATATTTCTAAATACATATATATTATAGATAAATTACATCCAGACATAGAACAAATGATTGTGCTCATCACACAAATATTTATCCTGGGTGGGAATCGAACCCACGACCTCCGGCGAGTCAGGGTAACTAACCACTAGACCAACAGGCCCGTCAAATATATTTGTAAGCTTAATGATAATTTAAAATCTAGTCGATCGGTAGCTAGCTAGTCATCATCATCATCAACAGCCTTTAATAGTCCACTGCTGGACATAGGCCTCCCCTTAGAAAGGAGGTTTTGGCCTACTATACAACGCTGGCCAGACGGGTTGGTATATGGTTTGTTTAAAGTTTTCCTTCTCTCTGCAGTATTGTTGTCCTGCGTAGTTTTCTCCCTTAGTCGCCTCTTACGACACCCACGGGCTAGCTAGCTAGTAGGTATAATATATTCTCTTTTACAGATGGACTTCTATTTTTACGAGTATTTGACTAATAGATACCGCCCCAGCTTTGTTGAGCTCCATTTCGGGTTTTGTGACATGTTAGAAAAAGATTCAATTTTTGGGTCACAGATTAAACGTCACCGTGAAAATTTAACTTGTCCTTATCCACCAGTAAGCAATTTTATATTTTAATATAATTATCCTGTTACAAGGGCAAATTAAAATGTATCCTACTTGTGCTTTTTGGTAAGTAGCTCGCGGGTATACCTACACACATCAACAGCCTTTAACAGTCCACTGCTAGACATAGGCCTCTCCTTAGAAGGTTTGGCCTACTATACCACGCTGGCCAGACGGGTTGGTATAGGGTTTGTGTCAAGTTTTCCTTCTCTCTGCAGTGCTGTTGTCCTGCGTAGTTCGCTCCCTTAGTCGCCTCTTACGACACCCACGCGGTGAATAGGGGTGGTGACGGATGACCTACATTGAATGAATTTAAATGAAGTGTTTTGCGTGGGTGCAGCTTTTAGACCTCTTAATAGGAGAGACTATTTGAATCAGGGTTGTTGCTGATTCAGGTTTTAACTGTATCAGCGGATGCTGAAGCTGAAATTTTTCAGATCAATATCAGCGAATGCTGATATTAATAAATTACTTAAATAAAACATATCCTAGTATAAAATTATTGGTATATAGTATAAATTTATTTTCTTCATTTTTAAGATTTTTATAATAAAACATTGATTAACCAATTATGCGCATTTATTAAAAGAGAAGAAAACACTTTTTATTATGCGCTACAAACAGAATTTCATTAATATTGAAATTTAATTAATGGTAACTTATATTTTGAAATCAAAATCTGAGAGAACTATTCAGCTTCAAGACTGTTTCGGGAAGGTTTATCGAATGAGCAAATGACAGCTTTTTCTATAAAACGATCTAAGATTGGTTAAAACCACTGAAATCGTAATAATAACACATATGATTTAAATTTCTATGATTAAAACCCTACGTGACTTGAGCTGGCTTGCTGACTTGAATTTCAGCATTAAAAGTCCACATCTATTGTTGCTGATACAGATGTTGATATTACAAACAATGCTGATACTGATATTCGCAACAATCCTGATTTGGAGCGTTCCTGACTCTCCCAAAATTTTACCCTCGAGCACTTGCAGAGCAAATGATGTCTTCGACCGATCAATCATAGCAAAATAAACCTAACATTGTCTCTTCACAGTTTAAACCAGGTTACGTGCTCCAGAAATTGTCAAATATTTGCTTTTAATACTTATGTACAGAAAAAAAACGTGTGTTAGCGTTACATTTCGACGATACTGAATAGGTAAATTAGTATGAGTGCGATTTATAGTGTAAAGTAAATATTATCACGACAAAGAAGCCATTTTTGTACATGTTTATAGGTACATTTATTGTACTTTTGTATATATTTATTCTTTCAGAGGCAATACAACCTCACGAAAATGTCAGTAACATTTATACCCAAAAATTTTCCCTTTCAACGAGGACGCATCTATTTAAATATTACAAGGCATGAAAATGATAAAAAAGCGTTATACGTGAGTGCTCATATTGACATGGAAATAAAAAATATAATTTCTTAGAATATAAAGGTTTAATTCAGGGGTTCCATTTAAATAAAAATAAAAAACATTTCACATACGATTTATTATTTCAACCCCCTCAAAGGCTAAGGCCTTTAGGGGTTGAGTTTGAGTAAGCTTGAGTAAGCTCAGAAATACATTATATTACTCTAACTACCTTTTTACACTGGCAACCTTTGCTTTGAAATAATATGTGGGATTTAAATCAAATAAAGCCACACGTTTCGTGACAGCTGCATTTATTGCAAGTTACCGCAAGAAGTCCCAGAGAACTCTGGCCAACTTTGATGTATTAAATAGTAAGCGATTACCGTCTCAGGCCCGATTCCAGAGTAGGGTTTATGAGTCGGAGAAAAAGGTTTACGTTGGCATTTCAAGAGACCTTTTTTTTTGGTGACGGATTGGAAAATATTTTCGGATCTTCCGCTCCTTGGGGAAATAGGAGCCAGGAGTATATGGTGTTTCTACTAAGAACCACCCCGACGGCCGGACTCAGGCGCCCTACTCCGAAGAGGACCCGGACCATGTTATTTCAGGCTTCCCCGGATCGACGCCGTGCCTAGTAAGGCCCTATCCCGGGGAAGCCCCGCCTATCGGCCCAATCATTATAATATAATGAGGCCCGATCGCATTTTCGCGACCATGTCGCCATCCTGTCGCCTACTCAGTTAATCTGCAACCAGAGGTCCCGTCTCTCTGGCAGCCTGCGGCCCCGAAGACGGCTGGTATCGGCGCCGACGTTCACTACGCTTGGGAGCGGCCCTCTCCCGTCTCTTCTAGAGCTTTACAGTTTCACAGAAAGAGACCACTGTTTAGGTTTAATTCCGATTGGGTCCCCTAGATTAGGAAACAGCCCCTGTAGGGACTACCGTCGCGGGTAGGAACTGCACCTCTGCGTTTACTGTGGAATCACAAGGCTTCCATCTTATGAGGTGCAACCCTTAGACCCAGACCGCTGATCTTGCGGACGACACAAGCCACCCCTAATTCGGCGAGCTCCACATAGACGACACTCAATCCTGAGGGAAGACTGGTCCTCAGTACCGCATCGTACGCGAGGTTCCACAGAAGGGGTCCTAAGACCGACCTCTGTGGAACCCCACATGTGACCTCCGATGTGATAGGTACGATATGGACCTGTCGCGGAGATAACTCCGATGATGTCTCTCAAGTAGGGGGGCAACTGGTGATACACCTGTGCCTCCCTAATAGCCCACACGGGAGGGAGTTAAAGGCGTTGACTATGTCAAGACTGACATCCAATGCCAATCCTCCCCGACAGACAACCTCTTCCGACAAGGAGCGGACGCGTTTGACGACGCTCGAAGCGTATCACGAGACCTAAGCTATTTACATACAAAACGAGTTGAATTGTACATCAGACTCACCGGCACATCATCAGATAAGCTAATGATGATTACGGAGTTTTGTTATATTTGTAATAATTCGTGTTTGTGTTATTTATACATAGTATAAAATGAAGATTTTGTACGCTTAGATCGTTCAAACTACGTAACGGATTTTATTACGGTTTTCACCAATAGAGAAAGTGGACGAAGGATTGCATGTATAATACATGCATATTATAGCAGAGGAAATCCGAGAATTTCAAAGATTTGTAATGTGATGTCCAAAAAATCATTTTTTTTGCAAACCTTACGAGTTAGACCAAAATAATGTACTACCGAATTGTATATATGTATCTCCTAAGGATAACCCACAGTAAATACCCATTTTATTTTTTACATATTACAAAAAATACAGTATTATTTCTTATGTTAAGTAATTAAATACGTTAAATACCTACGTTGTGGATTTAAAATAGATCAAAATTGTCCTTTACAGTATATCATTAAAATGACTATCTTGGAAAACATTAAAGGCTTAAAATGCACCCATGCGAAGCCGGAGCCGGTTCGCTAGCATATATTAAAATGCTTTATTGATACGTTGCTTATGTTTTGTTTTTAAACTAACTAAACTTCTAAATCTGTAAAAAATCGATCATATTTTTTTAGCTTTTCAAGCTAACAGTTTAGGCTGTCAAGGTGATACTACTATAAATCTTAAAATTTTGTAAAAAGGATTAGATACTAAAATATTATTTATCGAAAACTAAATATAATATACATCCTCTATATATTTGTAAGACCTATTTAACGGTACTCCGTACTACGGGATGGGAGATGAGAAAAAAACTTTCATCCTCATTTTACGTGTAGGTAGGGTTGATTTCTTTTTCGTACTTTATCGGTATAATTAATAATACCCATGCAAAATTACTGCTTGAAGGTACTAGCAGTCTTTAAGATACGCATCGGACGAACGACGACGAAGAATGAACAAACAGACGAACATACATACATATACCTAAGGGTTCCTTGTTAGGTCTAAGTAAAAAATATACAAAGTAGTCAAAATACAAAGCATGTTGGTCTTTATTAAAACATTACATTCAAAAAATATTATTAAGAATTTCAACGCATCAATATTTTTATATTATAATTATTTCTTCTTCAGTCATTATTTTAATTTCTAATGCGGTGTTTCTTATTATCTTTTTCTATTTTTTATGTTTCTAATCTTATTTTTCTCTTTATTGTCTTTTTACCTTTAAGTCCTTAATAACGCACTGGAGTCGATGAACATGGAGCTCTGCGATAGCAAGAAGCGCGGACGCTTCAGGGACGAGGAGTGATACGTCCCGGCAGATTCAGATGCTGCCTCCTAAAGTAGGTAGTAGCCGTAGAGGGAGGACACACACGACGATCTCGGCCCCGTCAGGCCTTTATAAAGCGGAAGCCTATAAACGGGTCAGAGCGGAGGGCGAAAGCGCAGTGGAAGAGGAGATTGTGGATCTCCTGTAAAAAATCCAGGAGCCGGCAGAAAGTGGTTCTGTCCCCCAAACACCGGTGTCTTTGCAGGAGCAGTAGGAAGGGTCGATAGTGGACCTTTAGTTCGCTACTCCTGCCCTCGCCGCACGAGTAAGGAACTGGCGTGTCCTGGAAGAAGTTGAGACACTCTCGGATCACCTGTATATCCCTTCCGGCCGCCATTTTGTGTTCGTGTGCGTAGACTGTTTGCACGGAATACACATGTAGTTATTACTTTTGTGCGATACCTACGGGCAATGACCTTAACCTTTGACAGCTGATTGCATAAAAACTTTAATTTGCCGGCAGAAAATTCCAATGATTTTCGACTCAGAATGATGGTCTGAATACACTATTTCAGTATTCGTTACGACGGGACGTCGTATATTGTTATAATATATGTTTTTTAAGAACTTTCTTCTTTATTAGAACCATTGAGGACTGCAAAGATCACAGAGAAATTGATAGTGCAATGCACTACTAATCTACAAATGTCCAACAATATGAATTTGTGAACCAATCCCATATGTACAGACATGAAAACAATCAGTATCCAGTAAATTAAAAGTTAATTTATTAAGTAGTATGTAGTTTTATTTACAACAATAATGCTAAGGGTAAATACAAACTTGTTGTTGGCAGACAAACTTTTTTTACAATATGGTATAACCATAGATACATGTTAATTTTTATGACTTAAATGTTTGACTTGAAATAAAAAATGTTTTATATTAAGTCTCACAGTAATTTTTACTGAAAGCCATGATAATATTAACTAAACACAATAGGAGACAAAAGATTTCAGCCATAGTCATAGACAAAGTTAGTAGAGGATGACTGTCTTTGGCAATAAATTATAATAAATATACGTACATAACAAGATTATGACTGAGAATTCAAAACTAATAAATGCATTCCTCATTCACACACCACTTAAATCTAACAACATTTAAGATCTAACTTTTTTATTTATAAATAATAATCATAATGACAATAATTTAAAAGAAATATAAATCACTTTCAAATTAAGAACCTCTTTTAGTTTACAATACCTACAGAATTGTAAAACAACAAACATCGCCAGTTGTAATATTAAAGTGACTCATTTAGAGAGGAACTGCTCTCAAAATATTTGACCTAGTGCAAATTTTAATAATAAATACAACTCCATAAATTTTAAGTAATTTCCTCAATTCTATTTAAAATTCAATTAAATGATGAACATGATGATTAAATGATGAAACGATTAACATGAAGACTAAGATTTTACAAGTCAAACACTATAATCAAAAGTCCTTACTAATATTAGTATGTGTGGCAAAATTATCACATAATTGTAATTCTAATCCTTAATTTTAATTTAGAACTTCATAAATCAGAAGATATTCTGAAGATGAAGTTGATTAGCACTTGGACATTTAAGTGTTACTCAAATGAAATTCCACAGAAATATGACAATTTTAAAATAAATGAAGAAATATTATGCATATATCAATGTTTGAAAGGCTTTACCAAGTTACAATTGTATGTAAAATTCTAATGAGGATCATTTAAGGATTGACATAGTACATCATTCAGTGTGATAAGGGATTAAGAATACAGTGCACCACTCTTATTCATGGGTGTCTGCATGACAACAGCACAGCAAAGAAAAGGAAACTTTGAAAGAAACCCTATACCAACTTGCCTGGAGAGTATGGCATGGTAGGACAAAACCATCTTTCTTAGAGGCCTATGTTCAGCAGTGGACTACTCTTTATGATAGTACTTAAAATTCATTATATGTACCTGTGCTATGAATTGCCTTTCAAGCATCAATATAATGTTAAAAATACAGGTTTTTAGCTACATATGCATACATATCCTCATCTTTTTCTACTAAACATTCATATTAAACTCCAATTTCAGCTCACTAATGGTAAGATATAACATAAAGAACTGTAACAGTGTGACCATTTGAAGTTTATACCTGACTTGAGAGTCAACTAGCAGATGTTCTTGCTAGAAGACTAACAGATTGAGAACAGGAGAGTAATTAAATATAATATCTTAATAAGATATGATTGTTAAAACTAGTGTCATATCACGCTTAGATGTTGAAACCCATCTTTCTCATGCAGGCTTTGTGTTCTTCAATCAGTGGTCCACAATTCTCTTCCCCATTTTCAATAATGCTGAAAATAAAAAATCAATGACGTCTGGTATTTATATCAATATCAGAAGTAGAGGTAGAATAATCTATTTTACACTTAAATATATCAATTTTGTATATAAGATTATAATCTGAAAACTAATCGCCAACTCTACGTCATGCATAGTAACAATAACAGATCTTGGAACTAAAAATAGGAGTAAATAACAATAAACGCAGGTACGTAATCTTTTCATGTCAAAAGAACCGGGTTTTAATACGTAGTAGACGTTCCTTTACATTGTTAAAACATTATTATAAATCTAGACTTTTCTAGAAAATTAGTGTTGCGTAATAAAAGCATTTTCCTATAACCTTACCATGCATCTCGAGCTCTTTTAGTCTCCGGACAGGCGCAGCACGGCTTTAACTTTGGCTTTTCACCCTCAGGCTTAGCCGCAGCCTCAACCGCTTTTACTTCGACACCCTTTGCACTTGCATTACCCATATTTTTTAATTAAAACGATTAATTATCAAAAATATTAAGATTCACCGCACGACCTTGCCCGATAAAACATTAAATGTCATAAATAATACAATGCCGTTGTTGTCACTGTCTCACGTGCAAATGGCGTTCAAACTTTCGTTCAGGAATATAATGAGGTTTTAGAACTTTTTTTAGATTGTTTAAAATGGTTTTTCATGTGTTTAATTGTTTTTAAACTTATTGCTAGGAGTGGGTAAAACAAATTTTACTTTCGAGATTATTCTACAAAGAATGAGTATTCTTCATCTAGTTTTTCAGAGACGAGTAATGTTTGGATGAATATATATAATATCCATAGAAGAATTCTTCGAGTACTTTTATTTGGAGTTTTCATAAATAATCTTGTATCTTTCGTATCGTTTTATATAAACAATCTAGTATGTGGTAGTGATGACATTATTCCACACTGCTACATACTAGATTGTTACCTGTTGATGGTATTGTATAGACGTCAAGGCAGGCATATCGTTTAATTTTTTTATGATGTAGTGAAGGTCCAGGAGGAAAAAATTACACAAAGAAATTAAGGTTTCCAACTTTAATCAGACAAGCAAAACTAAAAACAACGGTGCACAAACTTCTTATTTCTTAGAAAATGTAAAACGCAAATAATGGGGAAATAGAACACCTGACACCACAAAAACTAAAATGTATAAGAGTAAATACACACATATTAATATAATTTATCATATTCCATAATCTAAAAACAAAAGGTCTACTAACATCTCATAATCATACTTTAAAACAGATAGATTGTAATCACAAGTTCATGATTAAAACAATTCAGTACATTTTATGATCCCTATAAAAGTATCGTAAAGTACACGAGATGATACATAACGCCATGGTTAAAAGATCTTTTCTAAAAAGTTAAAAAAAACAATGTTGCCAATTACCGCAATGATTATGTACCAAAACGTTACAATACTGTATAAAATATAATATAAAACACAAAAAGCATTCACATTAAATTAGAATGTTAATATGGTTAAAATCAAAAAATGCAGTAAAAAAAACTTAAATTTAAATTCATAATCACAAACATATAACGATTGGGTGATAAGTATTAAAATGTTAACTGATTAAAATGGTTCGGTGACGTTCTGATATAAGAAACTTGGTCACGTGTGGCTCCTGCCAAATGTTCAACAAATTAGTCGTATTTAAAATCAAGTCAATTTTTTGCTGATGTTTTTGCCGATTGTGCGGAAAATGATCATAATATAATAGATACATTGTTTTATCTAAACTGAAAAATGTCACCTCACTTACGGTCTTAAGACTTGTACAGATGACAGACTTTTGTCCGTGAATTGTTTTTTTTCCGCAGGACAATATAAATTTACCAAATAATGGCTATAAGTAGGAAAAGTTTGTATCACGGACGTCAGCCGTTGTGTAACATTGAAGACTAGTCCGTCGTCGACCTTTACAATGACCGTAACAATAATCTGGCCTGTCTATGAAAAAGCATGAAGAAATCTTATGTGCGATTTTTCAATTTCAGACTCAACAGCTTCCTTGTAAATCATATTTAGCAAAATATGGAATTAGAAGGAATGCTTCACTTGATTTTAAGACATTTTCCTATGCGCTAATTAATCAAACGTTAAAAGCCAAATGATAATCAAAATACTTGGTCGGAATATTGGGTACAAATTAATATCTAGGCACAATTATGGGTTAGAAAATAAAACATGCTCTCCTTATGCTACGATTAAAAACTTCTATAAAAAAACGAAACTTAACACTATTATTTTGCGGCTCTCGGCCCGTTTACTTCAACAATTGTCTATATAGAGATCAAATCGTCGTTTGCTTTTAGCTATCGTAAAAATATTTATAAAAATAAAAAACAAATCTCATGGACAAAATATCAAAAAAATCAAAAAATGTGTACTAAAACTAAGCTTATCGAACTTGCAGTTCTAAAATAATGTAGTAATAGAAACTCGATGCACACTCAAATACTATTAAAACACATCAGTCTAAGTTCGTTTCCTTCTTCAAATAACATTGGGTCTTTAGAAGTTGTGTATAAAAAAATCATGAAGGAATACATGAGCGTGCAAAAATTAATTGCAATATACGTTGTACTCTAAGGCGCTTATAGCGAATCAGTCTTAACAGCCTTCAGTCATATAAAACCACGTACCTACATTCTATTAATAAATGCATATGACAGAAAATATGTTTTAATACATTTTACATAAACAACCTTTTTTATATCAGCTGTCTGATCAAAATACAATCTATTCTCAAATCAATTACGCAAATTAAAACTCATTTTAATTTATTTTACTCTGAGAAACTAATATACGTGGTTTTATTTAATATGTATTAAGTTTCAAGCTACCATTTGTCTTGGGTTAGAGTGGCGAACTGCGACGGGGAGCCGCCCATCTTCCTCTCGGCGCCAGTCGAATTTTGGTAATTACTCTTCTGGGTTTTCAAATCTGTGAGAATAATAAATTTTTAATCTGTGTCCTGTGTATTTAGTATAGTATGTCTTTGTATAGTTTTGTACCGTGATAGACACATGGACCCATTTACAACGTTATGGCTATAAAATTAGCTTTGTGTCCTTCTTTTACATATAAATAATTATTCTAAAAATGACATATGACGAGTCGCTCCGAAAATCGAAGTTCAGTCATATCGTAGTAGACTTAAGCCGACCCCAACCTTTTTTGGTAAAAGGTGAGGAGGAAAAAAAGGGTGTATCTGTAAGTTTACAGTGTGTGTATTTAAGAGTATATAATGTAACTTTCTCTTTACTCTGCGTCATCCAAAGGTAGATTGGAAGAGAATGGCAAAGTCCGCCTTTATACTAAAAGTGCAAATCGCTAAACAAGTCAATATTAGAAAAATGTATATTACCTTAAACAAGCGCGGATCCACCATCGTGCCCACGATCAGACGTCATTACATGTTGTGACGTCACAACCCTAAAAGACTTGTGACGTCACAACATCTTATGACGTCTCATCTTATTGAAGCATGCGACCAAGATTCATACCCTAACATAAAAAAAAATCTTACAAATACTGACAATTCTCCCGGTCAGCGTAGCTACTGCAGAGAGATCGTTTCCTACGGACTAGACTAGAGAGTAAAGTCTTGGTTGCGTGCCTCAATGGCTCAGAAAAGATTTTCCGCACCAGCTCTCCTGAATATACACTAAGATATGAACCTAGATATCGATAAAATTATCAACGAATATCCAAAGCGGCATTACTAGGCTCGTATAAAATATGGTTAGGTACAGGGTGTAACACAGCAGAAAGTGGAAGTGAGTACTCCCTAAACCTATCCCGTGTCGCAATTCGCAAGATCCCATCTATCACGCGATAGACCGCATGGTGAATCCATGGAAGGCTAAGAAATAGGTATTTTTGAAATTCGATTAACTGTTAAAAGATAGTATCACATCACATCAACAACCTTTAATAGTCCACTGCTGGACATAGGCCTCTCCTTAGAAAGGAGGCTTTAGCCTACTATACCACGCTGGCCAGGCGGGTTGGTATAGAGATTGTATCAAGTTTTCCTTCTTTTTGCAGTGCTGGTGTCCTGCGTTGTTTTGCGCCCTTAGTCGGCTCTTACGACACCCACGGGATGAATTGGGGTAGTGACATTCCGTATTCTTAATCCGTCACTACACGGCATGCTACAAAGATAGCATGTTTATTGGATAATGATATGAGCAGTATCTGGTATTACCTGCTATAAGTAGCAGCATTTTCCTGCGAGCTCCAAACGCACTGACGCCGATTTCTATAAGGTCTGCCTCGTTCAGCGATGTAAATGTCGACATATCTAACTCGTGCTTTTTGAATAGATCTGTAAATAATATAAGCAAAATACGGTTTGTTAAAAATAGTTCTCTTATAGCCGAGGTTAATAATGATGTGTGGACAGAGTGGTTACAGAAAGATTTGATGACCGATGTGCGAAGCCTTTAAAAAAATGTGCTTGAATAAAAATTTTTAGAGTAAATTTACATTTCAAAAAATTACTTTTAATAATTATTTTCAGAAAGATCATGGCATGCGAAATATTCGTTTCATTGGCTAATTTTTTTTTCTTTTATAAGACAACTCCCACACTAGGAATACATCCCTAACAAATACTCAGACTCAGAACAAGAATTTGTGGATCACACAGAGTGTTGTCCCATCTGGGGATCGAACCCACAACACTAAGCGCAGCGTGGCGAACTGGCGACCGCTTAAACCACTACCCCATCCGTACAGTCAACATTACCTTGCCAGTTCTTTATGTAGATCATAAAATAGTGAATAAAAATCGACTTATTTAAAAATTATTTTATAATCCACTAACCAATATACTTGTGCAGGCCAACGTCTCTGAGCAGCGACGACAACTGTTGATAGCGGCACGTGGTTGGACTCTGTGTCTGTGGCGGGGAGCACACGGGCTCCGCTATGTTGGGCCTCACTAGCTCCGATCTGTTCCAACCTTTTTCAGGCTTTTAGGAATATAATACGAATAATTAAAGTTTAGTCAAAGTAAAATGATTATAGTTTAATAAACTGGCATGCTGCGGCATATTAAGGCTGGCTCGACTAGATTGATGCCACGACTCACAGCACTATCTACTCTTTAGCAACTGTTTGTTGTTTTACACTGAGTGTGTTATTCGAGCCCAAACCCCTCCCCCTTATTTTGGGGAACACGAAGTACACCATAAAATACAAAAGAAAAACTAAAAACTACACGATAAAAAACTAAAATAATACGCTTTAAGATTAACTGAATTAGGGAGTAAAAATATATATTTTATAAAAACTAACTAAAAAACACGCTTTTGTAACTAGATGAACTAAAAAGTAAAAAAAAAACTATGTTTAAAATTTCTCTTTTTTAAGTAATTAATAATGATTATTTTCTTATTAGGACTAAAAAAGTAACAATTAAGTAAGTTTTATCGCCTCGCACGCCTCTTAGCACGTAGCAAAAAACACTACAGTAGTTTTAGGTATGGAAAAGCCGTTAATCCTGAAGATCCTGATCAGGGTAATCGGACCAAATATATCAAATGATTGCATTGTCATCGGTGCGAAGTTTCAAGTTAATGCGACTTTTTGAAGTAGGTCAAAATCACGTTCGAAGATTCCGTTACAGACATACATACATCATCATCAACAGCCTTTAATAGTTCACTGCTCGACATAGGCCCCTTCTTAGAAAGGAGGTTTGGTTTGGTTTTCCTACATACATACATAAACAAGCTCATAAAAGCGTGTTAAATAGAGTTGAAACGTGTTAACGTAGTGTAGGACGCCCACAGGCCAGGGCCTCAATGCAGGATGCAGAATTTCCTCCAAAAACGTAATAAATTTTCAACTACCGATATTTATACCGATGCCAATGGCCACTCGATGGCATCTCAATAGCGTGTCAGTGGTATGACAGTGGCTTGGCGTAAACATAAAATAGCAGAATTGAGGCCCACGTAGAGTGACGATTTGCGCAAGATAGCTAGCAGGAGCTGGATGCGAGAAACCCTAAATCGATCTAAGTGGCGTGCAATGAGAGAGGCCTATGTCCAGCAGTGGACTGCGATAGGCTGATATAGAAATAGAGTATCACTATCCACCTCATAAGTTGTGAAGTTATGAGATCTAGTCTAGTTTTGATACTTACGGTGCCCGCGTCGTTATTCGCGTTCATGTTGATAGGTCCTGGCGAGGTGTGGCTGAAGTAGTACCCAGACCAGCGCGTAGTGGGCACGCGGTACCCACTGCCCACGCTCTCACGCATCGCCTGTACAAACACATTTACAATTATATATATTCAAAAACGTTATATATATTCACGTTTTACTCGTATATAGATAATTATACTAAAAAGCAAATATACAAAGTCAAAGTTTTGGCTAAATTTCTGCCAAAACTTTCTTAACTTAATAATCACACTTAATATCAGCAATGTCATAATTAGGCAACAGATTTAAGTTTTCGTTCAGAAAAAAATGCTGATCGCGAAGGGTACCGAAATAACTTACACACGAGCTAAAGCTATTATTATTATATTGTCACAAGCTGACGGCAAACATTGTTTTGCCATATACATTATTTCTAGGCAACATCTTTTATTGCGGTTAATTTCTTTTTTTTCTCGTTTGATCGTGAAATTTGAAGTTGTATGTAATTGTATGTAATGTATTTTTCAATGCTATTTCATAAAAATAAATATATTTTTTGATAAAAATAAAAAAAGGGGTTATTTAGGGGTATGTTGGCCAATTCTGAAACCTACCCGATATGCACACAAAATTTCATAAAAATCGGTACAGCCGTTTCGGAGGAGTTTGGTAACAAACATCGCTACACGAGAATTTTATATATTAGAAGAACCTTCTCAATATAATAGGTATTGTTTGGGTACTACTTTAAGGGGATGAAAAGGGGAGTGGAAATTTGTATGTGGAATAAATAACCGCTAAATCGATTCAGATGAAATTTGGTATGGAGATAGTTTGATTCTTAAGAAAGGAGATAGGCCACGATAACTAATTTTTACCTCGAAAACCAACATACACGCGTGCGGAGCCGCGGGCAAAAGCTTGTAAATCATAAACAAAAAAATTTGGCAACAGTAATGTTTTTGTATCTTTACGTAAGTAATTTGAATACAATACTATTTTTCCTTTAAAAAAAACTCAATGCAATTCATCAATGTAACACGTTCGCTTCCAATACTGAAGCAACGCATTTTTATTCCGAACATCTCAAGAGCAGCCTTGATTTGGACATTAAATAAATCAATTAAATTCAAATGAACGATTTCGCATTCGTGTTGTTTCTTGTTAAGGATAATTTACATGTTCACCTTCTACCCTAAAAACCTTCAAAGTTTAGGGATGCTGAAATAAAGTGATATGGTGAGACTTGTACATAGTGACGACTCCGTCAGCGAATATCTCTCATACAAAATTTTCTTCTCTGTTTCATACTGGAGTTTTATTATAATAACAAAAAATCCAGACAAGTGTGAGTCGGACTCGCCCACCGAGGGTTCCGTACACTTATGTAAGTACATATTTTAAATAGTTCAGGAATCGAATCTCGCAGTTTTTCTGAGCTTTGCCCGAAATTCAGTTTCCAAAACCTATAAATACTTATATTCTTAAGTTTTATAAGATAAATTATACCTTTGATTTTATTGTGTTTATTGATTACGTCGTATAAAGACTATATTTTTTATGATTCTTTTACAAATGTATAGTTGTCACATTTTCCCTGTACTTGTAGACGTTGTGTAAGACGATGTTACTTGCCTAATAGAGTTATAGGTCAACGGGAAATACCCTATGAATTTTGATTCCCTTAAGATTAGAGAAATATGTGTTTTCTTGCGACATAAACGGCCGTCTCTTTTTTTACGTTGACTTAGTTACTTAGAGTTTGATTATTTTACAGCTTTAAACCTCCTTTCTAAGGGGAGGCGTATGTCCAGCAGTGGACTATTAAAGGCTGTTGATGACAGCTTTAATTTCAACTCGACACGAGATAAAGGGTCGTGATAGACAGACGGGTTTTGTTTGGTTCCGTTTTTAACCTTTTGACGTACGGATCCCAAAAAATTACATGAAAATTTTCGTCTTTTCTTTACTAAAATTTATAAAAAATTGGTTTACCGGTTTAGACTTAAAAAGTAGCAAATTTGATATTTATATTATTTTTTAAAATTTACAGTTTGAAAAATGACTTTGCTGTCCGACAGAGTGTGCTCTCAGAGGACTGCGGGTAACCAGTAGGGAGTAGTGTACGGGTGCCGATGCCCACTTATCATCAAGTGGTTCTCGTAGTTACCTTGTTGGCTTCAGCCTTCATCTTCCTGTACTCCGAAAGCGGTGACAGTTTGTTGAGCGTCTCCAAAGTTTTCTTCTCGCAGCCGACCGCGCGGCGATCTGATATTGGCAGATCTGATATGATGTTCGCTAATTCTGTAATTAGATATTTACAGGTTAAATTGAGTCATCTGTTTGTTTAAAGAGAATCTCCACTAAATACGTATACATAATAATGTTGTAAATAACTTTTTTTTGCCTAAAGAGGAATACAACATCATACATTGGTTTATATATAACAAATAAATAAAAGTTTAGTGTCTTCCGTTTCTATTATTAACAGAGTCAGTATCTAATGCCACACTAGGAATTAATCCTGTATCGTTGAGACTTTACAAACATACATGAAACGGACACCATGAACATCCAGACTCAGCACGACAATTTGTGGATCACACAAAGTGTCTTCCCATGATCTTCGTCGTACCCACAACACACAGTGTAGTAGGAAGTTGCGGGGCGACCGATTAATCCACTACGCCATCCGTGCAGTTAAAATACATACAAAAGTATTTTTTTATATTTTTAGTCTATCTGTCTGACTGTGTACATATTTCAGTACAAATGTTTAGATTGAATTGTCATTGGCAAATAAAACGAATGTTAGGGTTCCATGAAAAATTATTATTATCTCGTTACATATAAAACTTAATTTCTAGTGGTGCACCAGAAATTAAGTTTTATATGTAACGACAGACATTCCCCACCACCCAAAGGTGGACTGGAAGAAAATGCCTGTGGCATTAAGTCCGCCATTGTACAATGAATTGTAGTTCGTGAAAAAAATAATTTAAAAAAAAAAACAATATCAAAACAGTAACGGGTACTCCGTTACTGTTTTGATATTGTTTTTTTTTAGCCAGGTAGCCAAATCCCCACCCACAAGAGCAAGACTTTTGCAGCAGGTCAACCAAATTTATAAATACTCATTGAAAGTAAAGAGTGGCATAATTACCGTGTTGGGAGCGATCAACATCAGTGGATGGCGCGGGACTGTGAGTCTTGCTGATGGGAGATACGGAGGGAGAAACCACGTTACTGCCGTCGCCTCCTGCCAAAGCATTTTATCATTATAACGACATTAGATTTTAAATTATACAGTAGTCTTACAAAACTTACGGATTACTTTAATAACTGTTGAAACCTAACTCACATAGGGTCGTCAGATTGCGAACTAGAGAGAGCCTATACCATTGTACTTAACCAAAAGGCCAATTCTTGGAATAAAATTTCGGTCTCAATTCAGTTCCGATCAACTTTCGATCTCACAACTGTCATAAAAGGTATTTTCGTAGTAAAGTATTAAACATCCAACGTTGACTGTAATGTGATTATATCGTATTGTAACCGAAAATTGAATCGGTAATCTGCTAGTCCTTAGTAATACTTTAATATTTTTTACGACGACGAATTATACGAGTAACCGAACTTTTATTACGAGAATTGACCTTCAGATTGCCTTTAATATAAATGTACTTATAAATTATTAAAACATATTAAGTTATTGATACTTTAAAAACCAGATGTTACACTGAATAAAGAACTGTATTCATTAAACAATCATTTGTCCTAGGTTGGATGGAATCCACGACCTCTAATTCGGTAGTGGGCATCACAACAGGCCTAAACCGCCGCCCATAGACACCTACAACTCAAAAGTCACAATCGCGTTGCCGCCCTCCGTGTCCCTCCCGCTCGAGTCAGCTGGAGGGGGGATTTGGGCTCCGGTAACCTCACTCACTCAGTGAAAGGCAACGAAAGAATTGCTTAACACCAGTTTTCTGTGAGGCCGTGGTATCACTCCGGTTGAGCCGGCCCATACGCGCCGAAGCATGGTTCTCCCACGGTCAAAAAGATAACCAAGTTAACAGCACCTTGGCTCACGCTGTATGTAATGAATGATCTTGGGAAATGTCTGTCCGTCGCCTTTGCCTACAATGGACAGGAGGTAGATCACGTGCCATGAGACTATAACATATACATGTGTATCTTACCTGATATGTTCTGTGTATCAAGCGATACGGAGCTTCCAGTAAAGTTGCTCTGGTAGCCGCTGCTTGCCTGAGAGCTGGAGTTCAGGATTTGGCTCAGTGTTGTCTATCAAGAAAAAAGAAATTCTGTAATATCCAGATGCCATTTCTACAGAAAGATTTTACTTAATCTTAAACACTATATCTATACAAATAAATAAAATTGAGGTGTCTGCTTGTAATGTTAAAATAATAGTTTTTTTCATGCTCACACGGTTATTTGCTCGATTTGTAAGCGTAAAAACCAGATAAATATTTTTTGCGTGTCTGTCTGTCTGTTTGTTCAGGCTAATCTTCAAAATGGCGGGACCGATTTTGATAATATTTGCTACTAGGTAGCTGTGTATATAAGTTAAGCTATTTTCCTCGGCAATCGAACTCGAGGCCTCATGGAATGCAGTCGCGTACCGACTCGTACTATACCACTAAGGATTTTCAAATCATCAGATTTTCAAGGTACCAGCAATTTTATAATTATAATTAATGGAGGTAATAGTTTGATACTCACGGGCCTGTTGTCCTGTGCAAGCTGCGGAAACTGCGGCTGCATCATCATTGGCTGCGGTACACCAACCATCTCGGCGCCGTTCGACATAGCTGCTTATAAACAGTTTAGATTTAGAACACTTAACAAAATTTCAAGTACAACATTTGGATTATTAACGATTCATTTCAATTCTCATTAAAAAAACAACATATTAGACCAAATGATAGTTATGCGAACGTTTACATTATACCAAAGTACTATTACGGTAATAAAAAAGGTTATGCTAAAGAATATTATGCCTTAAAATTGTATGCCAAGGGAGAGATTAGTATCAAAGTATGGACACTGAGCACGCCATGCAAAATCTAGTACAAGTCAAGATACTTTGTAAATACTAGTCCTGCAAGTTTTCACGGTGATTGTTTTATATGTTTAGCTTTTAAAATGACTATTATTAATGCAATGCAAGGCCATGGACAAAAATATAGCAAGCACCAGCCAGAGTACCTGTTCTGAAACTGCTTTCTTTGATTTGCGATTGATTAAGGAAAGTGTGGTAGAGAATAGGGCTGCCATCATGTAAATTTAATAATAATTTTTTTTTTTGACCAATATAAATATTACAGTGTAGGACATTTCAGTTTCATCATAGATCTTAGACAATAATTAGACTAAATTACACTAGCGTAAATTTATAGTGGTCTTATTTTATTCTTATGACTGTGTAGTATGATTCATATTGTATGATTTTCTACACATAAAGATATTAAGATTTTGTTAAAAACTTTAGTCGCTGCCTGCCTGAACTAGGGTAAACCTGTGTTGCAGGCGATCGCTTGACATGACATTTTTAAGGTGGAAATGTAAGATAAACATAACAGATCACTAGAAAATATAAAAAATACTACAAAGTGTACACGTACGAAAGCAAATAAAATGACATAGCGTTGTGTTCTTCCCTATACAAATCGCATCACACATCACATCAACAGCCTTTAATAGTCCACTGCTGGTCATAGACCTCTCCTTAGAAAGGAGGCTTACTAAATAAACTAACTTAACCAAATAAAGGAAAAATACTTACGGTTCCAAGATCCGCCCTGATTTTTGTACATCACCGAATTAGGGTTGGGCAATAAATTGGGATAGTGGAACTGGCCGCTTCTGGGTTGAGGAGAAGGCACCATCCATGAACTGGGATACACAGGAGGGGTCAAAGCGGCCGGGGACAGCGGACTCGGGTACCCACCCGGCGTGGGCGGGTTATGTCCAAACATTGGACTGCCAATATTGGGGAAGTTGGCCAATTCAGTCAGCTGTTGCATGTTGTACGGAGAGCAAGGCGAGTTCGTCAAGGTAGCGGCGTGCGTTGGCGAGAAGGGATTGAATACTCCAAAGTTGGGCATATTGTTGGCAGATATGGCTGGGATGTTGTAGGACTCAGGTATTTCTGCTGTGATTACTGGTTCTTTATCACCTAAGAGCTCCCGGCGGGCCTCGTAGATGTCGCCTGGTGAAAAACATGAAAAGAAATTTTGTGTTATTTAAAGAAAATATTAAGAGTAGGTACCACAACTCATCACATCATTAATTAATTCTTTGATTAATTAACTAAATAATTCTCTCGTTGATCTTCGCCAAATGAGGAAGGTTAGCGGATCATAACCTCCCCCCCCCCCCCCTCCCACTGATTCTACCGGGAGGAACTTAAAGTTGGCAACGCACTTGTAACTCTTGAGTTCCAAATGTCCATGGGCGGCGGTAGTTAGTTACGTAGAGATGTAGCTTCACTCTGCATTCTCTATCGTATATACAACTGTTTACTATACCAGCTAGCAACAACATTGTTTCACGCAACAATCCAGTTTATCGTGGTTAGTGGTGGTTAGTGGTTTAAGCGATTACCTCGCCGCTTCCAACTTTGTGTTTGTGATTCCTGAGTTGCAGTCGTTCATGGGCGGCGGTAGTCACTTTCCATCAAGTTACCCGTCTGCTCGTCTGCCCCTTTTCCATAAAAAAAAATAGTTACGGTCTGGGCCTCAATTCTGCTATTTAAATATTGTAGCAATAGACTGTCGATGGAATGTAGAATGGAATGTAGTTTTGCACTTTTCCTATTCTACTAACTACGTAAGATCAATGGACCGATGACTTGTCACTGATACAAATGTCGTCGACGTCTTTATAAACGGTAAACGGTACATTTTAAATTTGTAAAATAATTAAATATTTAATTTGCCAGGTATGGCAATATTGTTGATATCACCATTGATGATCTATATTACTATATCCACATTCTATTGACACTGTGAATTTATGTTAGTAGAATACTGATATTTTGACCGATGTCAATGGCGTTTTAATGGCATCTCAATAGCGTGTCAATGGAATGAATTGTATGTCAGTGTAGATGAAAATGTGTCAGTGGCTTGGCGTTAACATAAAATAGCAGAATTGAGGCCCAGGTGACCCGGAGACCTAAGGGTAGCCGAAAAGGAAAGGTTAGTAAATGTAGGAACCTGCGCATCTCTCAATGCCCTTGATGACGACGGAGGTGATGCCCTGCTTCGGCTTGCGGCGCACGTTGATGTACACGTTGTACTTGTGCATGAGCTGGTTGGCCGCCTCCGAGTCCACGCGACACGCCTCGTCCGACACGTCGAACAGCACCACCAGGGGGAGACTACCCTGTTCATCCCAAGACCATTTACTAAACAGTAATTTGTTCTAGTTTCTTTTCCCACAATCAAAAAAAATTAATAACGGATAATTCATCATCATCAGCCTATAACAGTCCACTGCTGGAGATAGGCCTCTCCTTAGAAAGGAGGTTTTGGCCTGCTATACCACGCTGGCCAGACGGATGATTGTTCTACAAATAATGCTGTGGTTTACTAATGGTAGACTTTTAGAATACTTTTTTAATTGTGTGTCATCATATTAGCACATAGGCCAGTGGCATTCTGTTAGATGTGTATATCGGATTTGGAACGACTAAAACGACTTACAAGGTGTTTTGTTACAAGGTATTATCTTCTGTATTCTTATTTGTATTTTATTTTAATCCAAAAGGGCGCTTGTCACTAACACGCCTTGTCTCCTGCTTCTACTGGGGCGCGGTCTAACCCTACCTGTTAACGCTGGAATAACAAGGATTTAAATAATAAATAATTGTTCTTACCACCAACTGTTGCCTAGCTGCATAAACATCTTTAATATTCCCGGTGATGGTAACACAGCTCTTCTTGATCACGGGAATGTTAGGGTCATCAGCGTCTGGGAACATAATTTGAGTGTTGGTGCCCTTCATGATGACCTTGAGTTGTTCAGCGGCGCGGCCGACCACCACGCTGTGGTGCATCGGTGATATCTCTAACGACATCTGCACTTGGGTTTGACTCTGGAACATGTTTGAGAGTTTCGTTAGATATCATATGAAAACAAACGCGACCCATAAAAATATTTTTCTATTCCTTTTATTAGTTTTTTATTTACTATCAGAAAATTTAGAAACAAAAATCCAATAAGCAAAATGTGTGAAATGATACAAAAATCTTGACCTAAATTTTTAAATCATTAGAAACAAACATTTTCCCTAGGATTTTGGTAAGCCCGCCCTTTGTGTAACGCTATATGCATTACAGTAGATGAACATTATAGGTTTTACACATATACCTATATATACATATATGTATATCTACTATACTAGTGAAAAAATGTATACAAAATAACGCAGATGGCAGCCATGAGGACAACTGGTAAATCAGGGCCGTCACTTGCGTCGTACGACAAAGGTATAAATAAATTATAACCGTACCAAATATAAAACTTTTTAGTGTCGTAAAACTATTTATTAATTAAATATTCACCGCGAGAGGACCGCACATATAGTTCATCAGCAGGTTAGTGGCCTCCATAGTGGACTGGACCTCCCATTGCACTCCCTTCACCACCAGCAAGTTGGCATGTAGCTTAGGACGGTTTCGCAGCATCACCTACAAATCAATCATCATTGCTTTAAATTCATAATTCAATGCTCGAAGAATTTAATTCGTTTTGTCGTTAAATCTAATATATTTAGATAAATTATGATTATTATTAAATTATTTACCCGACAGCGAGTAATGACGTCACAAACCGTTATGTAATAAAAGTTTCTGTTAAAAGAACTTTTCTAACTATATTGACTAAACAGTCAACTATCGTATTTTACTTACTTGTACATTATACTGTTCCTGCACCCTCTGTACATACGGCGAGGTGATGTCAGGGAGTGGCTGTGAGGTCGGCACTATTGGCAGTTCGAAGCAAAATACTAAAGGTGTAAGGGCCTAAGACAGAAATTAAATAAAGTTAAATATCAAACTTAATATCTTGTGGCCGTGCAGCAATTCGAAGTCACGCGTTTAAAAACTGTAGGTATATGAAATTATTATCAGGCACTGGGTAATTTTAATTTTATTACATACGATTTATTACAAACACTAAGCTCTATGCATAGGCAACTATTTTGTAAGTTATATAGTTATTGCGAATAAAACATATCATTAAAGATTTACTATTAAATTACTATTAATTACCCTTGTTTACATAATTTCAAATTTAAGGCCGTATATGTTTTTTCTTCTTGTTGATTGTGTATAGTTAAATGGAAGTTACTACTAAAAACTGATCTAACAAGCATTATCTTATAGGCTAAGACGTAATTGTTATAGACTAAATCAATTTTATTTTATGGAATAGGGGGCAAACGAGCAGATGGGTCACCTAATAGAAAGCGACTACCGCTACCCATGAACGAATGCAACTCAGCAGTCACAAGCGCGTTGCCAGCCTTTGAGGAAGGAGTATGCTCTTTTCTTATAAGTTTGAATATATTACTCAAAGTAGTACACGCTTTTAAAAAGTCCACTGAATTTTTACCAATGGTACCTAATTCTGTGCTCGGTTTAAGCTCTTTTAGAATCGCATTACACTGTTATGGTTATTTTGCTGTTGAGAGAAAATTATCCATTGTTGCATTATAAATGTAAATGTCAGTTTATTTGTTACACTTTCACACCTAAACCTCTTAAACCGATTTTGTAAATTATTTCACCAATAGAAAGCTACATTACTTTTTATCGCGATAACCGGCATACACGTGGTCGGCGCCGCGGGAAAAAGCTAGTATCTAATAAAACCAATGGTACTATTTACTTAAAGAATACTCACTCTAACTCTAGCTCTCGCACGTTCAACGCGCTCCATGTCGCCTGCTATAGACACCTGGTTGCTCTTCTCCACAGTGCTGGTGCGGTTCGAGTCCGGGAAATGGATATGACACCCTGTCTCCTCCATCACACGTTTAATTGTCAACCCACCCTGTGAAGTAAGTACTTTTGAAACCACGAAGGTAGTTAATAAATAAATTTGACGTTACCGGGGATTAGTTCTATATAGTTCTAGTTCTGACCCAGTACACTATAACGTGATCCCGCTTCTAAGACAACAATTTAGCTGAGCTATAGAGGTAATTAATGTTAGTACATGTTAAAAAAAGAAAAATATTTGCTTTATCTTGTGGTTCATGAAAAAAGGATTTCGACCGATGGGAAGGACGGAAGTATTTCATAACTATTTTATTTTAAATCAAATCTCACATAGACACGAACGCCATTTGCCTCTCCATAGCTCATAGGCAATTATGTACTAAGTATGTGTGCGTACTATGTCATAATCAATTAGAGGCAAATATCAATGTCATCATAGGCTATTCCTGGCAATACGTTCCTTAATCTACAAACTTTCCATACACATCTAACAAATAAAATTAATCGAATGATTATTCGTCTTTTAACCTTTTGACCGTCCCAGTCATGTACGAGTATACATGACAAAGCAAAATGTATCCAGCGCGCTATGATCACCGCTGCATAACATGCTTTTAAACGCTAATAAATCTAAGTGTGAATTTTCTTAATTGTTTTGTTATTGTGTAGCTAGACCTATCCCAATTTTTATTATGTCAACTGCTTTCTATTTATTTCATTCAAAATAGCATAAGATCACAAAAACGAACACTAGTTTATTAGGTTGAAATCGTAGCTTTGACGTAACGGTCAAAGCGGCGGCGCGGTACCATTCATTCGATCACCATAAAGTTTTTCATAGAAGAATTCAGTTAGGATGGGCAGCGTTTGGGAAGCTACGTCACGTCTTCTCATCGTCGATCCCACAGTGTCTTAAGACGAAAGTTTTCAATGAGTGATGTTTTCAATGCATCCTACTCGCCATGACATATGGAGCCGAAACGTGGACACAGTACGGCTGATACATACTCGTAAGTTCAAAGTCGTTACGTACTATGGAAAGAGCTATTCCCGGCGTTTCTCTAATGGATCGCATCAGGAATGAAGTGGATCGGCAGAAAACTAAGGTCACCGACATAGCTTCCTGATTTAGCAAACTGAAGTGGGATGGCCATGCATAACCAACAAGCGTTGGCGAAAACGAGTTCTTGAGTGGAGACCGGTGGAGTGATTATGTCCAGCAGTGGACTTCGATAGGCTGATGATGGAAGTTTTTCATACACGTTCACAGGAAAACAGATTTCACTATAATTCATAAAAAAGGTATTGATGTGAGCGAATGGACTGCCAAAGCTGCGGTGTATACAGCAGCGTTGTCGAAATAGTATTGTCAACATCTATTTAATTGTAATAACAATTGTGTTCTTTTTATTAAGTATTTACTTTCTCGAGTTACACGCGTTACAACGCTCTGAGCGGATGGGAGCGAGACCGGAAAATGTGTAACAAGACTTTTTTCCGACATGAAGTGTCGGAAAAAAGTCTTGTTACACATTTTTGGCGCGTCGACGCTCACATCTTTTTCATATATCATATAGCAAATGTCTACCAAAAAGCGAAAGGAACTTCGTTCCGACTGGGTGTCCATAGACCACTCACGCCGTTTTTTATAATAATAATAATATAATAATATATTCTACCACATACACACAACGCCATCTAGTCCCAAACTAAGCAGAGCTTGTACTATGGTACTAGACAACTGATATAAATACATATATACTTTTTTTTGTAAATACATACATATTATACATAGAAACACCCAGACCAAATCAAACATCAAATGTTCATGCACACAAATGTTTGAGCGGGAATCGAACCCGCGACCTTTGGAATAGCAGTTACACAAACCACTACGCCATCCAGTCGTCGTTATGTTAATAAAGAGTAATCATGTAACAGTGTATACAAACACTGGTACTTAAATATGATTACGTATAAGAACCTACTACCAGTTATCGCAGTTTTTCAAAAAATATCTCTACATACGAGCACATACCCGTATTGAATAGATAAATCAAGGCGAAAGGTAATTTCCATATCAGTAGATTTTATAGTCGTATTTATTTATGGCCTTCTTTGAAAATGTGGGTCGAAAAATTCGTAATTACGTTCTTTTTTATGTTATAGGAGGGCAAACGAGCAGATGGTTCATTTGATGGTAAGTGATACCACCCATCATCATCATCAACAGCCTTTAAAAGTCCAATGCTTGATATAGGCCTCTCCTTAGAAAGGAGGTTTTGGCCTACTGTACCACGCTAGCCAGACGGGTTGGTAAAGGGTTTAATTCAAGTTTTCCTTCTCTTTGCAGTGCTGTTATTCTGAGTTGTTAGTACAGTACAAAAAAGCATTAAGCGAGGTTACCGTGCACTGTCTGCTTATTTTTGTTTTTACTGTAAAGTGCGTCTACAGAGCACGATGTTTAAGTCCATATTTAAATGCTCACACTTTGGTTGGGTGGGAGAGGAGCCGCTTAAGTCGGTTAAGACTTTTAGTCGGCTCTTACGACACCCACGAAATCACAGATTATGAATACGGAGTGTCACCACCCCTATTGGGTGGTGACACTCCGTATTCATAATCTGTTACAATGCAGACGCTGCCCATCGACACCTGCAACTCATTGACAAGTGTGTTGCGGCTTTTTGAGTGCCATCTCACTGGTGCCCTCACTTACACATATTATTATGTGCCGAAGTTTGGCTCGCCCACGTGAAGGAGATCCCTGAGAGGCTTAGAATACGTATGTAAACTTACATCAACAGTTTTAATGAGTGACGTCGAATAGAAACGTGATTTGCTAAAAGTTGAAACCGTATCCTGACAATTACAACCGTAATTAATCTGGGTACGCCTGGGTATCGTATCAATCTATTTGAACAAACACCGGACATCTTTGCGCTGATAAAAACTATAATTTTCTTCGTGTTCACAAAATGTGGAAAATACGCTCACATCCGTGATGTTTAGAGTTAGTGTTAGTAGTGTAGTGTAGTAGTGTTCTGAGTTTAGACCCGCCTACGTAGTATTATGGTAATTGTTCAAGATAAGTCTTTTTTTCCTTGTAATAACGTTATTTCTTTCAGAATTGGTTCCATCTGAGTTTTCACATCAACAGCCTTTAATAATAATGCTGCTGGACATAGGCCTTTTTTTTTTTTTTTTTTTTTTTTTTTTTTTTTTTTTTTCCGTGCGGAAATCCCCTCGGATACCACCTGTCGGTGGCATGTCGGACTCGAACCGACTAAAACCGCACGCCTTCGCCGGGTACTAATTGCCGGGGAACCAGGTATACCTAGAAAGGAAGGCCCTGGTGCCCCGACATACCTCGGGTCATCTACAGACGAGTAGACGACCCCCGCCCCGTGTGGGAACCCCATGTTCCCTGTGCTCCCTGGAAGGGAGCGCGCTTCGCAACGCGCTCGCCGCCACCCCGGCCTGCTTCTGCTAGGGTGACAGATGGCCTCACCTGTCACCCCCAGGCCTGCGCTTATGGAGGACGAAGGTCGTTCTGCGACCTCCGGCGCCTGAGTCGCCTGCGCTGCCTGGCCCGTGCCCGGGCCTGGCGGGCCGGGAGAGTTCTAAACCTCTCCCGGTCCCGCTCCGCCGTCTCCTTCGCGAGCATAACTTGCTCGCAGAAGGAGACGGCAGAGTTCCACGCACTCTCGCTCCGCACGATAGCCGCAATCAGGCTATCGAGCGAGAGAACTCCCACTCCGATGGCCGCCACGAGGTCTCGCCTCTGCTCAACCCCACGCCGGGCACTCTGCCAGCGTGTGGAGAGCCGTGTCCACGGTCTGGCCATCGCAGTGGTGGCACTCAGGCGTTGGCTCCTTGCGGATCAGACACAGGTGATCTCCGAAACATCCCTTCCCAGTGATCACCTGCGTCAATCGGTATATGAGAGGGTCCCGTGACGCCTCTCGAGCCAATCCTCCATAACCTGGACATAGGCCTCATCTTAGAAAAGAGCTCATGGCCACGCTGGCCAGACGGGTTGGTATAGGGTTTGTATCAAGTTTTTCTTCTCTTGCAGTGCGATTGTCCTGCGTAGTTTGCTCCCTTAGTCGGCTCTTACGACACCCACGGGATGAATAGGGGTGGCGACACTCCGTATTCTTAATCCATCACCACACGGATAAATAATACGGAGTGCCATATTTAGATGTATATAGTTTTTATTAAATAAAGTACACCTAATTGTATTATTATTGTATGTAGGGTAAACAAGCGCCGCGTTTTACGAATATATATTTTAATTATATACCACGTTTAACCTTTATAATCAATCGCAGTCAGTATTATTCGGTGATTATTTAAGTACCGCGTAGTATTGGTAACGTGTGGCTTCAATACACTAGAAGCAGTGGCGGATTGAAATATTTGCAACAATATGACTTCATATTAAAAAAAAACTGGCTGGTTTTTTTACGGGATAATTCGGGTAAAAAATATTAATTTAAAAAAGTACTTTGGCAAAAATCGGATCGTGGCAATTTATTGAAAAAAAAACAGGTGGGCAAACCGGTTTATTGAAAAACAAAAAGGGAAATATAATTTTAATTTAAAAACGAAAGTAGGAGGTTGTAGTGTGAGAAAAAAACCAAGATAATGAGAGTTGCTGAAGTCAAAATCCGATTGCTATTTTTGCCCTTTATATTCTCAGATTGTGTGACTCGTAGGAACCGTTCGGAGCTAAAATTTTAGCTAAAACTTTTGGTTTTGGAGAAAAAATTCGTCGCATAATAATGTTAACTTTCAGCACAATCTGCGAAAATGTAAAATAGACGTTTGGAAAATCGGTAAGAAAGCATCCTTCGAAAAATAAAACAATGGCATATTTTTCGTTAAGAGTTGCCCTCCAACCTCTGCATAATTATAAATTGCCCAGATGCATGACAGAGCCGTGAAAACGCAAAGAAAATTCAGCGTTTTTTCAGCGAGCACTCCTAGTTGGCAGTAGAGGGAGCATGGCGGCGGAGTGGGGGAACTCTTTCACTCTTTTTTTCTCGATTTTCTTACCGTTAAAAACGATTTTTTGAGCAAAATAAAAAAAATGCATATTTTTGGTTTTCCCTAAAAAAAATTCTATAAACCGGTTTTAATCGTCGTGTGTAGGGCAACAGCACGAGATTCCTTCCGATTGACGCAGGTCGTTTCTAAACACGGATGCTTCGGGAAGTAACTGTACTCGGTCACTGGAAGTGCATTGACTCAATTCACTGGACCGCCTGGATAATTTGCCTAGGTTGGGCATCGCAGCTACGGGTCCTCATTGCAATCAGAGAAGATCTCTCGACACTGTCAAACCGACCGGCGGAGGCACGCATTCCAGGGCCTCATGCCTCAGTTTTCGAGATCTTTTCTCTCTGTATATAAAAAATAATGTCTCCTTTTTTTTCATTTTTGTAAAACAAAAACATTTTTTGGGCTAAATTTGCCGCCCCCTAAAAGTTGCGGGCCTAGGCTTCAGCCTACTCAGTCTGCTGGTAAATCCGCCACTGAGTAGAAGCATTAGTAACAAAAACTTGAGTCAAATACCCATTAAAAATTCGAAAAGAATTGAATGGCCGTTTTGTTTATAAATAGCCAATATACTGTGCATATTAATGATATAGTACAACGTGACTAAAATGTGGCTTTATTCAACAAAAAAAGTATCATAATCAACAGTATTTGAAAGTTAAGAGCCCCTGCCTCCCTTAAAAAATGGTATTTGCAAAATAATGTCATTAATTTGAGTGGGTACTCAAATTAATGACATTACTTTGCAAATACCATTTTTTTGGGGTTTAATTACACTCGGGTCGTCACCTCACTGACGGTGTGGTGGCTCACCGTTTGGCCTAACAAGTCAGACTCGAAAGTACTAAAACCACACATTATTCCGTCATCATGTCTTTTGCACGAGCCTCAGTTGTACCCTAGAAAGGAAATCTCTCTGAACTCCGGCATCAACTTTGCAAGTACCATGCTATTTACTAATAATAGAAGATTTATAAGACAGAGTTCTTCGACGAGTTATTGAACAACTCAATCGGCTTTAATTTGAGCAAAAAAAAAAAATCTACTCCTATTATTAACAATCAACAGAATGCTACAGTTAAACACACACATATAAGTGTGCAAAATATGTAACATGTCATTCCTCTCCCGCTATGCTCTAAATGTTCAAACATGCAGAATGCTAATTAGGATCATTCCATTTGCCTTACACACTGTATAATTAGAATCGGATATATTATACATTTTGTCAAACGGCATTTGATGTCGTCGTTGATCTAGTCGATGAATGTTAAATTTATAAAGGTCTCTACAGATACACCGCAATTTATCATGTACAAACTTTTATGCATACCTAGTATTATTATATATGGTAGTCACTTTACGCGGCTTTGTGTATATCCGCAAAAAAATATCTAAAAATAGTATAAACTTTTCATTTAAGCTTTAGCTCCCTTAAATTGGTAAAATCATTTTTGTGACCCAAAGGGAAGTAGTCCTTCCTAAATGAAGAATTTTCAAAATCGATTAATTGATAACGTAGTTTTGAGATAAGAAATACAAAAATTGTTTAAATTCGAAAACCTCTTCTTTTTTGAAGTCGTTAAAAAAGGTAACGGATATTTCCTTCTACATTTACATTACATACATTTACTAGACATTTGGTTGGCGTCCGACCACATTTCCAGTAAAAATATAAGATACTTAGTTATAGTTCATATCCGTTTACTGACTGTCATAGTTTATTTAATTGTAGTGGATTTGCGTTCACAAGCTTACATTGTTAAGATATTATAACTGACAGTTTTACAGTAGTGTAGTTTAGAGATCATTTGCAATGACCGTTACGATTCGTGACATAACAAGAATATTGCTATCATAAACAATAAAACAATATAATATAATATTTTCACACATCTAACACACGGCCATCTGGTCCCAAACTAGGCAGAGCCTGTACTATGGTAACCAGACTGCTGATAAACATACTTATATATTTCTAAATACATACATATTATAGATAACGTACACCCAGACACAGAACAAATGACCGTGTTCATAACAATTATTAGTCCTGGGTGGGAATCGAACCCACGACCTCTGGCGTAGCAGTCAGGGTCACTAACCACTAGACCTAGGCCTTTTTGTTCTATAGTTTGTGCTACGGTACTAATTTATGTTAAGCAATTTTGCAGATGGGGTAAACCGAACCGTACCGGACAGTATTTACCTAGTTAAATATAATGTTCAATAAATAAATATTTTCTCTTGAGTTGATTTTGAACTAGTTTAGTACAATATAAACGGTTGAATATAAAGACTCAAATAATACATGTGTTACAAGTAAATGTTTGTTTCTTAAGTAGTTGTAATGTATTCACATTACAACTGAAGAAACAAACATTTTATAGTCAAAGTATTATCAGATGTCTGCGCCTGAAACGATCTCGTTCGGTTCAAACCGGTACCGGAGAATGTGAAGACAAGCTCTTTTCAGCTGCAAGGTTTTTTTATCTGTTCTGGTTTCGGTTGAGAGCAGCGGGGATCATTGTTTATCTTAGGACCTTAATGTAGTAAAACCTTAATGGATTCCTCCAGGCTATTCTTAGTCTTTTTTGTGGGATTGACTGATTACAGTCATGGGTGGTTCAGAGTAAACTACCCAACCAGCCAACCCATCTGGCCAACATGGTATAGTAGGCCAAAACCTCCTTTTTAAGAAGAGGTCTATGTATGTCCACCAGTGGACTGTTAAACGCCGTTGATGTGTTCCAGGGTATTGGAAAGCCACATGACCTGTGAAATTTGCTGTTGACGTCATAGTAGGTTCAATGTGCAATAGCCTTTAGAATTTAAAAAAAGAACTCACCTTTCCTATAATGTGCGAGTGATCAGTGTAGCTGACATCTATCTTCATCGTAACACGGTTATTCTGCAATTACACATTAACATACCATTATTTGTTCGCAATAACCTGTCCGACGAGAATTCATAACCTCATTTTTTTTTATTTCTACTTAGGTGACAAATACAAGGCCTGTATTACGGTAAGGGTAAAGTTACGAGTACTTCCCATCATCAGGAACACATAACTGTTATTGTCCTTGAACTCTAAAGTCTAGGTGGTAAGTCCCCAGCTAGGAATAAGGATGTACCCCTAATACTTTAATACATTTTGGTCTTTTATCCCATTCGCATTCGATAGATCAGTCCCGGGACCAGATTATGTGACACTGTTTTAAATAAAATTTTATTTGAAGTGAGTTTTACGACCTCTATATTGCATTATTAAGTATATGTATAGGTAGTATTTCAGTAATACTTTCTTAGATTTAGAATGAGTTATTCCAGGTAACGCTATTTCAATTCCCGCTACGATCTACAGGAGACGAACAGCAACTTTTATCATCATTATTAAAGAAAACAGTCTATCAAAAATATTGGAAATGATAAAACTAAATTTTCTAATCAATTCTAATATTGATCTTATTGTAATTATATTAGGATATATTTTGAAATACGTTTAGTACCTACAGACACAAATAATAAATCTACGAATATTGTCACAAATGTTTTAAATACAAAATGAGGTTGTATCTTAATGATTTTAATTTAGGTACCAAAGTAATGAACACCAACAATACCTAACATTCCCTAGTGTCTATACCAGCGTGAGCTTTGACGAATTTTCAAAGAATAATTTTCCATATCGTGTCATGGTGCCGTTAAACGCGCTATATACCATGTTTTTGTCGCATTTAATTGATGAATAATTGACCATCCCAGGGCCGACGACCCTCGATCACCTAGAGATACTGAGATATTTGTTCTAGATACTTATCAATTAATAATATTATACAATTCATAAAACAAAATGGTGGTTTACTACACGCTGTTTACATGATATAACTCTCACAAACCCTTAATTGTGCCATCACCTTCCTGAAACGGCGTAGTTAGGCAGGGGCTAATGACCTACATTTCCCCAGCTTATAAGGTAAGGCCTAGGGAATGATTCAGTGTTAATTTCTATTTTATTATCATATGTCTCTATTATTTTATTTTGTTAACCGTTAAGATTGAAAGTTGTAAAATAAAGAAATTTACTAAAAGTACATTTGATAATGATCCTAATAAACCTTACGCTTCAGAGGCCATGATGGAAATCGATATGTTTTCGAAATTATCTCATTATGCTAAATATTTACATACATGCCTCTATGAAAAGTAATGATCTAAGAGTAGGCATACTATTTACCGCTGAAAAAATTTAGCATTGACATTATCATAGATAACTACCGGTACATTCAACGAAGTCGCAGTTCTTGAATGAAGAAAATACATTGTTGTCGTTGGTAAAAAAAGTTTGAACAAAAATCTTTCTCATGAACTAAGCAACAGCATAATATCAGCCTAATAGAATATAATGTCATTGTTCTCTGCTTCCGATAGCAAATCCCAGCTAGTAGACAAAATCAATTTCAGCACACAAATCAAGAAAGATATGGTTAAAAGCTACATACCCTGGTATCCAACAACTGGATTATTTTTTCACGTGCCAGCTTCACATCATCAGGTCGTCCAGCGACTCTCACATGTGGGTCTAAACACAAAAACATTCACTTAAGAACCATATCTTAATCGAAAAAAAAAAAACACTTACATTTTACACACCAATTACTTTAAGAAGATCAATAAATTTATTATCACGTATTTTTCTAATTACATTATACACTAATTCATTCATATCGTCGTTGGAATGCATATTTACTATGTTTAATTAATTAAAATTGATTAGAATATATCATTTCATGTAACGGACTCAAGCGCAACTACAAATAATCTGAATAAATTTGGAAAGACCGCCAGGCTGGCGCCGTTAGGCTAGTCTAATTGGCGCCAGCCCGCCAAAAAGGCCGCGTATGGGAGTGCAGGTGTTCCGGTTAAATTTGAAATTTAAAAAAAAATGCGTTATTTTTTTTTTAATTGGTATTCTATTTTTCCTTATTCACCTTTCTTGGAACGTGCGCCGATTTTTAAACGGGCGGGCCAGTTAATTAAAGTGTTAGTTTCTGTCATTACCTGAAAAATACAAATTAGTTGGTTATATTAATATACAGATAACTTATTATAATTTTTTTATTCTTCTTATTCTGTAATAAAAGATTACACTTTACCCGGTGAAAAAATGCTTGAGCCGTTTGGGATTCCTCCAAATTTTCTGTAACAATTTAATAGTACACAAGTTTTAATATGACTACTATAATTACTTTTTTTTTCAGGAGCTTAGCTTGAAAGATATGCTCTGCATCTTTATAGGATTATTGTACTTAGTTACTTTACACAATAAACTTAGGTACATAATATATTAATTACGTAGTTTCTCATACATGTGGATAAATTTACCAGCAAGCATTGATTCCAAGCGGCGTCTGTCAACACGGAATCTTTCCTGGTATACATCTTCAGCACTATTCAGCCCAAGTATCACGGCTAATTTCTGTAGGTCTTCTGCTGACGTCACAGAATTACTCGTTCCACTTTCGGAAGCCTGTAACAATAATAGTAACTTGTAGAGGGGTGTCAATGGATGTTTTTATTCCTGGTGACTCTTGAAGTCATTGAATTGTAAAACAAAAACGAGAATTTTAATAAATTCCATTTAAATTCAGCATTCAAACAATTTTCAAAATGGCCGTAACCAATGTTCTAAAGTAAATGGAATACACTATTGTTAACTAAAGATCAAGAGAAAGAAGTGGATAATGACAAAACACAATACTTACTTCACTCAGGGTGTCTTTGTCTGAATTATTTTTAAACTCTGATAAATGAGTTTTAACGGTTAAAAAGTTAGATGAAGCCATCACTAATTACGCAACAGTAAATATAATATTTATACAGTACTATAGAAGTCAGTTCGTATTAATCAAGAATAAATAAAATTAATTGTTTACTGTTCATAGTTACTAAAAATTAATAAATGTATCTAATTTTTTGGCTATATAACTACAACTTCCCGTATTGCTTGACCGAAACCGAGTAAGAATGATATATTCTCTATAAGAAGTAAGAAACATTATTTGAAATTTGAGGGTAGGTTAAGATTCAATAAGAAGTTAATTTTTAAAGTGATCCATCTACCGACTGTACAGTATTTTTTTTTTCATTGCCATAGTTTTATTTATTATTAGCTAAAAGTTTTAATAAATTGCAAGATTTACTTACTTTTAGGTGCATTATTTAATTTGTACTTATAACTTTTATTAAAAAAAACTGTAATTGTGAAATGTTACCAAGACAAGTAAGTATAGTTCGGAACATGGAGACTCGTCTTGGTCATTAATTAAATATTCCCGCCACAGGCTGGCGTCGAGACGGCGCCAACTCGTTAATTTCTCCAGACTTTTATTTTAGTACTCGTACTTTAATAAATAATTGAAACCCAGATAATTTTCTAAATGACTTTTTTTTAATGTTAAGCTACTTACAAATGAATTATAAAACTATCTTTATCGCTATTCTTTTCAATCAATTTTAGTAAGATTATTTTAAAAGATGTTTTTATGCATAAATCTTAGATTACTTGTATGTTAATAATCTAAGGGATAAATAATATTTAAATTATTGAACAAAAATAATACAGAAAACGTTATCTCTTTTTTTAATAAAATAAATATGTTATTATACTCGTAATCGAAATCCAAGAATAATGTGAAATCACTAATGAAATCACGTTCAATTATCATATTATGCGGCTATGTATGAATGAAATCATTATGAAACGGAACGTTCCATAATACATATTTTGAGCGCACGCCGCATGAGGGCGCGTCAGTCGGCGTCAGTCGGGTTTCTGCGCTTGCCGGTGTTGGTGTGCGTTCTCTTCGACTCTAATTTCGTGTCATAGTTAATTTAATGCTAATATTTATAAATTAAAATAGCGTTAACAGTATTTAATTTATTTAAAGGTATAGTGTACTTATTTTAGAAGTGTGAATAATATTTTTTTATCAAGTGTGTATTAAATATAGTTTACTATTGTGTTTTAATAATAGAAGGTTAGTATAAATAGTTGTAATAGTTAAATATATATCCAAAATTAATTTCCTTGCCTTATATAAAATAACTGATTTTTTAGTGACTATGGGGATTTAAACACAAAGTAGTTGTATCGTTTTCAAGCGAACAGCTGTTCGCTAACCAAATGACCCAACGACACGACAGAGGCATAGAGTTACAAAATTGTATCATACAATGCGTTTTCGGTTACCGTCTATTTATTTATGAAATTAATAAAGAGGTCTTAAAGGTAAGATATAAGTTTTGTTGTTATGGCAATTCGTTTTCTACTACACAAAATCAATAAGTGTCGGCATCGCGTGTCCGACTTTGAATTGAATTCTTACAAGCAACAATTTGAGGTACGTTATAAAATAAATTAAAGTGTACGTACTTTTCATTATATTTCGTTAATGATAAAAGATAAAGTTGTAAATAACATGCAAATATTTTCGCGCCATTCTTAGTACGCTAAGAATGTTGTTAGATTTTTTAATTTAAACATCCGCGTAATTAACTATTTTATGTAAAGATGCATTTAAATTAATTTTATTCTTATTTTTAGTTACATAAAATACAAAAAAAGCATATAATTTTACTTATTTTTTATGTAACTGATTAATTTTAAAGTAACAGTAGGTAGGGACTCAGCAGTATCTTTCAGTTTCCTGTTTGGTAATATTAAATGTGCCGTCATACAATCAACAGACTATTTGAGGAAGTTCACACGTGTAGGTACCTACTTCATCATCATCAGCCTATCGCAGTCCACTTCTGGACATATCCACTCAGACATATCACGCAGTCCACTGCTCTCCCATTGCACGCCACTTCGATCGATTTTGGGCTTGTCTTACTTCTGTCTGTCTACTTAACAATCTATTATTTTTATCTGTGGGTTTCTTCTCATTACGTATCTCTGTCCATAAATAGTTTACTCGCGATACAAATATTGCTTAGTGCAAAAAAAAATTACTTTATTTCAATTTTGGAAACTCACAAATACCCAAAATTGTTAAAATAACATATACACGTATATATATATACGTTTTTATATTTAACAGTAAGTATTTAACTTTTCATTTGCGCTTTCTATAACATATCAAGTACCTATTTATCGTATATTAATAACATCAAGGATAGTACTTTACTTAATTCTATTTTATAGAAGCATTTGCATTAAGGTAAGTAACTTGTATGAAAAGACAGGTATTATTGGCAGAAGACCACGAGGAAGTATAAGATAATAGGTACAGCTGTCAAACGCTAACGTTTTTTATTTACGTTTTTTTTTGTATGACGTTCGTGAGCCACTATCCATCGGGTGATCCGTCTGCTCGTCTGCCAATCTAACATAGAAAAAAAATGTACTCTGACAGCAGACTGACTATTGTAAAAAGTAATATTGCACCTACTTCTATAGTCCTTAATAATAAGAGCATATTCAATCTACCTAGGTTTGACACACGCTACTTATTAGCAGTTTCCCGCAGTTATACCGGCGTTTATGGTCACTGCTCCGCTCCTAGAGGACGTAGTGTGATGTTTCATAGCCCATATTATCTTCAAAAAATTCTCCATCCAATTCAAAAGAATCATTTAATTCTAAATAATGGTTAACAGAAAAAACGTAAAACGTTTTTAATTCGCTCTAAAAACTGAATAATTTCCATACTTCCGTTCATCCCTTATTTGACTACCCTACACTCCTATGAGTGAAGTTTCCAAAATACTTTCTTAGAGGGTGCTTACAACATAACACACGCACAGACACTCACATACACACACATTCAAACGCACCACAATACATCCACTAACTTAACCGCGCGGGTGGGAATCCTGGAGTCCTGAAATACAGGTATTGATCTAGGTTAGGTTCCAGACCACCCCAAGCTACAACTTTTATCTTTGCACTAATTTCTGTAATTCATTGTATATTGTCCTGTTTGTGGTGGAAATAAACATATTTTTATTTTATTATTTATAAAAAGAATCAGCTGCCAAAATTTCAAGTTTGTAGCAGTCAGTCAGTCAGGGCAGGTCATTTTATATGTATAGATTTGTTTAGCCATTTTTCCAGGTATGGATAAAATTGGCATTGGTGCTGTTTTTGTTGTTCGAAAACTCTCTAAACCAAACTAAAAATTAGTTTAGTCATGTAAAACAACGTTGCTTATTCTGAAAACGTAGTACTTGACAGGACTTAACTGGTTTTTAGTTTAGTTTAGAGTTTTCGAACAACAGAATTAGCACCATTGTTGTGATATATAAAATTGAAATATTTAAACATATAAATATATAATTCGTGGCTTTTTACACCAATTCTATAAATTCTATGGTTCTATGGTCTAGGTCTAGATGTTGCGTCAATACAAGCTGCAGCGGAATTGACATAGGAATCAATTTCAAGCTTGAACAATGCGCGCCAAAATAAACCTAGACGCGCCAAAAATAACCTATATTTTCGTTAGATTCAGTAGCTTCCAGATTGTCATTGATATAAATATGTATGTAGAATTTCATTGTTTTTTTTGACATTTTCGTAATTAATTTTCAAAGATCGCTAGCGGTCCTCTGTTGGTGGAATTTTGAGCGTAGTTATCTATACAAATAAAAAAAATTGAAGTGTCTGTAATGTCAAAATAATAGGTTTTTTAATACTGACAGGGTTATTTGCACGATATCTATGTCTAAAAACCAGTTTAAATATTTTTTGTCTGTCTGTCTGTCTATCTGTCTGTCTGTTCCGGGTAGTCTTCAAAACGGCTTGACCGATTTTGATAATATTTTACTGCCTACTATAATTTACTACTAACTTAGGCTATTTTTTTCATCAGAAAACCCCTATAAAACTTTACCCGGTCTGGGAATCGAAACCACTAAGGCAGCGCTTTTCTAATTCCACTCGGACGAAGTCGCGGGCACCAGCTAGTTAATGTTAAATGTTATGTTTTACATCATTTAGGGTCCTTGCGGTTTCGCGACCACCTTCAGTAGGCGACCATTTGACGCACTAAGTTCCTTTAAGATAATAGCATTTCTAGAAGTAACATTAACAAAAAAAAACACAAAAAATTAAAACAGTAATCAAATAATTACATAGTTTGAAACAAATAATTTATCCGGCTATTAAAAATCGTCTAAATGTGAGACGATTTAGTGCTGTGGTTTGTTGATTGATGTTTTAAAAACAAAAATAGTAATACGTTGAGTGCGATCACGAATATTTTACGTACGTTGTTTAATTAAATGTCTGTTTAATAATTATTTTAGCAAGTATCAATGTAGTCCTAATTTGACGAATTAGACATTAGAATTAGACATAAATAGTAGACAATATTTTGAACTATTTTTTTTTAGGTAAAGGTCTTAAACGTAAAGGTCTGTGTGCTAAACACAGAAAAACAAAAGAAAAAGGTGCTGCATTAAAACTAAATGACATTCGAATGTAGGGGAATAAGAGAAATTCCTAGACTGTATGAGAGCCCTCGGACTAGAATTCAAGATTGGCTTCGTGGGAAGATATGATGCTATCGACTCGAGGAGACCAGATCCTGTACTTGGTATAAGTAAAGGCAAAAAGCGGATTAAAGAGGGTCTTTTTGCCATACCAAGACCAAGGTACGAAGAATCTCTTCAAAGATTAGGGATGAACCTGGTGTTTGCACCGCTGAATCTTCGTGGAAGTCGGTAGTCGGAAACTTTTTATCGAAACCAAAAAACAAAAAAAAAATATTTCATTGTCAAAATATATGTATATGAGAAATCACTACACTAGATAATTACCATATTTTTTTGTTAACCGTTATTATTTCCATAATTCTACTTAACCAAAATTCAATATTAAAATCATTTTAAAAGCAAATATAATTATTTTAATGGCGTATTTGTCATATTAAAATAGTGGTCGCAAACCAGCTCACTGGTGGTCGTAAACTGATGAAAGTGGTCGTAAACCGACGTTTTGGCTATATTTACACTTTTGCAGCATTTTACAATAAATTATGCATACAGTATTATATTTTATGTTTTATATCAAAACTAGACTAGGTATACTTGGGACCTATTTTCACTAACACATACTATATTGCGTATAGGTAGATAACATTTTCTTTTACTCGTCTTTAGTGAGCCATGACCCTACTTATAAAACTTGAACTGTCATTGTATAGCCTCCTGTATCATGATAGGAAAACAAACATAAACCTACTGGGGGCGGGCATGATGTAGTTTTTACGTAATTGTTATCAGAATTGTTAAATATGTAACACGACACATGTAATATATCTTTTATAATACAGATATTGCGAATCTAGGTTACTTGGCGTCATAACAAACTGTATTATTTTTGTCATTTCCTCTCCGACATTTCTTTGTACCCTCATTAAAAGAAAGACAGAGAAAATTAAATATTTTTTTCTGACGCATCTCATCAGTTAATATTTTTTTTATGAAAACGTTTTAGCTCTATTCTTACAAGGTTATCAACAATAAAACACTAAAAGAAATACAATAACCACAAAATAAAAGAAAGCTAAGGCCTCTTAGCAACATTACACAGAGACAGGATAAGGATACATACAATAAAAATAAAACCTTAGTACTAAAGCTGGAGTAAAGTTACAAAGAATCCAATAAAAGCAACTATTGGTTTACGATATACTCAATAGTAAGTTCAGCGACCTTGCAATAAAAACCAAATTCTTCATTAATCTTCTCGTATCTCTCGTGTCATCAATACAGGACGGCTATGTTGGTTATCCACTGATGTCAATTTGCTCAGCTCTCGCTAATTAAAATAACATTTTTTGCCACTGAGCCGTAAAAGGCGATAGCACTACCCGTTAGCTGGTGGCGCCATGCGATCGTTGCAAACTTGACGTTTAACGGTGAATTTTATTACTGGCAACATATTTTAATTCAACACGATGATGTACTTATTGCACTTTCATCATCTGTAATGCATTAAACGTGTTTGTTACAGTCGTTTCTAATTTGTAAGTTCATGTACGGCCATAAAATTAAATGGAATTGAATTGATAACGTCGAATACTAATCGTTCTTACTTGTATACTAGTGAGTCAGTGACGCCTGCCTTACTATTTACATAATTATCTGGCGCTGAAACTACTATTTATGTCTAATTTTGAAACTTAATTATTGAAGACTAATTATACAAATGTATAATTTTATTGAAATCTAATTTCAGCTTTATATTACATAATATTCCGGCAAAAGCTAGTTAAAGGTCAGATTCTTATTCTGATGACTCATATAAAGTTATATCCCTTTTATCCCATTAGGTACTTTCCCTTCTTACCTGCCTTTCCTGTCATTCTACTCCTAATTTTCCCATTTCCACATATCGGAAAGTGCCTTAGCAATAGTCTTGTCCTCTATTATGTTAGTGGGACTAAAATTATATTTGGCGTGGGCTGTGTAATACGGCCCCTTCAGGGATATAGACGAGTATTTGTATGTCATAAATAAGTAAAATGTTCTTTACAGGTGCTCGTAGGTACTTAGTCGTCTTGATCCTTAGCTTTGGTGGGGCGGTTGTAGATCGTCACAGGCATATAATAGATTTTCGATATTATATTGAATTTATTTTGCAAAAAATTTGACAAAACAGAGATTCTTGCTATTGTGTATTAATCTATGACTTTAGAGTCTACATAAGACTGTTTCAAACAATTTTATAAAATAAAGATATTTTGAGTTTGAGTTCATTTAATTTGAAACTGAAATTTTAAATGATTATGCAAAGGTAGAACAACAAAATTATTATAAAACAAAAAGTATTAAGAACCGTTAATTACTTAATTATTTCATTAATAGAGACGACTACAGAAAAAACCTCCGGATTTTCCTTAGTACTTAAATACTTAATTATAATGAAGTACGTACTGCAATTTATGCATTTAAACAGTTATTATTTATTTTTAAACAAGTTAAGTTGTCTGGTTGAATTAAGATTTCATTGCCTCGTTTATATAGTAGTGTATGTATCAAGAATAGTCTAGTCAGGTAAAATATGCGACAACGTTTTCTGCCTTCAAAGTCTTCCAGCTAATGCACAAGTACTTTCCATCGAAGCTGAACACGTCATTGGTTCATTAGCAGTATGAACGTGTTCAAAGTAGCCTGTGAAAAATCTTAAATGCAAATATAGACGCACAGTTACGGGTAATGTTATTGCGAATAACTTCGGTATCTCTTATTTAACTTTCTCGCCTCACTTGTCTACATGTTAACTTTATTATAATGTGAAAGATAGACAACTTTTTTATAGTTGTATCGGCAAACAAGCAGACGTTTCGCCCGAATAGTCAGTAAGTACTATGGATAGGACAAAATCACAGTGAACTGTGAATGAACGGTGATTTATCATTCGATTTTTTCGTACATAGGTTTAGCCAATAAGCTGTTTTCAGACGATGTATAAAGACCCTATTTCGCCCACTTAACAGTCAATCTAGTAATTATTTTATTATATATCGCAATATTTCTTTTTTTTTTCAGATTTTAAGTCATTCCAAAGGCGCTCATCATGGCCAAAACAGAGAAGTCATTTCCAAGAAACTTTACAGGTAAGTTGCCATTGCCGAATCCGCCTCTTTAATTATATACCTACTAAATATTTACCAACATCGGTAATCTGTAATTGTAAACTAAATAACAGTTGATAACCTTTCATTTGATTATACATAAAAATAATTATTTGAATTACTTCAATCTGCTAAAAAAAACAGTTGTATGCATACATTTAGATATCAGAAATATATTCCAGCTTTGTGATTTAATAACAGATAATACACACATAGCAACACTTTGTGGTGGAAACCACAAATAGAGACAATGTGATAAGTTTTTGTGATATTTGTTGAATTACTGTGGAACTTACTCTACGAAGAATAAAACATTTTCTGCTGATCTTCGATGTTTTAGTTAGATCGATAGAATTACTAAATTATTCACATCACACCCATCACATCAACAGCCTTTAATAGCCCACTGCTGGGCTAAGGCCTCTCCTCAGAAAGGAGGTTTAACAAAATTATTAATTTGCCTGAAAATAATAGATAGTTTTTGACATTTCTATAATGATATAATATATACACCAATATAGATACACCACGATAGATCGTAAGATATTATGGATCGCGAATTTTGGCGCATCGCCATCTTGCAAATAAACGCGCAAATCTGCCCGTGCCTGCGAGTAACCGTATTTCCGCTTGCAGACGTTTACTTTGTCGCATTCTACTTGTTTTAAGTGACACCGACGTGTACTGTGAAATGTAGAAGAAAAATATCCTGCATTGGATTCGATTAACATTTACTAGACTTACCTAAAGGTTGTTCAAAAGCTTTTTATATTTTTAGGCACATTTATAGCGTAGACATTGTTAAGACGTTACATTCCGATATTGTATGCAAAAATCTATACCGACCAATATGAACCCACTCTTAGAACAAGAAGTTATTAAGCTAAAAATAATTTAAAAAAGGGCAACAGTACAAAAAAGGAAGAGATGAACAAACATATCTTAAAAACGAGTATAATATTTTTTAGTATAGATTAACTTTTTTAAATGATATAGGCGGGAATAAAGGCGACCAATGTTTTGTATCTTTGAATTGCCCGAAGTTTGTCTTTGTTTGTTTTTTTTTCTTTTTTTTTCTTTTAAATCTGCAAATAATAAAAATATCGGTAATAAGGGACGTAACAAGGTCGGTAGTTTTTGTAAAGTACATTTATAATTTATATATTTTTTTAACTTTCTGTAATTAGTATTGTTTAATATTTATTTTACTTCACTTTACAACACTTTATTTTTGCATTTAAGTTATGCTTCAAAACCTTAATTAGGAAATATTATATATTTGTAGAATTGAAATGATGCTATGGAACTTAATGGAAATGGATTCTAATCATAACTTTGTTCTAGCATATAGAAAATAAAATCAGTTGTTCTTGACTGTTTTCTTATTACTATCTGCTTATTTGCAAGATACCTATGCCTAAAAACCAGTTTAAATATTTTTGTCCTTCTGTCTGTCTGATTGTTCTGATGATTTGAAATATTATCAAAACCGGTCCAGCCGTTTAAAAGATTACCCGGCACAAATAGACAGAGACATACAGAAAAAAATACTGGTTTTTAGGCTAAGGGATCGTGCGTGAGCATGAAACATCCTATTACTTTGACATTACAAACAGACACTTCAATTTTATTTATTTGTATAGAAGAAATGATCATATTAGTTAGGTAGATAAGTTTTAATTTTGTTTTACCCCTTTTACTAAGAGACCTGAAAATCAGTAAGTTAGGTAAAAAACTACTACCATCTTGATAAGTTTGTCGGTCTTTTTGTTAGTAATCGTGACTATTAAGACAGAGGTCGTCCCAGGATAGTTTTTCTGTTTATGGGTATAATTTAACTATAATATTCTACCACATACACACAACGCCATCTAGTCCCAAACTAAGCAGAGCTTGTACTATGGGTACTAAACAACTCATATAAAACATATATACTTTTTTTTTTGTAAATACATACATATTATACATAGAAATACCCAGACCAAATCAAACATCAAATGTTCATGCACACAAATGTATAATATGTATGTGTTTAGTAATATGTAAGTATTATTTAATTTTAATACATGTAATTACGAAAATCTGTATCCTACTGTACTTTATGAGATAAATAAATTTATTATTATTAAAAAAGTATGTTTGTGAGTAGTCTGGATACCACAGTACAGTTGATGCTTAGTTTGAGAACAGTGTGTGACATCAAAATTAAGGAATGATGTACTTGACGTTGTTAATTGAAATGAAACACTATTGATAAGAGTTTTGCAATGTGGTTTCGGAGAATGTAGAGTAAAAACTAAACTAAAAATGAAATATTTTCCTGATATATTTTATATACAGGGTGTAAGGGACGTCGTAATGAATACTGAAATAGTTTATTCAGACAGACCATCATTCTGAGTCGAATACTGAACGTAAGATAATTATAACACACACTATTAATTTAGACAATTCTGCACTTTCGTAGAACGAATTTAAAAAGCTAACAGGATAAGCACAACTTAACTCTTTGCCTACTGAATTATTTTTCGGACATGTACAATGACACAAGCGTGGATAGAACATTTACCAAATTTTGATTTAGCAATGTAATGTAGGTACAACTGTTTTGTGTGTTAGCCTCATGAGAAAAAAATAACTTATTAATACACTGTTATATCTAAAAACATTTTAGAAAACCTTATCAGATAGATCTTGACGTTTAAAACACGGCAGGCATTTGCTACTTCTGTTCTAGTTATCGCTTGACTAGGTCAGTAATGCTTGATTTGGCGAGTAATATAAAAAAGGCGGATGTCAGTTTTTACACTTGGAACTGTCAAATGATAATTAAATTATCATAAGGCTGGCCATTGCCGCCACCTTTACAATTAAAATATATTTATGAATTCAAAAAGGTGTCATGATGTTTTCGTTTTTTTTTTTCATAGAAGTAATATTATTTTCACTAGAAAATATGAAAAGTTTATGGATGTATCAAGTCAAGGTCGGTGATAAAAACTTACTAATAAATTATAAATTCGAAAATTTGATAGGCTGTTTATTTAATTATTTATACAAATAAATAAAATTGAAGTTTCTGTTTGTAATATAAAAATCTTATGGTTTTTTCATAATCACGCGGTTATTTGCACGATACTTATACCTAAAAAGCAGTTTAAATATATTCTTGTAGGTCCACAAAAAAACGATCTCTGTCTAATTGACGATACCTGTTTATTCGTTACAAAACCAATTATCACTGGGATTTGCGTCATATGTAGTTGTTAGTATTTACGTATATTACGTACGTACAGTACGTATTTTTGAATAATACTTCTATATTGGATAACTAATGGATTGACATGGTATAACATTACGAGTAGTCCCAGTCGATTTGTAAAGGAATAAAAAAAAATGAATTGAATTGAAAGAAGTCCAAAAAAAAATTGATGGTAAGACGTGATAAGAAAATTGGCATACACTAATCCTGTTTAATAATATACACCCATATCCAGCATCAGCATAAAAAATTGTTTCATGTATTCACCATGGTGTGGAATACCATTAGTATTCTGTATGACAACGAGACTTCCACAAAGAAAATAATGACTGGTTTCTTCTTAGTACATATATAATTAATTGCTATTAATTCATATTCATCGATACGTGCGTAAGCGCACAGCAAATTCATTGTATTAAAAAAAAAAATATTACGAATAAGTATTTTCTTACGAGATTGGGGTGCTACATCCTAGGCTCGATTTGGCTACCATAAGATACTACATCATAGACACCTACCATAAGGAATTTTAGTAAATAGCTGGTTAGTGTAAAGGAAGGATTTAGTCCACGGTTTTGCTCGCGTGGGCTAAATTTTGTCATTCAAGTTGGGTATCCGAACGGCACCGTACTTTTTTCATAATAAAAAGTACCCGATAACGTGTATGAAAAAAATCATTAAGTTTGGCGACGTAGTTAAAGCGTGAAAAACAAATAAAGTTTAGTAAATTATGTATAGTAGTATTTCCACAATACATAACATCCTAATCCTAAACTTTATTAACTGTTTCTTTTCTGGGGAGAAAGGTAGAACCGTCTGTAGTTTTCTAAATCTGCACCGGCATTAAAAGTCTAATAAAACATCGTAATTACCAGTAATACATGATCCATTATTTTCTTAACATGTTTTAACATTATATTTACCCAAGCCTTATGTCCAATTTACTGTGTTAATTAGTGAATACTTATCTAGAGGTTTAACCATTAAACTCTTGTTTCATACACCACAGATGTTTACTCTCACTTGTTTAATAGCCGAAGAGAACATCGTCGAAACTTGCCTAGCAATACCTGAGACCAAACATTGTTAGTTCTTGAAGGTTTGCTAATTCAAAGGTTTCTCAAACTGTGAGAAGACTAATGCTAAGAAGTGAGGTAGTGTGTGGCAGTACAATTTGTTTATCTGTAAAATTAGCGCCTACCACCATTGTAATTCTACTTAAACCCATGCTTAAAGTGCAAACGTGTTATAATAGGGTTACCATATGTTTGTGCGCGAAAACATTAGATACATATTTTAAACTAGCTGGTACCCGCGGCTTCGTTTGAAAAACGCTACCTCAGTAGGTTCGATTCCCGGACCGGGCAAAGGTTTTTCCGAGAGGAAAAATAGCCTAAGTTACTCCTTATATAGACAACTACCTGGTAGTAAAATATTATCAAAATTGGTCCTGCCGTTTAGAAGATTACCCGGAACAAACAGACAGACAGACAAAAAAAAGTTAACCTGGTTTTTAGGCAATGGGTATCTTGCAAATAACCGTGTGAGCTTGAAAAACACCTATTATTTTGACATTACAAACAGACACTTCAATTTTATTTATTTGTATAGATTACATATCTATGTCTTGATTGAAATCTATAATTTTAAAATTAGATTATAAAAAAGTAAATGCTGAAGTAATAAGTGAATACCATATCTATGATCATGATGATTTTTA